CTGCTCTCCAGCCACTTGTCCCCTAACCTGTACTTATGACACCTATTCCTATGCCCCAAGTGCAAGACCTTGCACTTATCCACATTGAACACCATCCTGTTGTCTCCTGCCCACTTCCATAGTCTGTCCAGATCCTTTTGGATCTGGAGTACCTTCTCCTCAGTTGTGGCCACTGCCCCAGTTTTAGTGTCGTCTGCGAATTTGATCAGCAGACTGTTCACCCCTTCTTCCATGTCATTTATGAAAAGATCAAACAGAATTGGCCCCAGGACAGAGCCCTGGGGGACCTCGCTTGTCACTGGCCACCATCCTGATGATTCCCCACTAATGGTTACCCTCTGCTTTCGGTCAGTCAGCCATGCCCTAATCCGCCGGACAGTGCTTTGGTGTATCCCAAAATTTTCTCAACCAGGCTATCATGGGGCACTTTGTCAAAGGCCTTGCTGAAATCCAGGTATACCACATCCAGCGCATTCCCTCCATCTAGCCACCTCGAAACCTTGTCATAGAATTCCACAAGGTTTGTCTGGCAGGACCTGTTATTGCGGAAATCGTGTTGTGTGGCTGTCAGCCTCCCTTCCCTATCCAGCATCACTGGAACTCTCGCTATTATGAGCCTTTCCATTGTTTTTCCTACAATGGACATAAGACTAACTGGTCTGTAATTCCCCATGTCCCTTCTACTACCCTTTTTGAAATTGGGACCACTGATGCCACCTTCCAGTCCTCTGGAACTTCACCCGTTCTCCATGAGGCCCCAAAAATGGAGGCCAGCGGGCGTGAGAGAACCCCTGCCAACTCTCTAAGTACTCTCAGGTGTAACCCATCAGGGCCTGGCACCTTTGTAATGTCCAATGCCCTGAGGAGCCCCTCGACTTCAAGGGGGGTGACTCTAATCTGTGCCCCCAGCCTCATTTAATCTCCTATGCAGATCTCCCCCGTCTGGCTTTGGGGAAAACTCAGAGGCAAAATAGTCATTTAGCATCTGTGCCTGTTCCCTCGTATCAGTCACTGGATCTCCTTCCTCCTTATTTAGCAGGCCCACTACTTGTCTCCCCTTCCTCTTCCTATTTACATGCTGAAAGAAGCCCTTTTTATTGCTCTTGATATTCTTGGCAAATCTCAGCATGTAGTCAGCCTTACAAAGAATCCTTCTGCAACGGGCCTCCTCCTTCCGGTATACCCTTTTGTCTATTTGCCCCAGTACCCATTTCCTACGGAGGCTCCTCTTGCGTCTAATCCCTCTAACCACCTCCTTTCGCATCCATGGCGGGGCTCTCCTCCGCCTCCCCACCTTACTGACTAGAGGTATCGTCAAGGCTTGCACCTCCAAAACCTCCCTTTTGAGTGCCACCCACCCCTCCTCAACTCGCTTTCCTTCCAGTAACCTGTCCCAGGAGACTTTCCCCAGTCTGGCCTTCAGTTGGACAAAGTTGGCCCTCTTGAAGTCCCAGCTTCTAGTGCTCGACCTGCTGCACGTCCCCAGTCCCCTGATCTCAAAGCAAAGGATGGAGTGATCACTTGCATCCAGAGCTCCCCTAATCTATACTTCATCTATCAGCTCCTCCCTATTGGTCAAGACCAAGCCAAGGATGTTTCCCGCCCTCGTCGCCTCTCGGACCCTCTGGGTGAAAAACCCTCCCTCTATAGCTTCTAGGGAGCGACGTGACCTGGCTGTCACCACTGAGTGAGCCCCCCAACTGATATCCGGGAGACTGAAATCTCCCATAATTAGGGTGTCCCTCCCCCGGCGCCTGCAATTAGGCCGCTCACCTCTGCTGACACCTTGCCATGGAGGGGACTGGTCTGTGCCTGGGAATTCCTCATCCCCATGGCCCCTCCCACTATCTGTGCGTCTTGGCCATCCCATGAACTGCCTGGTACAGCAAAGCTTCTGGCCTTGAGAGAATCACCTCCTGCTCCCCATTGCATCCAGAACCTTGAGCTAAGCCGTGCTCCCCAATCTCACTGAAACTCTGCTCTCTTTCCGATTCTGAGTCAGTGTCTCCAGGGAGGTCAGTGGTCCAAGCCCACCATCTCTTTTGCTCCCAACACTCACCGTGTTTGGACCTTGGATGGTCATCGGCTGTGAGCAGGGCCAAGGTGGCGAGGGTGTGAGCGCCATCCTAGTCATCCAGGGCCAGCATGGAAAGCCACCCCGCCTCCTCATGAGGAAAGGCCCAGTGAGGCTCCACGCGAGTGCCTGCCCGCCAGCATTCCTCCCCCAGTGAGGGCCTGCAGGAGCACATGGCCTCATCAGGCAGGTCCCGCCCACAAAATGCTCCCCTCCTCCCACATGGTCTGTGCATGAAAAGGGCAGCGGTTCAGGGCACCTGGACCATGGGCCCCCCCTTACCTGCATGGGCACCTCCTGAGCAGAAACGGTCTCCCAAATGGCTTGGAGGGCGACAGCAAGCACACCCAGGATGGTGGCAGTTGTCCACCCCGTGTGATGCTGGGTCTGCTCCTGCACCCCAGGGGCTGTGTGACATGGCGAAGGAAGACATGGGCGAGGTGAGGCCGGGGGTGGGTGCTGCAGCGGTAGCCAGTCCCGGGAGGCAGGCCGCCATGCTGGGCTCGAAGATGGTGTTGGGAGGCTGCCCTGCCCTGCCCAATAACCTCGCCAGAGCCGCCTGTGCTGCCGGAGGTGCTGTTGTCCACCCAGCCCAAAGGCGGTCAGTGGCCCACCCCGGTTTCCCTGGGGTTGGAACAGCTTATGACAGTTCCCAGCAAGTGACAAGTTCCCCAGCCAGCGGCACACTGCCTGCCTTGCGCTTGCTGTGGAGGCACACACAGAGGTACTGCCACGGGGCGCAGGGGCTGCCCTGGCGGGGGCATCCCCTCCTGGCCTCCTCCAGTTGGCCTGCCGGTGGGCCCGGCACGCCCGCATCCAGCTGCCCACTCACTGGCCGTGTGCCTGGCTTGCTGGGCCCTGCGCCGGCTCCTCCTTCGGGAAGGTGGTCGATCCCGAAGGGCGGCCTCCCCTGTCTGGATGGGCGGTGGAGTGCCACTCCGGCCACTGCCCCGCCGTTCTCAGATCAAAGCCACCCCAGGGGCATTTCCCTGGAGAACGCTCCTCACCGCCCTCCCATGGGGCTAGCCTGCGAGGGAGGAACGTGGGAGGGCTGGGGCGGGCTCTTCCTGGTTGTGGCCGAGCTCCTGGCATGGGCCAGCAGTTGGGAACGTGTGGCAGGGGCTGTTGCCCATCCCGACAAGACAGGAGAGGAGGAGGAGGTGGGAGGCAGGGCGGGAGGCCCAGCTCGTCCGTCCGCAATGCCTCATGGGCTGCCCGTGCACAGAAGCAACTTTGCCGAGAGGAGAGCTGCTTCTGCCAGAAAGGCAATGCCAGAGCAGCTGGACGGTGGTGCTTTGCAAACCTCAGTTATCGGGCAGCAGCACCTCCATGGCTGCTGCTGCTGCAGGGAGGCTCGCTTCTCTGCTGGTGAGCATCCAAAACTAGGGTGGCCATCCAGAGCGCAGCAGAGGGCAGCTGTGCCTGGACTGTGCGGAGCGGTCAGTCCAGGCACAGCTGTGGCACATATTGCTAGGCAGACTGGGAAGATGCAGGCCAAAGGCAGGGGCATCTCCTCCAGCAGCTGCTCTTTCCACTGGACACTATGGTAGGCATGTGGAAGCCGTGTTCCTGGGTTCACATGGCCAGAAAAGTGCAGAAACCATAGAAGACACCACTGCTCTCTCTGTGCATCCCCAGAAACCAAATGCACTGCGTATTAACAGCAGGCCATGATTTAGCTGGCATGAAGGAACACCCTGGGGCAGAAACCATCATGGCTTGTTATGATGTGAGAACCGCCCACTGAGTTGCTTTAAGCCCCTTCTTGCTTCCAGGAAATTACAATCCTGCTGCACCTCTCGTTCGACTGGATTTGGATCCTCAATGGTCATTACCAGTTTCAGCAAGAGTGACAGGGCGTGTGTGTAAGAGAGCGATGCATGTCATGGCAAACTATAGCTTTCCAAACTGCAGCTCCCAAGATGCATCCTGATAAGCATGCACGCACGACAGTTTGTCTGGACAAATCTGGAGTTTGGATTAAGGAAGATGTCTTGGCCAAGCTTCCACGGGTGAGCTCCTAGTTAGCTGAGAAAATACCTAATTCATCTGAGAGGGAGGGGGGAGACGAATTATGATCCACCATGGCCCGGGGGTTGTTTTTTGTGACTAAAAAGGAAGATCATAGGATCAGAGAAGAGCTCGAAGGGGCCACGAAGTCCATCGAGCCCAACCCCCTGCTGCTGAAGGACACCACCGCACTCAGGTGGCTGCCCAGGTTCTTTCCGAGTGTCCCCGGTGTGGGAGAGCCACCACCTCTCGAGGCAGCCGGTTCCTCGGCCGTGTTGCTCTGGCAGTGAGGAGGCTTTTACTAGCTAGCCCTGGGCTTGGGTAGGGCTTTTTGCAGGATGGCTGTCTTCCACTCTGCTGCTTGGAAGGCACTGCTGAGGACTGCCGGGCCCTAAGCAAGCACCAGCGTAGCAGCTGCCAGCGTCAGAGCAGCACGGGAAGGGCCGCCCGGCCGGCCTGCACGGGGCCACCACTACAACCGTGCTGCCTTGCGTGCTCGCTCCATCCCTTCCCAGCCCCACCCTCCCCAAACCCAGTGCTGATTAGGTTAAACAATTCCGTGTAACTGAAGTATGCGTCAATGCAGCAATGTCCATCAGCCCCAGCTGACATGGACAGGGAGGTCTTCTCTCAGCACAACAAACCCAGAATTCTTGCACCCAACCCCAACGGGTGCACCCTGTGTTGAGCTCATGCTCAAGTATTTCGGCAAGTTGATCAGTCCTGGGAGTTAGGCGGGGCGCTGAACTGGCAAAGTTGCCATCTCCCTACAAACATGTATATTCTAATCTGATACTTAATTTGCTAGAAAAGTCATACAATGTTAGTGAAGTGAGATTACAGATAGGTTCCATAACTCTCTCCAAGTCTAGCGAGGCCAGTAACATCAGCAAAAAAATATGTTTTGAAAATGGAGGAAGGAAATACTAAGTATTTACTTTTATTATTTGCTCACCACACAGGAAATAAATACATTTTGAGACACACTTCACAATTGCCTTCAAGATCATTCAAATGATAATGAAATGCTTAACAAAAATACAGGGCAGCTTGACTTCTTGAAATTCATGGTGAAAAACATTATGTTCCTCCTTCATCAAAAATCCATTTGGTTTTAGCCATGCAGGTCTACAGGGTGGTCAGCTCCTTGCCCAGCAGCTAAGAGGGCACATTGGCATCACCAAGCAAGGCTACGGCCGCTGAGCTTCACACCTCATTTTCCTGCTGGCCATTTACCCACCTGTTTGAACTAGTGGTATTATAACTTGACTCCCAGTCAGCCTGCTGAACAGCTACATTTTCTCTTGGAGCCTTTCAGGGTCTGTCCATGACTTGGCAATCCTAAGCCAGTAAAGCTTTTGGTTCCCATTGAACATGATACAATCTAAGCTTGGAAAGAAAGGACTAAACACAGTGAATTACAGAGGGGGCAATCAAGTCTTAGTCCCTGGTTCCTAAGTTTTCTGGTCACAAACAGATTTACTGAGGAGTTAATTCACAAGGGGATCATACAGACATATAAACTGCCTAATGCCCCTTTTCTGCCCAAAACAAAACAGCCCCACACGCATCAGGTATGAGGGAAGCCTAGTGGCAGGGCAATTTTCCATGATTTGCATTTGGCCTGCATTAGTAAATGGCAAAGCAGCTTTAATTGCAGACTGCTACTCAGATGAACAGGTTGGCTCTTAGAAAACTGTTAGGACTCTCAGTAAAAATAAATGCAATGAACATACACACATATACTCAGGAAGTTGCCCAATGAGCTATCTGTTTGTTTCCAATCCAATAAAACAACTTTATTTGATGTGAGGCTCATAATGAAAATGGGAGATGAATGAATCAAGTAACAATCTAGAGTATCAAACCATAGTTTGATAGCCAACAACCCAGCTGCTCGTAAATTAATCTTTCAAACCTGTTTGCTGTATATGGACAAGATGGAAACTGCTTGTTACAAACTTCAAATGAGAGCTTCCAACATTCTCCATAGCTTGAATGAGCAATCAAGGAACCATTGTTAATTGTATAAAGAGATTGGCCTGATCCAGAAATATCTCTTAAGAGAAAAATGTTTCTGAATTCTACTTGTGGCCAAAGTTAACTTTACATTTATACTGATCCAGCACCATCTACTACTCAGAATTCTCTTTAGCAGCAGGGGAAAGATTCCAGCCCATTTGTACTGTGTGCATGGCCTAAAATCTCTTGAAAATACCCAAATGCTAGGTCATAAACTTCTGGCCCCCACAAAAGTTCCTGCTGCTGACTGGCCACAGCCAGCCTGAGCTGATTGTGCCACATGGATTTTCAGCAGACGCCTCTGATCTGGTGTGCTCAGAGCACATTCCTTTAGACTCTCTCCCTGATCATTGACCTTTGGCTTATGAAGTTCTGACAGGTTAAAAAAAACCCAATTGGTTGAAAAGAAACGTCAGAGACTTCCCCCCATGCTGTGGGACTAATATAAGGTTTGTGAGTTCTCACTCCCAAGAGTTATTTCAGCGCATTTCATAAGCTGCCTAATCATGGTTCTCCTGTGCTTATTTCATGCATTGATTTGGATTGTCCTCTTTTCCCTGGTCTGGCCAGAGAGAGGGAAATGCTAATGACAAACACATATTGCTGATAACCGAAAGGAAAGACCAAAATTTGCACACTAATAATGTCAGCTGCTGTGCTTTGAGAGCTTCATGGTGAAGAAGACATCCCTTGAGAAATGTCAGCCGGAACGGTTCCCAAGTAGTTGAGTTTATGTCACTCCCACTCTGAAATGGCTAAGAGTGTTCCAGATTACAAGGGCAATAGAAGAAAATAGAAACAAGGCCTGGACACACTTACAAGCAACCACACCAAAAGCAAGAAGAGGGCGGGGCTGGGCGCACGGGCACCTGCTCACAGGGTATGCAGGACTTTGAGAATCTATGACCAGGGGTTAGAGGAATCTCTTCCAAGAACTGACCAAATTTTAAAGGCAGTGCTTGCTTGCAGCTGGAAGAGACCTAGGACTGTGAGGAGGAAGAGACAACCAGGAGGCAGAAATGTATCCCACAACATTGCAAGAACGATAGTGCTGCATTTCCCCAAACCAGAGGTAACGATGCAGTGCACACGCAGTGACTCCTGCTCCCTGCGTCCATCACGTGAGACCCCATACAAAGGCACATTTGCATATCCTGGCAAAGGTCCGTCCCTGGTTTGATTCTGATGGGGTGGGGGGTTTAATCAAGTTAGACAACCTCGCTAATCACAGGACCCATCCTTCCAACCATCCCGCCAACGCTCATCTACAAGAGAACAGTCGAATTCTGGCTTTCCCAGCTTCTTATTCACCTCATTGTGAATCTGGCAAAACCACTGTGTCAGGTTACGTCTGTTGCTGGCATCAGGTTGATTTCTTCGTATTCTGTGAATAAGGGAAAACCAATCAAAGCTGGGTGCCATTTTGTATCTCCAGCCCACATTTTTCCTAAGCTTCATAGGCTAGGAAGGCAAGAGAGATCTCACTTTTTTGTTGTTCTTCCCACCAACCTGCTTTTTGTAACTTCTTGCCTGAGTTGGTGCCCTTTAGGTTCGCCTGAATAAGGGATTATCCATACATTAATATGGATTTTGGAACAGTGTAAAATTAATTTACTTTACCAGGATGTAGGGAAATGTCTGGCAGTCTGTTACATTCGATGAAAAGAGCAGTCTTTAAATTTACTGGGAGGATTGCCAAAAAACTAGAGGCAACAGCCAGACTTAAGGTTGGGGCTTAGCTTTCCAATATTATGCTTAAAAGAAACATTCTTGTGAAACACTGCCTCTTATAGGTGAGAAATACTTTGGGGGGAAACACACATTTGGCTAATTCATTTTTTCTTTTGCTAAGCAAAGTAAATAGGGATCCTTATAACTAATCAAGTAGTTTTATTCACTGCAGCAGCTAAAAAAATACTAAAATAAAGGGCCTAAAAACTATACATTGGGTACATAGTGACTTGTACTGGTTGTTGTTTGGCTTTTTCCTCTTATTGTTTGTGATCATCTCCCTTTTCTGGTAACATTACAAAAACCTATGTTTATATGCAATTAAAATCAACTGACTGACTTTTTCATTTTGTGCAATAATCTATTATTATTATTATTATTATTATTATTATTATTAACATTTCTATGCCTTTGCTGCTCATATAGCAGCTGATACCCTAGTGCAATTCTGCATTTTACTGGTTATGAGAAAATAGTGCCTTTTGTTTTTAAAGATGTGCATCAGGTTAGTGAAATGCATGCACTTCCTCCCAAATGCTGGCGTCCTGATGCTTCTGGAGCAGGAACTGCTACAACAAAAGGGGCCAAGCCCACCTTCCACTTGTCCGTTCTGTTGTGGCCATTCAGCAGCAGACAGTGCAGGCCATTTTCTATTGGATCACTCTTATTTATTTCTTACCTTATGAAAATGCTAATGAAAAGACGGGACAAACAATGGACCTAATGATTAAATGAAGGCAAGCAGCTACCCACACAAAGCCAGTTTTGGTCCATTGGACTTTCTCTGCCAATGACAGGCAAGCAGTTGAATCTGAATCCTGCCCATACTGCATATTGCCTAAAAGCACAAGCAGCCAAGTTTCCAGTCCAGGTTATTTAAAATGGAAAATCCTTGGTCCTTTCTCTGTCTTGAGGAACAGGCTCAGTATCTGGCCTTACAGTTCTATGATTTTCTTGAATCAAATCACTGTAACTTATAGTAAGCTATAGAGGATGAACAACTAAATAAGAAATATAGCATTTGGACAAATATCTTACATAACAGATATAAAAGGGAAAACCAATATAAGCTATCATTCTGAAATATTGCAAGTTTACAGTCTTCAGTGTAGTTCATAGAAAGTCATTTCTATGTAGTTCCAAAAGACAGGTGATAAAAGTAATACAGTTTATTTTATAGGAAGAATTCAGGTTGGTAAAGAAATAAGTTTTGAATAGAATTGGCTATCAGTTACAACAAAAAGCTGGCATAATTTCACTTACAGATGCCTGTTTATAGACTTATGAGCAGGTAGAAAACACAAAAGAATGCGCCTCTGGGTGCATATTTGGGTTTCATAATTTCCAAAAGCAGCACATTTCTAGCCCTGTGTAAGGTTAGAGTTGAAAGCACACAGGCAAATGCATCATATTTCAGTAACCAGAGCAATGGGTTAGCAAGCCTTCCAGAAGACTGAGGACAGCACTTTAGTACCCTGCATTGTGTCTCCCTTTGAAAAGCAAATTGACTAGATTATGCAGAAGAGTAAACTTGGCAGAATTAGGTAACATAGAAGACCTCATGGACGTTTGTTTAATTTGCATAATGAAACAATTCACTGAAAAGGGCTTGGTGCTGAATTTGCATCACTTTGTTGCAGAATTTCAACTTCTTGGTGCAGAGTACAAATAGTCAGGGATATATTCAACAAAGGACTCACCTATCTCTCAGATCTTCTGCACATTCATCACAAGGGAAGACCTTGGAAAATAAGTGGATGAACTGTATCATGTCTCGCTGCTCCATTTTACTTGGCCGGTCCGGGTAATATGCTGCCATTGTGTGAAGAAAAGACCATGAATATCTCCCCAGTTGTTCTCTGTCTAGGGGACAATCTGGCGGGATCTCGATCTCTTTGACTTCAGTTTCCTGGGTTGGGAAAACATGCATTCATGAACAAGGAGTGAAGTAAAGCACGCATACACTCTGCAATCTGTGACAGTACCATTGTATCTTACAGGTCAAAACACATGCAGCCTACTAACATTTTGAGAGCCCTTATGCCTACATGCCCGTACAGTTCAATAGATTCCTATGGATCCACATAACACACAAACATGCTGCAGTATCACAGTAAAGAATTTCCCATGTATATGCACACACCTCCTCCCGATCCATAAACATAGAAACATAGAAACAGAGCAAGTCAGAAGGGGCCTCCCGGGCCATCTAGTCTGACCTCCGGCACCAGCCGGCTCCTCTCACGACATGCCCACCATGTGGACGTCCAGCCTATCCTTGAACACCCGTACCGATGGGGCCTCAACGACCTCTCGTGGAAGCCCATTCCACACCCTCGGGGTAATAACTGTCAGGAAGTGCTTCCTGGCATCCAAACGGAACCTTGGCTCCCTGAGCTTTGCTTCGTTGGAACACGTCCTGCCTTCCTCTGCAGGGGAGAACAGGTCTCTACCCACCTCTGTGTGACACCCCCCTCACATACCTGTATGTCACCAACAGATCCCCTCTGAGTCTCCTCTTCTCCAGGCTGAAGAGACCCTTAATCAATAAACCTTAATCAAAATTCCAGTGCCACCTAATACTGCTGAATTACTCCTTTAATCCAAGTCTACTAAGTCCTTTCACAAAATGCCTTAGAAAAGAGACACTATCTTTAAATTTAACTAGGTTGCCTAGAGAAGAGTGTCTCTCCCATCCCTATCACTCAGTGGCACAGAGGTGACTCTTGAGGTTGAACAGAGAGAGGATTGCTGAGGCACCTCATTTCTATCAAAGTCATCCATAGCTTCTTGTAATACACAGAGTCAAAGGCTTTGCATTAAGCATACTTTAATCTTCTTTTGAGATTGGCTGATACAGTCTAGCAGCCAACACATTTTTGTGAAGTGATTTCAAGCACCTCTTCCTTTTCACATTTTGAATGTCAGGTGGTTTTTACTCCATATATAGTAAAAATCTTTGTTGTAACACCTCAAGCATCATTTTGCTCACATTGGAAATTAGTGGTCTTACAGGGGCTTTATCCTTAGCATCTCCTTTCTTGAGGATTGGCAAGTATACACATTTCGTCTGTGGGGCATTTTTTGGAGTTTTGAGTTCCATATTGATAGGCATATGCTTGTTAGAACTTGGACTGATTCAGTTGTTGCAGCTTGAAATAGTTCTCTTAATAACCTATCTATTCCAGGTGCTTTATTCCTTCCAAGTGCTTTCAGCAGCACTTTCATGTCACTTTCTAATATTGGGAGTTCTTCCTCATCGAACTCCTCTTTGAAGGAGCCTGTCATCTTTTAATCTCTTCTCCATAATTCTTCCATATATTATCTCCATCTTATTTTACCCTGGTTATAGTCCCCTGTTGATCTTCCTGCATTCCCAATCTAGGTTTGAATTTCCCTTTCTTCTGGAAGAGGTCGCTTGTTTTTCTTCTGTTGCTATGTTCTTCTATTTCTTTGCGCTGGCCGCTGTAATAAGTCCTTTGTGTAATAAGTCCTTCAACAGTTGCTGAAAAGTTGCATTCAGGATTCTAACCCTCTCTCTCCCCTTTTGCTTTTCACTTAGCAACTGTGCTTCTTTGGCCTTTCTAAGCTTTCTTCTTCTTTCTGCAGCAAGAATTTCCTTTTGCATTTATCCCTCATAAAATATCTGGTTTCAGTCTCCAGTTCTTCTGGTTCACTTGGCTTATTAGAACCCTACCGGGGGGGGGGGGGGCGCAGTGGTTCGCAGCCATAGCATTCCTTCCACAGCAGTTCACAGGGCCTCACAAATCCTGCCCTCCTCTCGCTCCCTTTCCTGTCCATGCCTCCTCCGACGAGAGCCATGTCCACCCGCCGAGCCGTGACAGGCAGAAATATTTGCCTCCCCTCCCGGCCGTGGGACACTGCTCCTGGCCCAGTGCCCCCCAGGACGCCGCTCCCCCCACCGCAGGCCCAGTGTCCCCCAAGGCTCCAGCCCCGGCCCTCACCGAGGCCACCTGTTTCTTCTGCTCCCGCATCCAGCTCCGGAAATCCATGCAGGCCCGGCAAGGAGGCTTCTGCTTCTTCGTCGTCGTCGTCGTCGTCGTGTCGGCGGCCGGCGGAGGCCGCCCCTCCGCAGGATCCCCAGGCGAAGGGACGGGGAAGGGGAAACCGAAGCCTGGCCGGCTCGGCGCGGGCGCCGCCATCTTTGGGAGGCGCGCGGGGCACGGTGGGAGCGCCGTGCTTGTTGCCACGGCGACGGCGGCGCGGAGGCCCAGCGCTTGTGCGCAAGGGAGGGGCGCGGCCACAGCGGCCTCATGGGCCTCTTCCGACTCTGCTCTGCGAGGGTTCAGACACTTAATGGCATATGATGGAACATGCCCGCTGTTTTCATAGAACCATAGAACAGATGGGTTGGAGGCGGCCGCTCAGTCCAGCTCCCTGTTGGTGCACGATACCATGTATAACATCTCTCTCAGATAACTGTCCTCTTCTTGAATCTCCCTAGTGTGGAAGAGCACACAACCTCTCTTGGCAACTGGTTCCACTGCCATATTGACTGTGTTGGGAAAATTTGGATAAATCCTGACAGAAAAACGTTGCTTATATGTGCCTTTGTGTTATAAAATCACACATGCACCTCTTTCTCACAAAACACAGCTTTCCAAGCCAGGTCACCGCTTAATATTGCTGTTGCCTTAAGAAAATGGTATTCCTTCCCCTCCCCTCTCTCCTTCTCCCCTGTAGCTAAAAGCAAGAACAGACAGGGAGAATTTAGTTTTCCATTAGTCGAATACACAATCACCACTACAAGTTTGCTGCATGATCCCTGCAGGAATTCACAGATTACCGGGGGTCAGACTAGATGGCCTGGGAGACCCCTTCTGACTCGCTCTGTTTCTCTGTTTCTATTTAGGTAGCTAGCCCAAAGGTGCGGATCCATTACTCAGGGTCTGAACCTTCCCAATAACAGAACGTAACAGACGAACTTATGATTCCGTGAATGGTTTCCCAATAGCTTGAATCCACATGTCTAAGCAGACCCGGAGGTGGGTTCAAGCTCAGCTGAACAGTCAATACACTGTAATGGAAATATCAGTGATCTTGTTGTCACTTGTATGTTTGGCTGATTGTCCTTATTTGTTCTGTATATGATGACCTCAGATTTCCATTGTAATATCTGTCCTGTCTTTAATTGCTCTGTACCTGGGTACGTGACCGGGAGAGTATAAAATGCGCTGTACTTGTATTGAAACCTCGCAGCTGAGTTTCCCTCTGCCCAGCAGTGGATTGTCGTTAGTCGACTGCAGGCATCCTGGGGCTCCGGACAAAGAAGCAGTGGAGGTTCAAATGTTTGATCTTTCCCAAGAACCCGAGTTTTTATTTCCTCCTCACAAATTGAAAACTGAGATTGTGTCAACTGACCGTTAGGAAGCTCCTCCCTGTGACTAACCTGCACCTGGCACACGGTACTTGAAGCTCCTTGTTCCGTGTCCTACACTTGGGGATGAGTGAGGAGAGGTCTTTTGCTGCTGCTTGGTGACAGCCTTTGAGGTACCCGTGGAGTGCTATCATGTCACCCCATAGTCATCTTTTCTCAAGGCCCATCCTCTTGCCATCAGCCTCGAGAGGAGGAGACTCAAAGGGGACCTGTTAGCAACATACAGGTACATGAGGGGGTGCCACACAGAGGTGGGCCATGACCCCTTTCCCCCTGCAGTGGAGGGCAGGACATGTTCCAGTGGAGCAAAGCTCAGGAAACCAAGATTCAGGGTGGGTGCCAGGAAGTACTTCCTGAGGTTAGGACCCTGAGGGTATGGAATGGGCTTCCATGGGAGGTCGTTGAGGCCCCATCAGTGAGGGTGTTTAAGGACAGGCTGGACATGCACATGGTAGGCATGTCTTGAGTGGAGCCGGGGTCAGACTGGATAGCCCAAGAGGCTTCTTCTGACTCACTCCTGCTTCTATGTTTCTATGTTATTTTCCAGGCCCTGTATCATCTGCATTGCCCTCCTCTTAACCTTCTCCAGATTATTAGCATCCTTTTAAAACCTGGGTGCCCAAAACTGATTTCTCTATTCCAGACGAGGTCTGACAAATGCAGAAGGGAATGAGTACTTCTCCTTTCTGGAAGTGATAACTTTATTTATGCATCTGAATATAGTGTTTGGCCTTTTGGTGGCTGCATCACACTGCGGACTCAAAGCTAGTTGTCTACAACAACTCCAAGGTTCCTTTCACCCTCAGTACCTTTGAGCCAAGTATTCCCCATCTTGTATCTACAATGTAGCTGATTTTTTAAATTTATTTTTTTGGCCTAGGTGGAGAAGTTGGCATTTGTCCATATTGTCATTCTGTTGTTTTGTGCCCAGTGTTCAAGCTTATCTAGGTTCTCCTGAGTTTTCTTTTTATCTCCCAGGGTGTTAGCTGTTACACCAAGTTCAGTATTGCCTGCAAATTTATTTATTGTTTCCTGGATTTCCTTATCACTAGTTTCTTATCACTGGTTTTATTAGAACTTTTTTTAACCTGTTAAGCCTATTTTAAATATTGTAAGTTTGGAATTTTAAAGTGTTATAACTTTATATACAGGATTTATATAGTGTCCTTTATAATGTATTTTTATTCTATCTCTTTCTATTGTACTTTGAGAAATGGTTGTGAGAGATTTGGCTATTGGATGAAATAGAAAATAAGTAAGGCTCTCAGAATGTTCCATTTTACTAGAATGTCAGAGCAGACTCACCTGAACCTGAGTTGCCTCCGAGGAGTAGTGGGCATTCCTCCCAAGTATTTCCTCCTACCCCTTTTGTCCCCCAGTGTCCAGTTGCAGCATGTTAAGTTTTCTATGACAGAGATAAAGCCCTTGCCTGCTCAGTAATGGTCTTTTCTACTCCTTTGCTCATTCCACACTACTCTTACATTTGTTTCTGGTACATTGCTAAATAAAGATCAACTACTAGGAGAAAAGGTTGAAGAAAACTGACAAAAAGATGGTGAAGGAAATAGAACGGTGAACTGGTCAGAATATTGGCTTGAACTAGCGTACCCTGAGTTCAAGGACCCTCCCAAACAATGCTGCTTAGCTGGTCTTAGACAAATCATTCAGCCTGGCCTAGCTTCCAGAACTGTAGTAAACCAACAATAGTCTATGTCATCCTGAGCTGCCTGGGGTAAGACAGAACATATGAACATGCTAAAGGAATGCCAACATGGACAGGAAAGTGGGATCTTGCTTCACTAATTTTTCACATTTCACCATATACAAAAGTAGCAGTGTATGTTTCGCTTCATCATTTGAAGGTCGAAGTATAAAAATATGCAGCTTCTCTCCTCAACTAAAAAGAACATGACTATTAAAACATTTTTTCTGCCATTTTTCAATAACCAAATCTCACCCAACATAGGCAAGGGGTTCTGTTGCTTTTTCCTGTGTGTAGTCAACGTTCTCTGTGTATCCTGTTGTGCCTCGCAGCACTGTTTGCTGGAACAATTATAATGCCAGTAATTATTTTAATTTCTTTTAATGGCAAGCCTAATTCACACTGAGAATAATGTCTTTTTCTTAGTGCCACAGGCTGCAACTGATTTATTCTGGAAGAGATTGCTCAAAATCATTGAACTCTACTTGCACGCACAAACTTCTCTGCTGGCAGTTAAGGATGGGGTTGGGATGGGTGGGCTTATTCTGGAGTATGTAATTTGTGGGTGGTTTCATATTAATCTGATTAAAACAACAGTAAGAGTAGCCTTATTCTGATCTATTTGCTGGCTGTCGTAAAATGGAATTGTGTGTCATAGCAAACAAAAGCCTTTTTGGGCAGTAGAAACAAGGGGTCTTTGTTATTTTTGCTGCATCAGCTTAACTTGGCAGCCTCCCTTGGAGTTATTGGGCAGCACTGCAGCACATCCAGTCCTCATCTAAGCAGAGGATGGAGCCACTGAGCTCTCCACCTCTGAACTGAAGAATCCTGAAGATCCGCCTCAGTGCCTGCAGGGAAATTCTTCTAGGGTTCCCCTTTTGCAAAGCAGAATGACCAATTAATTTCACTTGTTAATTAATAAGGTGATGGCAGCAAGGCAAGTGGCCTGCCTTGCCTACGTTCATGCCCTAAACATGAAAGGAAGAAAGGAAGGGAGGAATAAAGGAATACCCAGGAGTGTTTGCAAAGTCCCTTCCCACAAAATTATCATTTGGAGCTGGCCCTGCCTCCAGTCCAGCTTCTTCAAGTGCAGTGGAGGTCTTCAGTTGTGGTGGGCAACAATTCCAATGAGCCCCAGCATGACCAATGGGTTGGGACTATGGGAGTTGTGGTCCAACATCTCTGGAGGTGCCAGATTGGGGAAGGTTGCCCTGGCTCAGTGGTGGTGCACATAATGTTGCTTTGGAGTTCAGTTCCTTGCATTCCTGACCATTGGCCATGTCAGAAGGGGCTCACAGAAGTCAAGCTCAGAACTTCTGGAGATCGACCCAACCTGGTTTTTCCTCATTCCTTACCTTCCTTTCTATTTTCTTTGGGTGCTTCTTTTTTCTGTACCTCTTGTAAGTTTTCTTCTTCAATAGGCTACCAATGGGATAGGGCGAAGACGCTGGCCGAGTTGTTTCTGTGGGTGGCAATGCCCTTTGTCGGTAGCTCCTCCGGGGTTTGGCTTTGCTTCTGGTGTAGTAGGGTGAATCATGAGGGAGCCTGCAAGTGGAGGTAGCCATGCAAGGACCGGGAGGGTCGGAGCCCAACTTCTTTTCTAAGGCCTTCTTCTTCACCCAATAGAACACCAACATCAAGTGTTTCTTTTTCTTCTTGCTTTTGTCTTCTGCTGAGAGCTTCTTACTCTTGTATGGACGGGACATGGTGAAGGGTTTTGAAGACCTGGTGACCAAGATGGCGTTGAAGTAAAAATCTGCTCCCACAACAATGGAAGGAACTCCTGGTAAGTGACATCCAATCCAAGCAAATGTTGACTCAAGTCCTGGGTGTTAATCGTACCAGTAACGATCACACTCTGCTAAGCAGGCAATTCCCTGGACTGTGAGATCTTGACGTAGCCTTGTAACCGGCTGGTGCCACTGTGCCCATTTGCTGTGGCAGCCTGTGGCACCCCCGTGCTGGGGGGCTATGTCACAATAGGGCTTTGCGGCTTAATCAGTTGGTCCTCAACCAGGAAGCCTCAGGCAGGAAAATGACATTGAGAAGTAAGTTTCCACTGATTAAATAGGCACAGGAATGGTTTTGATTTATCTTAGGTTTTACTTCATTCATCCCTAAGCCAGTTTGGATATTTCCATGGAAGAGCAGAGGAGGAATGACTAAGCATTGAATGACACAGTTAAGACAGAGCAAGTAGGCATTCCACTCTGTCGTGAGTGAGCCGATCGGACTAGATGGCCCAGGAGCCCCTTCTGACTCACTCAGTGTCTGTGTCTCTATGTTTCTTCTAAAATGAACCTTCTAACTGACAATAATATCCAAAGACATCAGAATGCCAGCAAGAAGTATGTACCTGCGAGGTGCCATGTTTGGACTACCTTCTAGATGATTAATTGAGCGGTGGCAGAGATGCATTTAAATGGAACAGGGGCTGGCAGCCTCGATCCAAATCAGCTGTATTGTGGTCTGGATCCAAATTGAGGCCCTTCACTTACACCACAGTAAAGAAAGCTTTGGATTTCCGACATGTTACACATTTAACATAGTGATCTGGCTTGAACTACAGAACAAGCACAACCAGTATGGGCTGATTGCTCAACAGACCATCCAATGCACTGCACATCCTTGCCGGCCTCCTCCCTGCATTGCCCTCCCCTCTGGGGGAGCACCACAAAAAGACTGAAACTTCCTGTTCCTGCTTACTGCCATGACACATTTTTTGCCTTTTTACTAAACATTTTTGTTTTCACCAAGGTTTTCCAGAACTCCCTCGGTTTTAATTTTTTTAGAAGGTTTTACATATGAAAGTCAGCCTGAAAATGGCTTGTGGTGGCACCCAGAGGGGAAGCCTTGTTGTTCCTATCATTTCCCCTGGAAGGACCAAGCAGGGAGGAAGAGGAGGGAGAGGTGCCCTTCCCAGAGTCCACCTAATGGGCTGTCAGACCTGGTTTGGCTTGGGTGAGTTGTAGGCAGCACAAATTTAGACGAATGTTTCTTCTCTGCTCTGATCCAAACCAGCTGAATGCAGCCAGCTGCTCATGTTTCCTTGTGTCCATTTTTCTGCTTTTCTTGCCAACACTGCTTATGTGTTTTTCCAGCTGCTGCCTACAAGGAAAAGTGATGTACTTCCCTTGTTGGAAGGAAGGGAATTTCCTGGGGGGCTGGAAAACCCAGAGTTACAGTAAGTACGGCATGTGTTGACTTTGGGGAAGTTTTACAGGAACTCCCAGACTGTTGCTAGAACTTTGCCTCCTGGTGTTTCGATGTTTGACTAAGGCGGGGATTCGTTGAAATTGAATGAGCAGAGCAAGGCGGGGATTCGTTGAAATTGAATGAGCAGAGCAAGGCTGCGGCATGAGAGCCAACCTGGATATGACAGCAGCAGAACTCAGTTGTTAAACCTGAATGTGCCCCAACTGCAATCCAGCAGTGGGACTCTAACTCGTGAAGGACATGCCCTCAAGTAAAATAAGCCAGCACTATCCACCTGCCACATTCCAGGCCAGTGCAGCATGACCCAACCACAGCACTAGAAACCATGATTTGGGCCAGCATGTTGTGGCCAGGCAGCTGACTGGGAATGGTTACCGGGAACATGCGACCCCCCTGCTGTGGCACCTGCATTGGCCAGTAGTTCGCTTCCAGGCACGATCCAGAGTGTGGGTCAAAGTCTGTAAGCGCTGCCTGGCTTGAGACCATGCTCCTGAGAGACTGCCTTCTCTCCTGTGAACCTGCCCCTTTGGGAGAAACTGACCACCTCCCATGGAAGCCCATTCCGTACTCTCTGGGTCCTAACTGTCAGGAATGCTTCCTGGCATCCACATTGGACCTGAGCTTGGCTCCATTGGAGCACGTCCTGCCCTCCTCTGCAGGGGAGAACAGGTCTCTCCCACCTCCATGTGACACCCCTTCACATACCTATATGTCACCAACAGATATGTATTTATTTAATTAGACTATTTTAAAACTCTTTCAGCTAGCCTCAAATATATCAAAAGCAGTAGGAATGTTAGCCTACAAATACCAGGACAGCTCTGTTGTTATTTCCTACTGTACTATTTTCCCAACTTTCCGTGTATGGAGAATTCTGCATCCACAGCACCCTGTCTGCTGAGGAATCACAGAGATCTATCAGTGATTGCAGAAGAACCGGGATCTACTCAGTGGCCCAAGTGCCGCCAGTCCATTCAACGAGCATCAAAGCAAAGCTGTGTGGCAAAGACACACCTGCATAAGATCACAAGATGAGGTTCTAGCTAGATCAGTGCAAGAGTTAGCTAACCACATCAGGAGGTGTACTTCCGTGGAACAGTTCTTTATTTATTTGATTTTTATGCCGCCCATCAGCTGAAGCTCTCTGGGCAGTTCACAACAGCACACTTAAAAACCAATATTAAACATACCATCAAAGCATATCAAAATGTTGTAAAAGTTAGCAATACAACAGCACACTATTTCGTTATCATGTGGAATAGGCGTTGCAGGTATTTTTTAAAAATAGTGTTATGGGAAGCTCTTTCCATAACGGGAGAGGGGGCACTCCTGAAAAGGCTCTTTGAGAAGGTTCTATTTCGTTATCATGTGGAATAGGCGTTGCAGGTATTTTTTAAAAATAGTGTTATCAGCAAAGCACTTTAGGGCCTCACAGAACCATCAGGCAAACATGCAAGAGGAAGCGTCTAGACATAGCAGCCATTTCTGTGCAGGTGTGTTGAGTTCCCCGTTAAAGTGAACCACTCTGGGGCCTGTCGCTGCATCTCGGGCTAAGGAAGCCCATAGTTTATGTGCTGTATGAAGAAGCAAGAGGCAGCCATTGCTGACTCAGATACTGGCTCCCCAAATTACAGGGTTGGGTTATAATGCTCAGAAGAGCATGACAGAGTTCTTGACAGCTGGGAACCTGCTCTCTTAAACCAAGGCCTGATGAGCGCGTACCTGCAGCTCCTCTAAATGGAAAGCTGCTGGGCTCTTCCTTCCATCCCAGTGGCTGCTTGCAGCCCCCGCCCCATCCTCATACAAGTGGGGTTCGCCCGTTCTCCTCTGCAAAATGTGGGAAGCATCTCCGCACGGGTTCTGCTTTCCCAGTGCAGCAGCCCAGCGAGCAACCCGCGCTCCTCGGGGTGGGGGGTCAGCAAGCACCAGTTTCTGAGTTAGCCCTCAGAAACACCAGCTGTGGAGGGAGCCAGACCTGTCTCACTGGGTTCTCCAAGGAAGGCATTACTGGAAGAAAACCACCAGGTTTGCTCATGGCCCAGTCCTATCAAACCTGCCAGGAGATATGGCAGCTAGCAAGGGTTGGGGCTTCTGAGTCACAGAGGTGCTTTCTCAAGGAAATGAGATAAGGAGCTTTTGCAGCCAAAAATGGAAGCAAGGGGAAAGTAATGTGTACTGAGATATGAGGAAACTGGGATGTGAAAACCCATGACCTAGAATATTGTAAATATTTTTGTTGTGCTTCTGATGTGGACCTTTGACCAAGGAGGTTTCTACAGCTGTGCCTATAATCCCAGCATCCTTCCCGCCTGAGGGAGCTTGTCCCACCAAGCAAAAAACTCTGGGCCTGTCCTAGATGGTCATCTTTAAACATTTTTGGTGGAAAAAGATGCCATGAGCAGTGGGAAGTCATAGGAGACTTGAAGTGGAGGACCACGACCTCCACATACCACCGCACATTCTGTGAATGAGGAAGGGCAATTGGGCCATGGAAGCCTTGTCCGGAAACATCCACCATGCTGGGGCTCACGAACCTTTTTGATAATGTTCTGACCATTTCCCACTTAAGTCCGAAGGTGACCATTACACAGCAGGGTATGTTGGGGTGTTTCTCAGCATATGAAGCCGCTCCTCTGTGGGGCAGAGCAGCTTCACTGCTGCCATGTGGGATTACTGATGCCGCAAAGCCCATCGGCTGGGCGTTACATGGCAGCCGGGAGGCAGGGGCAGAGGGAGCGGAGCAAAGGAGCGGCCTGCGCAAAGGAGCGGCCTGCGAGCGAGGGCTGGGGAGACGGGCTCTTGAAGCAGGGCCGGCTCGGCCTTGGGGGAATGGCCGCTCTTTAAGGCATGGCCCTCCCTGAAAAGACTCTGCTGGCCTCCCAGCTGAAGTACCGCTGCTGACTCGCCAAGCCAACGCTGTCAGCATGCAGGGATCGGCCGCCACAAAGTCCAGACAGCAGCCTAAAGCCTCTACATCCTCCCCTGTTGCCATTTCCTGATCCCACCTGCCTGCCTTTGACCTTGACCTTGCCCTTGCCTCTGCATCCCCACCCTCCGGCTGCTCCCTTGCACCCTTGCACCGCCTCCCTTTCAGCATAATCCCACTGCAGGGGGATTATGGTAGCACCAAAAACATGCTGATAAATCTTTTTGAGGGGGAGAAAGCATGCCTTCTGCGAAAACCTGCTCAGTAACTGGTGTGCAAGCTGAAGGGAAAATGTTCGGCACAGGCGAGCATCAAGTCATTCTTGCCCTCCTGGCATTGCTTTATGTCTGTGTTTCGCGGATACACACTTCAGTCAGAAGTGCCTGTCCCCGTGGTGCATCCCATTCTGGAGCTCGGAGTGAACGGTTTCGCTTCGCTGGACCGCCTGTTCGTGGATGCCGCGTTCGGCTCCGCCGCGCGCCGAGCCCCCCGCAGCTCCGCCGCTCGCCCCGTGGTCGCAAGCCGTCACTGGCCAGCAGGTGTCTCTGGCCCGCAAGCCTCAGAAACACACCTGCAGCAGGAGGCACAGAAATGAGCCTGCGGCGGGCTGGAGACTCGGCCCCGCTCGCCTTTCGCGCGTGACGAGAACCAGAGCGGGAAGCCTGCAGGGCGCCCGCTGCCAGGCCTCGCAGGCCGCCGGGCGGCGGGGCGGCGCAGGAAGGCCGGCTCCGCCCCCCGCCCCCCCAGGTGCCTCCCGCCCCGCGGGCAGCGGGCGCCGCAGTGGCCCCGCCGCCGCCGCCCGGCACGCACCTCGAGCGCAGCGCGGCGGGATGAGCAGCAGCCGGTTCCCGGTGGAGGCGAGGGCCGTGGGCCTGCTCAAGCACGGCAGGCAGAAGGTATTGCTCGCGTCCCTCGCCTAAACGGTGTATTTCTTAGTTCGTTTCTATGCCGCCCCATAAGCTAAAGTTTCTCATTTATAGGCAAGCGCTGTGAAACACTTCAAGGTAAGAGCACGAACAGAAAGTCACCAGTTAGGATACTTCGAATCGGTTTGAAACGCCCTTTCTCTTCATTTGTCCTGCACAATTTTCTGGACCTATGCACCTTACTGTTGCTGTAGATTATAATTTTATTTGCCATCTTTTCAGTGCCAGGCTATGGCAGCCCTTCTTTGTGGTCTTTAAAGACCGACCAAGTCATTCAGGGGCCTGATACAATTAGCCAGGTGCCTTTTACTCTTGGCTGGGTGTTTTTAATTGCCCTTTAGTGTTCTTTTACATTATTTTAAATTAATTTTTAATTCTTACTGCTTCATCTATTGTATTTGAGTGTTTTTATATTTTGTTGTATAGCACCCAGTGAGCTTCAGCTATGGGCGGTATAGGAATGAAATTATTATTTTTATTATTAAATTATATTTTTAAAAAATGCAAACAAATGCAAAAGTAGGATAGAATGGGAAAGAACAAGCAAAAGTTACTTGGGCTGGAAATGAGTTTGTCCATTCCTAATTGTTAATTGGCTAATACTTGACTGACAGAGAGGGACCTGTTCCAAAATAAAGCGCAAGTAGAAAGCCTGGGCTGGGTTCAGGGCTCGACCTTCATCCTTCTGTCTTTCTCTTTCTTCTTGCTGGCGCGATCTGTTCCTCTGGCACAATCATGACTTGGAGCATTCCTGGGAAAGCTTTTTCACCAGACCTCTCTGCAGGGACAGAATGAGCATGTCCGGCATTTCTGGCAGCAGTCTTTCTCACAGTTTCTGACATGTAGCTCTTTCATAATTTTGGGGTGCTGTTAAGGGTGCTGAGTCTGCTGGACAGATGCAGGGTGTTGTGCAGAATGACTTCCAGAGGCAGGATCCCCAGTGAAATAGGAGGAGGGGTATTTACTATCTGGAGTTTCCACTGCAGGGACCTGAATGCCTTGAGGTGTGTGAGGGTAGCCTGTCCCAACCTGTGCTGGCCAGAGATGATTTGGACTGACATGTCTGGGAGACATCAGGTCGGGGAGACTTGGGCGAAAGCATGGAAGTCAGATGTCTGAAGACCCTGCAGTTAGTTCCATGGAAACAGTCACGCCTAGGAAAACTGCTCTGGTAGCAACGTGCTTGGAATTGGCCGTCTGTTGCACAACCGAGCTGTTGCTAGGCTTGGACCTGCCTGCATCTAATTCCTGTAGTGCCTATTTTTGCCAAGCTATGGTGGAAAATGCTCTGTTCTTAGCAACACTGTCATATAGGGGGCAATACAAAAGGGGGACTGCGACAGGGGGCGGAAGGTTTAACATGCCCCTTCAGACATGTTGCCCCTGGATCGCCCCAGATATCCCCCTGCATGCCAGTTAAACTTAGAAAAACTGCTTCCACTTGGTTTTGGATGCTAATTGATTGAAGGATGCATTTCATCTGAAATAAGAAGTTGGCTGGCTTTTCTACCTGTGAAATTTAAATCAATGGTAGTTTTCTCCCCCTAAATGTGCATATGTAGATGGTGCTTAGCCTCTGTATGTATGTATGTATGTATGTATGCGTGCGTGCATGTATTTAATTTCTATACTGCCCAATAGCCGACACTATCTGGATGGTTCACAGAGCACATTAAAAAAACAATAAAAGATACACTGTATAAAACATATTAAAGCATCCTTAAAAGGTTACAATACATGATTTAAAACCACCTATTAATTGTATGCAGATTTGTTTCCTCTGGGCCTGACCTCCATTCCTAGCAATGGAGCTAAAGTGGGAGGAAGTTTGGCTGCTCCTCCAGCTGACCAGGAACCTGCTTCTCACCGTCTGCCATCCCAGAAGCTGAGCATGCCCAGGCTAAACCGTGGCTGAGAAGCCAATATGCTTTTACGTTTTGATTAGAATTTTGCATTTCATGCTGCTGGCCACCTCTGTCTGGGGTTGAAAGGTGGGATATAAATTTAATAAAGAAAGCAAGCTCTGTCTGACTCATGCATTCTGTTTAACTTTTCTAGATCTGCATACTTTCTGTGCTCTGGTCAGATCAAAACAACATTCTCATCTACAGGACATTTGAAGAGTTTAAGAAACTTCATGTAAGCTTCATTTTCAAGGCAAATTGCACACAATACTTTAGCAGTCTCTTTCCCACAACAAGCAAGAGCAATATAACTAATGGATCTCATTTTGCTCCTCTCTTAGAAAGAACTGAAGAGGAAATTCCCCATTGAAAGTGGTCTGCTGAAGAAGTCTGAAAGAACCATCCCCAGGTTTCACGGTAAAAGAGCAGCGGGGGACAGGTGCTTTCTGTTTTAACTGGATGGGTGAATCATGGTTCACTGCCCCTCCTGCTCCTAGCAAGGTCTGAGAGTGGGGCTGCTGAACTTCTTTCGGTCCGGGGGGGGGGGGGGGGGAAAGTGGGTTTTTAAAAAAGGGGGGGGGGGGGGGGGGGGGCTTCCAGTGGTGAGCAGGCCACAGAGCAGTGCTATTTTGTGGCACATTTTAGCTTAGAGAGCTTGCTGCCAGTAACTAGACCTTAGGAGAGGAAAACGTGCAGGAGCTGAAAGCCGCCAAAGGATCAGTGGTTGGGGAAAGGAGCCATTGGGAGCAGGAACCTCTCATGAGCTTTCTGTGACCTGTGAGCCCAAAGAGATCCAACACTTCTGATCTGTGGTGCGGAGAAAGTGTGCAACCAAGCATGGTTCCCCGCCTGCCTGGACCACCCCCCACACAGAGCAAAAGTCGAGCAAATGCAGTGATCTGGCAGCTAATCGCCCCAAGCACATGACTTCCTGCTGCACCACCAGCAAATGCATTAGAGGCTTCCCAAGCACAAATCCAGTTCAGGAGGCACATTTGCTCTTGGGGAGCCCCTGCAGCTGCAGCCCTGGGGGCACAGGTAACGTTGCCCACCCCACCTCTCTGCTCGGAAAGATTTCTGTGCATAAATATCCTTGAGTGCGATTTCTCTCAGCCCCATATTTTGCCTCCTGTAATGTCCTTGCACCACACACTCCAAGGCTCGGTAAAGCATGCCTGACTCCTTCCTTCTCGCTCTATACTTGAACCGAAGCAAACATGCCCAAAGGCCCCTCCTGGCAGCTGCCTCCCACATGAGTTGCGGTCCTGAAGCCATGCACCGCTGGGGAATGGCATCTGTTGAAGGCTTTTGCCTGTTTGTTCCCTCAAAGATGTGAATGTGATGCTGCGGAAGAAGCAGGCACTGAGCCAGGGTATGCACAGTCTGAAACTCCTCGAGGATTACTGCCAGGAGCTCCTGAAGACACAGCCCAAAATCATCCAGGGGGAAGATGTAGTCCAGTTTTTTGGAGCTCAGAGCAGAGACCTGGATCCTGCATTTCCAGAAAACAGGTACTGTGATTGTGAAAGCAGAATTTTAGAGTGTCAGGAATAAGCTCTCAGTGTAAGAGGTTCATTTCAGGCCTCACACCCAACTACAGCTTAAACTGGAATCCATGGTTCAGTTCGATTCACCCGTTTCCATTTTCCTACCTGCTCAGCACTCCTGGTTCTGTGATCCAGAATTAGAGCAGCAGCCAGAAGTCCGGCTAGTCAACTCAGACCAAACGCTAGTTGGCACTGTCTGCAAACGCACTTCGCAGATTAACTTTGTTTGAGTCTGGTTTGCCTGTCAGACACAAAGCACAGCTTGTCTACTCTGCTCTCATGCCAAGCTTTAGCTAAGCTGCCTTAAACCTATTTGGGAGGGACTCCTGAACTGAGCCTTCTTTGTTGCAGAATTTACTTTGCTGGGTTGCAGACATCAGGGTCTTGTGGGGACAGATGCAGAGGTAGGATGTACACACTGCCTTGGCCTTAGGAAGGATGTTTCCTGCCCTTTGTGCAGCAGCTGATCAGGAGCTCCGACCTGCTGCATGCCTCCTTTGTTTAATGCCATGCCTCTATTTCAGATCACGTGCAATAGCAAGAATAGTGAACCTCAGACTATGCAGGAAAAGCTTTCCTTTGAGTCATCACCGCATCGGGGTGGGGGGGGGCAAGACTGGTGGGTCACAGGGCGGTGGCCCCATCACATTTTCAAAAGCTTGTTGAGCATTGACTTTGATGAGTGTGACAGATGAGATGCAGCCACCCCCATTCACTTTTAACTTCTATCCTGATGCCCCTCATGGGTTGGATTACAATTTCCATCATCCCCATCAGTACAGCCATTGACATAGAATGCACTGGGAGGAAGGCTGCGACTTGTGTGAAGATCCAGCCTCTGGGACACTCAAAAGCTTTAAAAGAGCCGGAACTCACACGAGAACATTTTTACAAGGGATTCTTCGACCCGAGCCCCGTTGAGCGGTGCAGAAGAGGAGGCAGCCACTTTCCCCTGCAAGCCTGCCCCACCCCCTTCACCGTCAGATTTCCCCAAAGCCTCGCAAACATGCGGGTGCTTCCAGACAAGAGCTCTGTGCACCATCAGTCAAAGAGTGCACGGTTGATTTCCCTCAGGACTAACTGGTTTGAAAGCTGTTAATAGATGGATGATGCCCCATCGCTTCCACTTCCAGAGTGTAGAAGTGCCCTTTGAACCAGGGATGGTGGCAAAATGTTAAGCATTACTTTTAATTACAAACAGGAATAAGTTCAGACTGAATCCTCTTTAGACTATGCAGGCTTGCTTCAAAATAAACATGATGTATTGCAACCAGGACATGCTAGCCAGGAGAGGTTTTTTGGTGACTGAGACTGACAAATTAACTAGATTTAAGCGGTAGCAAGAGGAATACCTTATTGAAGTGCGGCTTTTGGCATGGATGGGAATGATCTCTATAGCGAAATCCCACCCTGGTGTCTCTCCACGCTGCAGCATCCTTGTTTTGCCTTCTGAAATGGGAGCCAGGAAGGCAGAAGCGCCGCCCAGGCCAGCCAGCCTAGGCATCACGCAGCCAGTCATTGCACAGGTTTACAGATGCCTGGAAGCCTTCGACACAGATGACACCAAGGGCAGGCCCTTCAAAGCCCTCAAAGGGGAAACGCTGGAAGTACTCATGAAGGACAAAACAGGTACGGAGCACAGCCGTGTGGCTTCCATCAGCAATCCTTCCCTTCTGGTGCAGAATGCTGGGAGAGGCAGGAGGGGATTTGAGTTTGAAACTGAGACGTCCTTGGCAAGAATCTAACTTGCACTGTGGACTCACTGGCTACCCTTAGATAAGCCAGCTTGTTCCAGCCTCTGTCTTCCATCTGCATCATGGAATAAAAATGCTCACCACCTCGTGGGGTTGTTGGAAGGACAGGATCCGTCAAATACTCTAGCTGCCGAGCTTATCCAAGAGGACTTGGTTGCAGGGCTAACAGATGCTTCACTGAGGCAGCAGTGGGGGACATCCCTGGTTCAGACCTCCCCCTGCCTGGGCTTGTTGGACGCCCCTAAGCAAGCCGCAAGATGGTGGCAACAGCAGCTCTGCTTCTGGGAGACGGGGAATGCACAGCCCTTCAAGCGCACCCTCCTGCAGGCGTTCTGCTTACTCTTGCCACCTCTCCTTAGGCAGGCCCTAGTGGCGGCTGTAGGGTGGGGCTTAAGGAGAGCCAATTTCACCTGTGTTGAAGGTTCAGACACGCCTTCGAAGCAGGCATGGCCAAGGTTCCGGCAGTCAGGGGGGTGCCTTTACGCTCACACAAGTTGGAGCCGAGGGACGGATACTACCCTTGGTTCTGTCTTCCCGCCTCACGGTCTTTGCATGTTCTCCTATCCGCAGGATGGTGGCTCGTGGAAAACTGCAAGAAGCAAATTGCCTGGTTCCCAGCTCCATACCTGGAGCAGGCAGAGGAGGACGCCACCACCAGGGAGCACAGTGGAGAAGGTGCCTCAAGCCATGGCCGCCTTGGCTTGACTCTGGTTGCCTCTTGGCAATGCTTGCCTCCCCTTCTGTCCAGCGCTAGCTCCACAGAGTGGAGAGATACGAGTCGGGCAGGTGCTCTTTCAGCAAACAGAACCCCCGCTGTCAGGCACAGAGTGAAGGAGCCCCTGACGGCTCTGTTGGGGCCACTGCTGCTGGACAGGCAGCCCTGCTCTGAGGCAGGCTCCCCCACCCTGGTGCCTGAGAGGCCCTGCACATGCCTGCAGGATCAAGAACGTTCGGCAGGTGCTTGCAGGGAGCCGCTGTGTGGCCATCCCGAGCAGGAGGCCCCGGAGCCTAGCCGAGGCTCCGCTGCATTGCTCCCCAGCCACAGCCACACGAGTGGCTTCCTGCGCAGCCGTCAGCCTCGTCTTGGGCCAGTTCCCTTCTTCAAGTCCGAGTTCCTCTCTGCCTCCCTGCTGGACTGCTGCCCAGCTCCTCCCTGGCCCTGGCAAGCCAGGCAGCCGTGCCCACCCTCCCTGACCTCACCTCACTCCTGAATGGGCTGCCTGTCCGGTACTGGACCTGTGGCTGTGTTTCTGCCTGCACCTTCTGCTCTCGCTGGCCTTGACCTCGGACAGTCCAAGGGCGCATCTCTTGCCTCTGGCCCTCGAACCCCGTGCAAGCCTCCACCCCACTCCCGAACCCCTGCTGCCCAAGCCCCACACCTTCTGGTGAGCTGGACTGTCACGCCCACGCTCAGTGACATATTGCATGGAAAGAATGTCGCAACTGGAGAAGCAAAAGTCCGGCTGCAGTGCCCCAAGATAGGACGTTCGCCGTCAACTGACTAATCCCCATCGTGGGCGGTGGCTGCAGCTCGGTGGCCAAGCGCGGTGGCATCCCCAGTGGAAGAGAGATCCGTAACGGGCCTCTCTGTCCAAGACGCCAAGGAAAGCTGGTCGGAGCACAGAATGCTGCATGAGCCAAGCACGCGGCCGGCTTGGGAGGAGGCGCTGGCAAGGCCTGCCGCCGCGATCAGGCTGCACAACTCTTGAGAGGAAGGGGCTCTGAAAGCCCGAGCGTGCAGTGCTGAGCCCACGGCCTCACGCACCTCCTCCACGCACCTAGCGCTAGCCTCCCGTGCTCTTGGCAAAGGACGCCTGAGGTCGGGCTAGGCTGAGCAGCTCTTTCCTCTCCTTCCCTTCCCGTCCCGTCCTGTCCAGGGATGCTGTCTTTCCTCACTCAGGCATATGAGGCCAGGGAGCCGGATGAGCTCTCCGTGAAGGCTGGCGTTGTGGTGGAAGTGCTGGAGAAGTCAGACAATGGCTGGTGGCTGGTATGGTAAGTCAGCGAGGGAGAAGAGCCGGCCTGAGGGGAGGGAGGGGCAGATCTGGCAGCTCAAGGCTCTCACTCTTGCATGTTTAAGGTAATTCTACACCATCTCCACACTGGGTTGCGTATTTTTGGTCATACAGACGCATACAATTTCTGCGCATTCTTTTGAAATATATGCACTTTTGTACATACTTTCACATGCAGCCATTTATACCAGCATTTTTATTAAAGTTTTTGTGTGAATTTTTTAAAATATACACATTTTCTTAGGCAATTTCTTCGCCCATGCCCCATTTCTGACAACTGCAACGTCACGCCTGGCAGCTGAGGGCCTCGCAAAAACACTGGACTTGGCGAACTTTGGGCTGATGCTGCAGGACGGTCGCTGCAGCCTCGGGCTCCCTCAGCACAGGCCTCTGGAGGTCCTGCTGGGCTTCAGGACACGGGGAAGCCCAGGGGCTGCCTTCAGCAAGCCTTGCAAGACTGGAGTCGGCCCACCTCCAGCACAGAGGGATTCAAGCTCGAGGGAGCCATCGTGCCTCCTGGAAGGCTCCCTGGCGGGACGCATTAAGACTGCTCCCTTTCCAGAGCACCCTGATAAATGCCTCTTTATGGACTGCACGGTTTGCAGCGGTCCTTTCCTTGGGAGGGAGCTTGGAACTTTGCTCCATCCAATGCGGAGGGAGGGCTTGATTCCAGAATTCAGTTAGCAGGACAAAGGGGAGCACAGCTGGGTCACGTGGGAAGCAGCAGCCCTGGATCTGGCCAGAAAGCAGGGCGACCATGGCTGCAGGCCGCCCTGCCCGGCCATGCCATGCCTTCTCCCGTCATTTGGGGTTGCCCTTTACTGCAGCATCTCTCGTGTTTCTGCTGCTCCAGGTACAACGGGAATGCCGGCTACGTCCCCTCCATGTTTCTTCAGCCCTACCAAAACCCCCACAGCAAATTCCTGGCCCTTGCCAATGGCAGCACGCGCCTCTCCACCACAGACCTCTCAGGCGCTCGTGGTGACTTGAGCCAGAGTCCCCCCGCCCAGCGGAAGGGTTGCCAAGGGCAGAACACTTGGGCCCGGGCGAGAGAGGAGACAGACCTCGTCCAGGGAGCTGCTGCGGCCATGGCAAGCCCCGGCCTAGCAAGCGACACGGAGCGCCTGTCAGACAGCTCGGCAAATGTGAGTGACCAGGAACCCGACTGGCCCCAGAACCCCGAGGACCGTGGGGCAGGAACCATCCTTCACACAGAGGCCCCTGCGCATACCTTGAGGACGGGCACGGACAGCCCCTCCCTCCCCTCGAAGACCCAGCAACGGAGCAGCCCTGGCCTCAGCGAGGAGCCTTGGGGCGGCCTGGACCGTCCACACCGCTCCTCTGGTCGCCCCGCGGTTCCCCCACGCCCCTCTCGCTGCGAAATCCTTCAGAGGTGCACCACCATGACTCGGAGGGCCATGCAAAGGGCCAGCCCCTCGGCTCGTTCTCTAGCCTGCCAGTAAGTGCCCTTCTAAAGCAGGCAAGACTGCTTCTTTGGCCAAGCGCTAGAGAAAACTCCAGCTGGCAGGGAACAAGCACCACATGCCTTACTGCCCCTGCACATGCACATGCCGAGCCAAGCCAGACGCAAGAGGGAAGGTGTCTCCAGGTGGGAGACCTGATCACAGCGGCAACACAGAAGCGCCTCTTCTGGGGGTCGGACTGGGAGGTACTCTCTAAAGAGGATTCTTTCCGTTTTTGATATGGAAGACGCTTCATGCAGGAAGCACAGTCCTCCTTTAGGGGGCAGCTTCCCCCTCAGGACAGCCCGGGAGCGGGGCTCCTTGCATTTGGAAGTGGAGTAAACAGATGGACAAAAACGGGACAAAACTGTTTCCTCCATATCAGAGCACCAGCAACTGGAACTTACTCCTTAGTCACCTGCAGCTGAACGTGTCGAAAATTGCCACATCCGTGCTTTGCAGGTGCCTCCAGTGCAGTGTACCTTTGCTGGGGTCTGCTTCTCAGAGCTGAGACAACAGTAAGAACCAAAAAAGGCAGCTGCTCAGTCCCTTCTGACTCAGCTCCTGCTCCTCTTGAAGCAGCTGCCGCCGCCTTCAGGGGTGCTGGTATTCTTCAGCGTTTGAGTAGCTGAGACTAACTTGCGTGGAGGAGAGGGAAAAGTTCTTACTTGGGCTTTACTGAGTTCATTTTTATTGGTTAGTTTTACATGTTGCCAATATGATGTTCTGATTCTAGGATCTCTCAGACTCCACAGGCATGTACTGCTACCCACACACATGCTAATTTGTTAATTCTCTTGCCCTGGATTGCAGGTTCATAGACCACGTTCCCCCAACCCACCTGTTACCCTTATGCTAAGGTTGCAATCTTAAACACTTGCATCGAAGACCTTCTAAGCACTGTAGGGTTTCCTCCCAAGTGAATGTACACAGAATTGTGCAGTACCTTTTGTTTTGCAATTTGCAAATGGAATAATTTTTTAAATCCTCCATATCCTGGGATTGATCCTCTTTTCTCCTAATGAGATATGCTGTCGTTACCACGGTACAGACATATCAAATATGTAAGTTAATATACTTCTATTCACTGTTTGAAGTTGAAAAGATTTGGGGGGGCACTCACTCAAATTCAAGTTTGTGGTCAGCCCCAGAGGCACCGACAGGCTGCCAGTGTTCAGCAAGCCCGGGGTGCAGACCTCTAACCTGCCTCTCCCCACCCAGGAATGGGGAGGGGACACCAGTGAGCAGGAGCTTCCTGGTGACCCTTCCTCTAGCTTGGCTTGACTTGCAAAGAGCTGGGGGTGCCTCATTCACAGCCCCCCGCAGCTCTCAACAAGGCCAATGGCCTCAGCTCTTCAGATTCCCTGGAGCGTCCCCCTCCCCACGCATGGCCAGCACCAGCTCAGTCACAGCTAGCCCTCTCCTCCTGAGTCAGTTGCCTGCTCCACCTCGCGGCTGGGCACTCCCGCCCCCAGGGTGTCACGGTGGGGCTGCAGAGCTCTGCTCATCTGCCTGTGGTGGCCGGGGCAGAGGTCTCCCCCATCCTTCCAGAGGGAGCTTCCTCCTGAGCTGAGCTTCTGGAGAAGAGCTTGCTTGGGAAACCCCTGGAAATGGTCCGGGTTTCCCAATGAGAAAGCAGGATAGCCTTCCCCAGCCAGAGGCCCTTCAAATGGACTGCAAATCCCATCATTCCTAGCCAACATGCTGGAAGTTGCAGCCCAACCCATCCAGAGGGTACCGGGTTGGGGAAGGCTGCCATAAATGTCTTCCACTTGCTCTTACACAGGCCAGCCTGGAGGTCAGAAGGGCATTTGCTCCCCCTGAAAACTGTGCTAATCACAACTCCTTAAAAGTGGGGGGACATGTGCTAGACGTCTCTCTACGAGGTAAGAAGCGTGCATTTTTATAAAATCAAAACATTTATTTAAAGGTATGCTGCTAGCAAGAACGCCAGCCTGCGTTCATGTGGAAAGGGGTGCTCTTCCACCTTGCCCAGCCCTGCCTTCTGGCTTCGGTCACGTGTCCATCTCTTCTTCCCATTTGGACCCATCAGGAAGCCTCATGCTTTGCCACATGAAATCAAGGAACATGGAGGCCTGCAGTAACCGGCCCAGCCTCTGGAAGTGTCGTTCTGCAAAGAGAAAAACCCAGGAACGAGAGTCCCACAGGCAAGGGAGGCATGCCTTGTTATTTATTTAGAAACACAGAAATGGAGCACGTCAGGAGGAGCCTCCAGGGCATCCAGTCTGACCCCCGGCTCCAGTAGTTCCCCTCTACTCCTCACTAGTCAGACCTCACCTAGAATATGTGTCCAGTTCTGGGCACCAAGATTTAAGAAAGATGCAGAAAAAATAGAAGAGTCCAGAGGAGGGCAACAAAAATGATCCAGGGTTTGGAAACACTGCCCTGTGAGGAGAGACTGAGGGAACTGGGCATGTTCAGCCTTGAGAAGAGAAGACGGAGGGGGGACATGAGATCCCTCTGTAAGTACCTCAAAGGCTGTCACAAAGAGGAAGGTCAAGATCTCTTCTTGCTGATGCCACAGTGCAGGACACAGAATAATCAAGTCAAGTTGCGGCAACCCAGATTCAGGCTGGACATCAGGAAAAGCTGCCTCACTGTCAGAGCAATTCGGCAGTGGAACCGGCTGCCCAGAGAGGTGGTGGCTCTCCCATACTGGAGGCATTCAAAAAGAGGCTGGATGGCCATCTGAGTGGGATGGTATAAATTGGTGTCCTGCCACAGCAGGGGGTTGGACCCAATGACCTTCATGGCTCCTTCCAGCTCTACTATTCTATGATTCTGTAATTCCCTAAAGCAAGTAGGTTAAAAACCACAGCTGCAGTAAAGGGGGAGAAAACAGATGAAGAGGTGTGCATGGAGTAATGGGGAGAACCTTTAGTTTCCAAAGGCAAGAGAGTAAGTGACTGCCATTCCCTAATGATTACAATGCAGGGGGAAGTTTCAGATCTTCCATGGACCTGAGTTTTGCAATTACTCTTCCTGCCCATGTCTGGGGATTCGCCTTCCTCTGGCACAGCAAGAAAAAGGCCCTGACCTGCTGCCAGGGGAAAGGATTCCCCTTCCTTCAAACGAGTCTGCCCTCAGTGGAGGCAGGAGGCCCTGGCCTGAGCAGCCAAGTGGTAAAAAGGGGTCCACTGAAAGCCCTTAGATCTTCACCTTCAAGGAGAGGGTGCTGCAGCATCGGCCTATTTCTGTCTCATGGTGGCTGTACATGCCCACACCGGAGCCCTCAGCTGCGAAGCTCTGTGGAGCGCCCCGGATCCATCCCTCTCAAGCTTTTATTGGGGAGGGAGGGAAGGAAGAACCATGAATCCTGCCCGGAGTTCCTTGCAAGAAAGATGGAGTATAAAAAACACAAAATGAGCAGGATGAGGCTGGGGAACCCTGTGAAGGTTGCAGAAAAGGTCACCTACCTGTGTAAGGCAGGAGGGACTCCACAGCTGCTTTGATGCCCTCGTACTCCAAGAGCGACTCGGGGGTTTCATGCCTGAGGAGGGTCCCAATAACTGCCTGAGCCTCATGGCAGTTCCGTGAGTTTGTGTTCCAAGTCACAGAAAACCTCAGCAAGGCCTCTAGAGGAGAAGACACACTAGGAGTGAACGAGTGCAAGTTACAGGCCAGTGCTCAACTCTCTGTGCGCTTATGGTCACCCAGGAAGGCCTGACAGATTTGGGCACACAGCTTGCCTGTGTCATCCGAGGAAAGGAAAAGGGAAACCACTGGGCTGCCCCGGATAAGGCGGCACGGTTAGACAGGGTGCACTGGTAACCCTTAGGGCAGCTGTGTCAGCCTGCCAGCCCCCCCCAGCCCCCCACAAAAAGCCTGGTGGCCCTTGAACCCCTCAGCTGGCATTCAGGATCACATTATTCCTGGAAGTGCTAAACAACCCAAACCACCCCTTAAACCTTTCATGCTAGTCTTCTCCCACCTGCCAAATTTAGCCCCAAATCACTGTGAACACTCTCCATCTTTCGAGGTTAACTCTGCCCTCAGCTGAATGACTGAGAAGGCTTTCAAAATGCACCTAACAGGCCAGGAAGTCAAAGCAACCCTGCAAAATGCCATTCAATATTTCAGTTACTGTTCAAGTTTCTAGATAAATCAGAACTGTTTGAATCCATGTCTTTTGAGGAAGAAACATACAGTATGAAAACACACAACAGTTTGTCCAAAAGAGTTGTTTCTTACTTGTTTGCCAATTGTTTTAGGGATCAACAGGATCCAGACGTTTACAAAACCCCAGTATAACCCTGAACTTTGAAAATATTTTTTTTCAATTAGACCCTTTCTTGTGAGCCAGCAAACCTGGGATGCTTTTCATCACAGATAAAAGCAGCCAAAAGGTTGTTAGTACTGGGCCCCAAAACCCAGAAATGTAAGCGATCTAGTTGGTCTATGACATTTCTATGGAAAGCTCCAGATGTAGACAAGAAAAGTACAGGCCATGGACGCCATCTCCAAACATCTCCACAGCACTGGCTAGCCTTTTCGGAAGACAGAATGCTGGGCCAAGATGCAACATTACTCCTCTTGGCAATCAGAACAAGTCTTTTTCATACGGATGGATAATGGCAGCTTGCCATGATCCCATCCTAATGCCCATGTGGGGAAGAAACACTCTAAACCCTTAAACAAACCACAGTTCCAGCATCACAAGTGAAACAGGAAAGCTTTGGGCAACACCAGGAAGAATTAGGAAGAATCCGCACAGAAGCAACGTGAGCAGAGGGTTGATGGCATGAACTCTCCGCTCGGGCTCTTTCCAGCTCAGTTATTCCATCGTGTGTTGCACTCACACACTGCCTTTTTGTCAAGGCGCCCGGTGCAGTTTGCATCGTATTTGAGCTACTGGAACGAACAAGGATTACAACCCGCAGGGCAGCATTCTCCTGGGAACAGGGCTTCCAAATGTCTCACATCATAATCGTCCATAATCCCCCCAAAGCTGGGCTGAGAGGTGCCCCCAGTGGCCCGCACCCCTCCCCACAGGCAGGGAAGTGATCCGCATGATGGGAGCAGGATGGGGTTGGAAGCCACTGCTCTCATCTGCCTTTTGCCCAAATGGGCAGCTCCCCTGCTGCTGTTTTCCACTGCAACGTGTGCCCCTGGTATCATATCTAGTTTGGGCCCCTGATGCAACCCCTGGCACACTTTTAGAGGCTATCTGCTCAAGATGCCAGCTAACCCTTCTGGTCCTTCCTCAGCTTCTTAATGCTCTTTTCCAAGTCCTCTTTTCCACCGGTCTCCTTAAGAATGCCTAAGAGAGATACAAAACAGCCAGTCAATGTGAAGTTCATGGAGGAAACATGAAGGGGAGTCAAAGATGCTGGAGTCTTGGGGAAACGTGCTGCAAGGGCAGGGCTGGCCAAAGGCAGCGGAGCTCCTGCACGCTCCCGAAGGAGCAAGCCTAGCTGAACACGGAGCCGTTACCGCTGCATGAGCATTCTGCAATTGGTCAAGCAGGCCTTCCGCTCCCTCACATGCTTACATCTTTCTCTCCAAAAGCAGGAAATACTGCTAAGAGGTGCTCACCACTGAGCTGGGTGGGGGAATTCTGAAGCATCGTGTGCTCAAGTCAACTTGCAAAAATGCCATTTTTCTACCCAACCAAATTAAATCAGGCACATTCAGCGAATGGTTAATTGTGACAGAGGGTACAATTCTAGGCACACAATCACTTTCTTTTAAAAAATTATATATCATTTTTCAGAAAAGTTTTCAGGGTGGTTTAGAAAAACAAGATAATGCAAAATAAAATAATGGCATTTCCAAAAATCCAACATTAAAGACCTGGGAGGATAAAACAGCTTTGCCTAGCACCAAAAGGATACTTGGCGCTCGCTTTGAATTTATTCATGTGTAATAATTGTTGCAGGGTAAAGTTGCAAGCCACAGAGCAGGACGGGACGGATTTCTTCAAGACTCAGCGAAGACTAAAGGGAATCTCCTTTCTCAGCAAGATCTTACCCTTCACAACGGTCAGCACCGTGTGAGGCCGGTCTAAGGAAATGGCTGAGGCCAGTGCTTCCAGATAGCGCTTCTCGTGCAGCAAGTTGGACAGCTCCTGCTCTCTGAAAACACAAACTGAGCATCAACAGATGGCACTGGCATTCAACAGGAGTTTCTGGTTCTTGGGACTGCAGAACAGGCCACCATGAAACCAGCAAATGTAGTCACTTGCTGCAGAGCATCGGCGAAGAGCTCCCGGCTGATGCAATGCCCAAGGCCCAGTCACAGGTGGGCAAAACAGTGGAAGGAGCTATGCAGCAAGAAACTCACCCACAACACTGACAGCACTCCCACTTACTGGTGGCTACTATGCCTGGCCAACTGATTGCCCGGCTGACTTAATGAGGGGGGACGCCTCCTAAGGAGTTGTAAGGACGTCTCCAATCTTCGCACACAGACATAGGAATGTATGTTTAACAAATGAAATATATAGGATGGATGCCTCTTCCAAGACCAAGTAAATCTAAAAAGGTTGTTGCTTCAGACCTATTTTACCCATATGAAAACTGATCTAACTTTAATTTAATCTCGTATCATAGATGGACTAAAGTTTCTGTAACCAGCTGATCCAAATATATTAAATACGTGTTGTGCCAATCCCGCCTTTCTTTCAAGGAGCACATGAAGGTGCAAGGGGCCGCCTCCCCGCCCCATGTGGGAGACAGGTGAGGGGACCAGTGTGGCCTCATGATCAGCGGACTGGCCTGAAGAGACTCTGCCGCAAGGTTCACCGGGCGGCTTTGGTCCGGCCACTGGCTCTTGGTCTCACAAGGCTCACTGCCCAGGGCTGTGGTGATGACGACACGGCAGAGGGACCAGCCAGCCACCGTGGGCACCTTGCAGAAGGCGGCAGCGTATCGCTAGAAACGAGGAGGCTTGGCTGAGCAGCTGCCCGCACCGAGCCTCACGCTTGTGTTAGGAGCTGAGCCCTGGCCTCAAGCCCAGCCTTCCACAAGTGGGTACCCTGCAGCTGTGCTCAACTGCAACCCCCATCAGCCCCAGCCAGCATCCCGCACCAAGGGCACTCACTGCACCGGCTCTCCTGTTCGTGCACGGAGGCCACTCACCTCAGGAGCTGCTCCTCCTGCTTTGCTTGCTGCTCTTCCAGCTCGGTTCTGGTGACGTCCTGTTAACGTACAAGAACACAGAGGCACAAAGGGAAGGGCGGCCGCATGGCAGGGCTGCAGCTGTGCAACAGGACCACGCCAGGCCTGTCTAGGACCCAGCTTGTTCCTGTGGAGCCAATCAGCAGCCAGGCCCAGGACACCATGTCGTGCCTCTGGTGCCACCCACCCCTCCCGACAGCTACTGATGTGCACTTATATTGCTCTGTGCAAATCCACCATCCGTTTGGCACCCCATCTTGCAGCTCATGCTGAGTGAAGAATCATTATTTGACCAAACACCACGTCTACAAGAAAAGCTTCCCCATGTGTGTGTGCGAAGCGAACTGCAGCGCCCCACGACACACCGCATTGCCCACAGCATCCCTTCAGACACGCCCAGCATTCTGCTCCCAGCTGGCAAGGGAGTAGGGCAGATATGAAGGAGAAGAGCAGGCAGCGAGGGCCATGAGCACAAGGCCTGTCGCGGGATCTAACGTCCAAAGGAAGCCTGTGGGAAACCAGCAGGTCAGTTTCATAGCAGAAGGAGAAAGCCAGCGAAGTGGAGACCCCGGGTGCCTCTTTCTGCAGTGCAGCTACGGATGCAGAGCCCCTGGCAGTAGAAGCTGGAGGCTGCGGACACTGCCGAGACTCTGCCGGGGCTTGGCCTTCCCACTCCCACTGCCGAGCAGCAAAAGGTGCCTCTGTGCGTCACGATGCGCTCTGAGCGTGGCTGGCTTGCGCCAAGGCCCTTCCTCTGCACGAGAAGCATCTGGGCAGAAACTGGGCGACGGCACAGCCACCGTGAAATCTAGTCTCACCGCCAGCATGAACCTAGGTCAGGCCTCAAAAGCCCCTCAGCCTGCAGGAACGAGCAGAGCACCCTGTGCATAGGAAATGTGCAGAGAATACCCTAACCCTAACCCTACCTGACTACGAGGAAGGTCACCTTCCAGGTAAGAATGCTCAGAGGGATTCTGCAGAGTGGTTTCAAAGTGGTGACCTCAGGACTGCTCTCGGACCGCCCTGCCCTGGTCGCGCTCTGCAGGAACTGTCTGACTCGCAGGAAAGGAGGGGCGGGCGCCGGGTGCCTAGGCGAGCGCTGTGCCTGACGCGGTTGCTTGCCTCTTGAGCGCGGCCGATCTCGGATCTTCCTCCAAACCCTCCAGAAGGAAACGGAGGATGTCCGCAACATCCCACTGTGTCCTGTGACCGAACTCCTTCCAGGTCAGCGTGTCTGGCTTAAATGCTGATGACCTTCACGACGCAGCTCGCGTGGCAGGCGGGTGGGCTCTGCAGAGTTGCTCCCTCCGACTTAGTGGTGGAGCCACGCTCCACCCAGCAGAGGCTTGGCCTCAGGGAAGTCAGCTTGAGCCAAGCTAGCAATCCCCCAGCGGGAACGCGAGGCTCTGCCGGCCCAGAGTCAGGACCAGCGTGAAGCAATCATGAGTCCCTCCGCGCCCAGAAGCTGGACTGTGCGCAGTGTCTTCCCGACCGAGGAACGCAGAGAGGGCAGCCCAGGGAGCCACGGCCAGCATGCAAGGCAGGCAAGCCTGCGATCCCGACAGCGGGGCGCAAAGGGCTGCATCAACGGGAAAGCACCTGGGCTGCAGGGCCACTTTCCCCGGCACAATTCCAGCTCTGCCATGGTCCTTCCCAAAGTGGCTGGGGACTCGACTCATCTGTCAGGTGACAAGCGAGGGGCGCACAGAGGGCCCCTGCCCAGGGAGGCCCCAAGGCTGAACCCCCGGTTCAAGCATGTGGCATCAGGCCGGGGAAGCGACTGCCTCTGCTGCAGACCCTGACCAGCAGGGGCAGTGCTGCTCCGGTGGACACGGCGCAAAGCCACTGCTTCTGGATTCTGGTTCTGTGGCACGGCCTCTAAATTACTGGGGAGGAGGTCCCCGAGGGCGTGCAGGAGAGCCCCTCGAGCACCCCCGGCCCGAAAAAGGCCACGTGGGAACATGCCCCGCACCTACTCTGATGACATGGCCGTCAAAGGGGGCCTGAGATGGTACAAGTGACCCACTGACGGACTTTGCTTGCTGAAGAAATGGACAAGTAAGAGCGACTGGCTTTGCTCAGAAATGGCACCCTTTTATTAGATTAGAATTGTTACCGCGACAAAGGAACGCCAAGCCCATTTGTGTCCTCAGAAAGGGCACTGCGCTGCTGTTAAGCACGCTAGGACTTTGCAATGATAAAAAGAATGAAGAGGATAAAAATGAAAAAGAAGAAGACGACACAAGCACCCCAGGCTATCAATGTGACCTTTAGGAGAGGGAATTGTGAGTCCTGTACCTTCCACAGCATGACACGGGAATCGCTGGCGCCCGTCACCAGCATGTTGTCTTTCTTGTTGGCGTGCAAGCCCCACACTTTGTCACAGTGGCCGTCTAAAGTCTTCACACATTCACAGTTCTTCATCGTCCAGAGTTTCAGGAGACCATCAGAGTCACTGTGGGGGAAGGCCAACAAGAGGCAAGGTAAGAATGACCTGGGATTTAATTCACTGGATTCATAACTAGAACACATACATGGCTGATGCCCAGATGGGCTACAACAGACTTCCCCAGCCTGGGGCCCCCCAGCAGCGCAACCGAAGTTGTAGTCCGACACATCTGGAGTTCATCAGCGTGGGGAATGCTGGCAAGCACAAGGAGACCGCAAGAAAGATGCTGCATGGCAGCCTCCTGGAGCCGGGATGACACACCGCCTCGGGCAGCAGAGTGCAAACACTCCAACCGAGAACAGACCTCTGCCAGGAGCCAAGCAGCTTGCCTCGTTGGCAGTAAAACCTGACCACATTACACAGAAAACGGATTTGCTCTGTACATGTCTAAGAAGTGCTACTTGCTTTCCATCATTATGGTCAGGGCAGGCGGTTGGGCGGGCGGTGCAGTAGGCAGAAATAATCCACCCTTGTGCCTTACAGAAGACCAAGTGAGTGTAAACCGCTGTTTCAAGTTACGTAAGGTGTTAAGAAAGACTCCACCTATTTCGACTAGCGAATAACACTTTTCTCAACAGGAGATAAATGTCTAGGCCGCCCACCAAGGAAATGCCACTCCAAAATGTACCATACTCTGGGGTGCTGGCCTCAGGCCTGCAGGCCAAGCCCTTAGATGGCTCCCCCGCTCGAAGGAGAAGCCCTGCTGGATCAGACGCGGGCACCTCTCCGCATTCTGCTCACCCGGCAGCCCATGCATCGCCTGAGACGCCTGCAGCCAGGGCAGGACCACGAGGGGGGCCGCCACCCGTGTTTCCCAGCAGCTGGGGCACCAAGGCACACCAAGGCCTCGGCGGGGCAGGCAGCACACGGCCCCGAGGGCTGATGGCCATGGGGGGCCTTACATGGGCCCCCCTGCTCCCCGGCAGTGGCCCTTGGGCAGCTCTCTGGCCTCTGTGCTGCTTTTCCTCAAATCCCTCTGCCAAAATTATGGCCAGGAAGAGACGTCACTGGGAGACGTACGCCATCCGAAGACGGTGGTTGGCGGGTTAGAAAAGCTTTAAATAAAATTGAGTAAGTAAATAAACTGCTTTAAGCGAATTCGGCCCTCAGGCTCAAAATCACTCTGCACCTCTGACATACCTGCTAAGCACCTGTCCTCCTTGGCTCACGAAGATAACCTTCAACACAGAGGAATCATGACCTTCAAAAGTCTAGGAAAGGAAGCAAGAGGCGGAGCCAGCATAAACGGGCGGAAAGGATGTGTGGCTAACTGCAAAAGTGAGCTTTCCTGTGATCATGTGTAACCGGGTTCACAAAGACGCTTTGCAGCCACCTCTGGGCCTTCCACGGTGTCTGAACTTGGACAATGCAGCCGGTCCGGGCAAAGCCCTAGGCCCCGCAGAACGGCTTGGCAGGAGCAGCAGAAAGGCAGCGGCACTGGAGGAGGCCCACTCCCGGCATGGTAACAAGGAGCTGCACAGGCGGGGTGGCCGTCAGCAGGCAGTGGAGCCCAAGGCACTTAGGTGCTCATGGTGGCATATAAAGTCCTGAACAGTTTAGGGCCTGGTTATCTAAGGGAACGTCACCTTCCACATGAGCCCGTGTGGACCTTAAGCTCATCTCAGCAGTCCTTCTCTGAGAGACCTCCTTAAATGAGGTTAGGAGTGCTGTTGGGGGAGGAGGGGGCTTCTCTGTTCCAGCGCTCCAATTATGGCACGTACTCCCCAGACAGATGTGCCTGGTGCCAACACTTGACTCATTTCAGCGCCAGGCCAAAACCTTTTTATTTACTCTGTTTTTAAACTGTTAATTGGTATTTTGATTGTTTTAGTATCAAGTACTGGCACTAAGGAGTTTTTGACCATCATGAGATTTTTAATGAATGGAAAATTTTTAAATAAATACATACAGACACACATACTCATTTTGCATCCATGTCCCTTCTTTTATTTTCTATGTTTTTTTAGGCAATGGATGCAACCAAGGAAAGGGGCAGAGCACACTGCAGGGCTAGCGGGGCTTAGAGAGGACTCGTCATGACCCAGCACCCTGGGGTGATGAAGACATCAAGCTCCCCGGGGTCCCCGCCTTGGAAATAATGGTTGGCAGGAAAACAAAGAGCAAACTGAAGAAGAGTTCTACCCACAAGCAACGCTGAGAAGCATGTCCAGTAAATGCTATTTCTTCCCACTTTGGCTCTGCCTTTCATGTTAGAGAAGTTAACTCTTTGCTGCCTGCTTCACTTCTTCCATCAACTAAGAGTTGTCACCTATTAGACTCACAATTGATTTTCAATCCCCGTTCACACTGCTCAACTTTTCTCTCACTATTTATGTATCCTGGAGATGTTTCTCAAGCCATTCTAAGCAGTTTTTTAAAACATGCATCTTCCTTCTAATTCTCAGATAAATATATGGCTACGTATCTAGGGGATTCCCAGTCAACCACCTTGTTTTGGGCAGGACACATTTTGCTTCCAAACCGACAGCCACTTAACCACCTAAGTTCACTATAAGAGGATACTGCCAGTATCTCAAAATACAGAAAAACCACCCTTCCTATACTTATAGTTTAAAATGATGTAATCCTGCAGACTTATAGAAGAGTCTAACTTTTTTAAAAAAGCACAATAAACCACATAGCAGTCGGGACATCTGGGAAACACAGACAATTCCTGTGGACAGATCCGGATAAAAGCTCAAAAACAGAAGATGAGGAGCTGGTGTTTCTGGCTGGCATGCTATTTTTGCTCTGCACACCTCCCAGTGCTCTTAGAGGCCACCCCTGAATTTTCTAACCCGGAATACATTTGCCAAGCTTTACCTCTCCAACAGTGCCGAGGCACAACCAAAGCATTCACTAACCGAACTACGGGGCAGAAAGCACAAACGTGATTTCTGGCCAACGAGGAGGAAACACTGGGCATTACCATCACTTCAAAGGTTACCTTCAGGCAGCTGAAATCCTGCAGGTCCCATATTTTCACAGTACCATCTGCTGAAGACGTGGCGAGGACCTGGTCCACAGGTGAGAACTGCACACACCAAATTCCTCGTCTGTGTCCCTGGAAAACTCCCAGCAGCACACAACCATTGGAGGTCCACAGCTTGGCTGTCCTGTCCTGGGACCCGGTTGCGATCAGCTTGTCATTCGGAGAAACGGCTACGCTGTTAATATCCTAAACAAAGATAGGCAAGAAGGGTCACGTGCCTTCATTTTCTTGTATGCCACCGCAGAGGAAAGCAGCGAAAGAAATCGTCGGTCTACTCCAGGCTCTCCAAACTGGTCTGCTTCAGAGGTTTTGGCCCTCAGTCCACCAATGGTCAGGGACTCTGGAACTGTTGTCCCAAACAACTGGAGGGCCTCTGTCAGGGAGGGCTGTTTTACATTTTGTAATACAGGGATAAAGACCTCTTATGACTGCTTAAAGCCACCGGTTTGCACCGAGGAAACCTCTGTCGTTGTCTGATGAACTATATAGTGCACACCGTGGCTATACCAGTTTTAAGGCTAACCATGGTGAACGCTGCGTGTCAATTCTAGCAGGGTACTCTTTTCATCATAAACATTTTACCTGAAAATATTTTAAAAATTACGAAAGATTTAAACTTTCTCCCGTGACCTGAACGTGCAAACTGTGGTTCAAAGCTCTCCATAGCAGGGGTTTAACATGGCTGCAGAAGGGAGGTGAAGGGGTGAGTCTCTGCCATGCACTTGACCCCCTAAGCATCACCACCAGTTTGGAAATGACACATCTGCTCCACAACCAGCAATCCCTGCTGCCTATTACTATCTAACTGATGTGGCTGCAAAAAGGGCAAATGCTCCCTTTGGCTGCATTACTAGAAGGATCACATCCCAAGCAAGTGAAGTCCTAATTCCCTTCACTCAGGACTAACCAGGCCTCATCGGGAGTCCTGTGAACAGTTCTGGGCACCACAGTTGAAGAAAGATGCAGACAAGCTGGAAAGGGTTCAGAGGAGGGCAACGAGGATGATCTGGGGACGGGAAACAAAGCCTATGAGGAGAGATGGAAAGAAGTGGGCCTGTTTAGCCTCGAGAAGAGAAGACTGAGCGGGGATACGATAGCACTCCACAAGCACCTGAAAGGCTGTCACAAAGGGGAAGGACAGGATCTCTTTTCAATCATCCCAGAGTGCAGGATATGGAATAACAGGCTCAACTTGCAGGAAGCCAAATTCCAGTTAGATATCAGGAAGAACTTCCTGACTGTTAGAGCTGTACAACAATGGAACTCATGACCATGGGGGGGGCGCTCTTCCATGCTTGTTGTTAGTGGCAAAGTCGTGTCCGACCCATCACGACCCCATGGACAACATTCCTCCAGGCCTTCCTGTCCTCCACCACCCCCCAGAGTCCACTCAAGCTCACTCCGACTGCTTCAGTGACTCCATCCAGCCGCCTCATTCTCTGCCGTCCCCTTCTCCTTTTGCCTTCCATTGTTCCCAGCATCAGGCTCTTCTCCAGGAAGTCCTTCCTTCTCATTAGGTGGCCAAAGTATTTGAGCTTCATCTTCAGGATCTGGCCTTCTAAAGAGCAGTCAGGGTGATCTCCTCTAGGACTGACCGGTTTGATCGCCTTGCGGTCCAAGGGACTTGCAGAAGTCTCCTCCAGCACCACAATTCAAAGGCCTCAATCCTTTTGCGCTCAGCCTTCCTTATGGTCCAGCTTTCACAGCCATACATTGCAACTGAGAAAACTATAGCCTTGACTATATGCACTTTTGTTGGCAGGATGATGTCTCTGCTTTTTAGTATGCTGTCTAGATTTGCCATAGCTTTCCTCCCAAGGAGCAAGCATCTTTTAATTTCTTGGCTGCAGTCCCCGTCTGAGGTGATCTTGGAGCCCAGGAAAATAAAATCTGTCACTACCTCCATTTCTTCCCCATCTATTTGCCAGGAAGTGAGAGGACCAGATGCCATGATCTTAGTTTTCTTAATGTTGAGTTTCAAGTCAACTTTTGTGCTCTCCTCCTTCACTTGCATCAAGAGGCTCTTTAGTTCCTCCTCACTTTCTGCCATGAGAGTGGTATCATCTGCATATCTGAGGTTGTTGATATTTCTCCCAGCAATCTTAATTCCAACTGGTGATTCATCTAGGCCCACTTTTCTCATGATGTGCTCTGCATATAAGTTAAATAGGCAGGCCGACAGTATACAGCCTTGCCAAACTCCTTTCTCAATTTTGAACCAATCAATGGTTCCATGTCCAGTTCTCACTGTTGCTTCTTGACTCGCATATAGCTTTCTCAAGAGACAAATAAGATGGTCAGGTACTCCCATCTCTTTAAGACCTTGCCACAGTTTGTTGTGATCCACACAATCAAAGGCTTTAGCATAGTCAATGAAGCAGAAGTAGATGTTTTTCTGGAACTCCCTAACTTTCTCCATGACCCAGTGTATGTTGGCAATGTGATCTCTAGTTCCTCTGCCTCTTCGAAATCCTGCCTGAACTTCTGGTAGTTCTCGGTCCACATACTGCTGGAGCCTGGCTTGTAGGATTTTGAGCATAACTTTGCTAGCATGTGAAATGAATGCAATGGTGCAGTAGTTGGAACACTCTTTGGCATTGCCCTTCTTTTGGATGGGAATGTAAACTGACATTTTCCAATCCTGTGGCCACTGTTGAGTTTTCCAAATTTGCTGGCATATTGAGTATAGCACTTTTACTGCATCATCTTTCAAGATTTTGAATAGCTCAGCTGGAATACTGTCACCTCCACTAGCTTTGTTGTTGCTCAGACTTCCTAAGGCCCATTTGACTTCACATTCCAGGACGTCTGGCTCGAGGTCAGTGACCACCCCATCGTGGTTATCAGGGATGTTAAGCTCTTTCTTGTATAGTTCCTGTGTAATCTTGCCATCTCTTCTTAATCTCTTCTGCCATTTTGGTCCTTTATCATGCCCATCTTTGCATGAAACGTTCCCTTCATATCTCCAATTTTCTTGAAGTGATCTCCGGTCCTCCCTGTTCTATTGTTTTCTTCTATTTCTTTGCACTGTTCATTGAAGAAGGCCTTCTTATCTCTTCTAGCTATTCTCTGAAATTCTGCATTCAATTGGGTGTATCTTTCTCTTTCTCCCTTGCCTTTCACTTCCCTTCTTTCCTCAGCTATTTGTAAAGCTTCCTCAGACAGCCATTTTGCTTTCTTGCATTTCTTTTTCTTTGGGATGGTTTTAGTTGCTACCTCTTGTACAATGTTGTGAACCTCTGTCCATAGTCTAATTCCTTAAATCTATTTGACACCTCTATTGTATATTCATCAGGAATATGATTTAGGTCATACCTGAGTGGCCTAGTGCTTTTCCCTACTTTCTTCAATTTAAGCCTAAATTTTGCAACAAGAAGCTCATGATCTGAGCCACAGTCAGCTCCTGATCTAGTTTTTACTGACTGTTTAGAGCTTCTCCATCTTTGGCTGCAGAGCACATAGTCAATCTGATTTCTGTGTTGACCGCCTGGTGATGTCCATGTGTAGAGTCGTCTCTTGGGTTGTTGGAAGAGTGTTTGCTATGACCATCGTATTCTCTTGACAGAATTCTACCAGCCTGTGCCCTGCTGCATTTTGTACTCCAAGGCCAAACTTGCCTGTTATTCCAGTTATCTTTTGGCTTCCTACTTTAGCATTCCAATGATGATAAGGACATCATTTTTTGGTGTTATTGCTAGGAGGTGTTGTAGGGCTTCACAGAACCGGTCAACTTCAGCCTCTTCAGCACCAGTGGTTGGGGCACAGACTTGGACTATTATGATACTGAATGGTTTGCCTTGGATTCGAACGGAGACCATTCTGTCATTTTGGAGATTGTATCCCAGTACTGCTTTTCCTACTCTTTTATTGACTATGAAGGTTACTCCATTTCTTCTGAGGGATTCTTGCCTGCAGTAGTATACCTGATGGTCATCTGAATTAAATTCACCCATTCCTGTCCATTTTAGTTCACTGATTCCTAAGATGTCGATGTTCAGTCTTGTCACCTCTTGTTTGACCACGTCCAGCTTGCCTTGATTCATGCATCTTACATTCCAGTTTCCTGTGGAGTATAGATCTTTGCAGCATCGGACTCTCCTTTCACCACCAGATACATCTGCAACTGAGTGTCCTTTCGGCTTTGACCCAGTCGCTTCATTCTTTCTGGCGCTACTAGTACTAGCCCTCTGCTCTTCCCCAGTAGCATATTGGACACCTTCCGACCTGAGGGACTCATCTTCCAGCATCATATCTTTCTGCCTTTTGGTGCTGTCCATGGGGTTTTCATGGCAAGGATACTGGAGTGGGTTGCCATTTCCTTCTCCAGGGGAGCACCTTTTCCCAGAGCATTCTGCTTTGGCCTGTCCGTCTTGGATGACCCTGCATGGCATAGCTCACAGCTTCATTGAGCTACGCAAGCCCCGTGGCCACGACAAGGCAGCGATCCATGAAGGAGATGCCCATGCTAGAGGCATTCAAGAGGCGGCTGGACAGCCATTTGAGATTTTTTTAAGTGGGAGTCCTGTCCTGAGCAGGGGGCTGGACCTGCCAGCCCTTTGCTCCCTTCCAATTCACATGATAAAAGTGGGGTGTCATCCAGTGATGAGAGCCAGTGTGGTGCAGTGGTTAAGAGTGTGGGACTGGGACTCAGGCGACCCGGGTTTGAGTCCCCGCTCGGCCATGGAGCCAACTGGGTGACTTTGGGCCAGTCACAGCCTCTCAGCCCACCCTACCTCACAGGGTTGTTGTTGTGGGGATAAGATGGAGGAGGAGAATGATGTAAGCTGCCTTGAGCCCTTTGAGGAAAAAGGCAGGATATAAATCGATAAATAAATAAATAAAAATAAATAAATCCAGATAGGAATTAAAACCACAATATTTGGCTTTGCTTTTCTGAACACCCACCCTAGCAAAGATTTCTGTACGAAGTAGAAATTTACACCCTTCTAAAGAAATTCTCATTGACTTCAAGGGTCCCCAGTCTGTCTGGCCCTGTGGTGCCCACCCAGTGCTGGCGGAGGGCCCAGGAGCAGCACACGCACATTTACACAGAGAGAGAGATGACCTGGAGCAAAGCTTGCCCCATCCAAGGGGTCCTGCACAGGACGGCTGGGGAGCAACGGGAGGCTGCTCTGGGCTGCTGAGGGAGGCCAGTGACTGCCCCCTCCCTGCAAACTCAATGGACAAGGCCGCTTCCACAGAGGTGGAGATCCCAGGCAGGACACGAGAGGGGGAAGATTCCACAGCCAGGACACAGGAGACACAGCAGTCGCTCAGGGACTGCAGGGATTTGCCAGTGGGTCTGACCTACTGGACGTGCATTTCCAAAGCTCTGCTGGGTGGACAACACCTGTGTTCAAGATCCAAAACACATCTTCTCAAATTCCATTGCTGCTCTACCTTGTCATGAGCCTTCTCTGTCAGATGAGGTTGAAGAATTACAGTTTTTGTGTTTTCATTGCCTGGATGCCCAGCAGCTGGATTTTGTGTGCCTGCAGCCCGAGCATCTGGCTTTCCAGCATCAGGCTTTTTATTGTCCGGCTTCACGGCATCTTTCTTTTCCTTGTCCGGCTTCACGGCATCTGTCTTTTCCTTGTCCGGCTTCCCGGCATCTGTCTTTTCTTTGTCCGGCTTCCCGGCATCTTTCTTTTCTTTGTCCGGCTTCCCGGCATCTTTCTTTTCTTTGTCCGGCTTCCCGGCATCTGTCTTTTCTTTGTCCGGCTTCCCGGCCTCTGTCTTTTCTTTGTCCGGCTTCCCGGCCTCTGTCTTTTCTTTGTCCGGCTTCCCGGCATCTGTCTTTTCACTGGCTGGTTTTCTGGCATCAAGCTTTTCCACGTCTGACTTTTCCATGAAAAGCAGAGTCTCTGGAAGATACCACACTTTGATCGTAAGGTCTTGACTGCCTGTGACCACAAAGTTCTCTTTCATTCTGGCCAGAAAAGATTAAAGGAAGGGTCAGAAAGCACAGAGCAAAAACCTATTGTTCCACCTGTGTACAGAATGAAGCACTTTGAACTCATCGTCACCTATACTAACAGCAAACTCAGGTACACTCAGCTAGGTAACCAAAATTGTGGAACCCCTGAAGAAGGACTCACCATGATCAAGGGAATTTTGCAGAAGTAGGGTAAAAACCTCAGAAGGAACCCTAAGGGTTGAGTCCAATGAGTAAAATCAATGGCCACACAAAACACATTCTGCTGAGGAAGGGTGGGCACCCCGAGAAGGGAGGGAAGAGCAAATGGAGCGGTGTTTTCTACAGGTCATGTTTGCTATCCCAACCGCAAGTTCCTGCCCCTCCTCATCTTAAGACCCATCCAACTCCGGCCAGAGTGGATCAAGGGACGGTAGAATGACTGCTGCATTCTGTCTGCACACATGAATATAATGTCCTACATTTGTGGGCAAGGCCTCCACCTTGTCTGGCTCAGCAGCGAAGATGCGCAAAGTGTGCCTCGGAGCACCAACACCAGTTAACGAGCGTTCCAGGGCCTCGCTCGCGGGCTTTGCCAGCCCTCCCTGTAACCTGCAGCTGCACTTGCTGGAGTGAGGTGCTTTCGTGTTGATTTTGCTAGAGGGAGTTTGCAAGGCTTCCTGGCACAAGCAGCAAAGCGGGCATGGCCTGACCCTCTTTGTTTGGACCCCTTGCTCAGCCCAGCAGACTTCACTGAGCCTCTGTTCCGGCTGATTTAGCCTTGCAGGCGGATTTCTGACTGAGAACATGCTAGCGTTGTACATTCTTCGAGCTCCCCAATAACACTCACTGTCAGCAAATGTAGCCCTGGCACCTCACTTTCCCTGCAGTTCCAAGGAACTTCTGAGTCCGCTGCAGGGGACACAGCAGGCGGTACAGAGGGCACTCATGCCAGCGTGCTGGAGGGAGGCACCACCCAGCGCAGACGCAGCTCTCCCACAAAAGATGTGGGAAAACACTGGGGCTGTTTGCAACTAAGGGCAGCATTCAGTGGCAAATTTGTGCCACTATGGGCCAGGTGTGACATGTTTACATTTTGCATGAAAAAACTAGTGACACACAGACAGTTCATGTTATATGCAGGTTAAATCGCCAAAAAGTAACCCATGAAGAAATCACAGATCAGATCTGCATTGTTTAACCCAGGGGTCCTCAATCTTTTAAAACAGGGGGCCAGTTCATTGTCCCTCAGACTGTTGGGGGGCTGGACTATAGTTTGAAAAAAATATGAATGGATTCCTATGCACACTGCACATATCTTATTTGTAGTGCAAAAAACAGGAAAAACAATACAATATTTAAAATGAAGAACAATTTTAATCAACATAAACTTATTAGTATTTCAGTGGGAAGTGTGGGCCTGCTTTTGGCTAATGAGATGGTCAATGTCTGGTTCCATATTTGCTCCTCTCTTCCGTATTCAGAGCCAACGCATGCGTGCAATGGGGGAAGAGCCGGTGTGTGCGCAATTCACGCTGGCAAGACCAGCACAGCAGCAGGAGCGAGCCAGAGCTAGCGGAGAAAGCTGGCTCACCAGTTGAAGGGAGCTGTCACAATTTGGCACGTGCGCTGGCTCTCTGCTAGTCTCCAAAACTGAAAGAGTTTCAGAGTGTGCCTGAGCCAGCTCAGAGCTTTCGGACTTGTTCGGAGATCATTTTCTCTGAATGAGTCCGAAAGCTCTGAGGTGGGCCGGGTAAATGATCCCGACGGGCCGTATCTGGCCCGTGGGCCGTAGCCTGAGGACCCCTGGTTTAACCCATAAGCAACCCAAACGGTGCAGATCCGGATGTCACACTAAGAAGCTATTATAGGTTGTGACAGTGTGATTTTGGAACTGGTCGCTTTAGGTTGTCCCCTGTGTTGCTGTAATGATCTTTCACTGTCTGTCAGGCTCACCTCAGGTTTTGCTATGAAAACTATCCTGTTGTGGGTTATTCTCAGGGCGGGTTGTTGTGATGTGCAAATGCAGCCATTAATGTCCTTCTAATGAAAATGCTATCTTTTTCACATTTAAGAATACTGCTTTAATGTTTAATTCTAGATCTTATTTCACTGAAAATATGCTAGCACTTAGTAATCCTTTATATTTATCCCATACCTTTAACTCATTTTAAATTTAAACACAGCTCTTCACACACTGGCTAGGCTATATTTCATCGTTTCCCATACGGTGGCATGTTGAGGTGCTCTAAGGAAAGTTTTCTCTACATTTATCCCATGGAAACTGTATTTTTAAAACATAACCCTATTTTTACAAAGCTCTGTCAGCACAATAGTGAAAGGGACAGTTCACAGAAGGCCTCAGTTTCCGTGATTCTGCCCTCCCACCTCAACTCCCTCCCACCCGGAGCAAACCTGTGCCAAGGGATGCATGAACCCGCGGCGGCCAGGGCAAGGCCAGGACCGCCCCCTGCACAGCGTGGCTAGCGCACACCACAACGCACGTGGGATGCCCCGGACAGGCCCGCTGCCCTTCCAGCCCAGGCGCGCAGGGATGGAGGAAGTCTGCAGGGCAGATAAGCGTCGCGCGGAGTGCTTCAGGGCCCGGAGGCGGCACGAGAGCTGGGAGATCCTGCAGGGCAAGGGATGCCCCGAGGCAAAGCAGGAGCACCCAGTGCCTCCACCCCACTGCATCTGCCGTGACTGGAGAAAGGGCCCCGGCACAGACCCGGTCCTACTTCCCAGGAGACTAGTTTCCATCAGGAAATGCAAAGAAGGGCTACCAGAGGCAGGCTGCCCCTTACCTGGAGCAGGAGAGCGCACCCACCGCCTGCACATGACCCAAGCCTCGGGCCATGCAGGAGACGTCGCCGTCTGCCGCCATCAGCCAGACACGGAAGGTTTTATCCTGGAGGCAGAGGAGAGAGCTGTTTTTCAAGAGTTTTGGACACCGTGGGAGGCCCATGTTACCCCACGGTGGGGTCAGAACCCATCCTGAAAGATGGAACAGGAAACCCAAGTCCTTGGTGCAATCCCCACAGCCTTCTCCGGGACCCCAACAGCCTCTGCGGCTGCCTCCTCCGGCATCCTCCAGTGCCGTTTAGCACAGCCTCACCCCCTCCTCTCCACTTGCCCCACAGAATCAGTGCTCCCCTTCCCCAGCCAGAAGCCCTTTCCCACAGAGCCCCTGAAGGCCCCTGCCAGCTCCCCTCCCGCTGGCTGCCCCCCTTTCCATGCCAGGGCCTTGCGGAAGCGAGTCGCCAGCGCGTCTCAACACCACCCTTCCCAAAAGGCTCCTCCCGAAGACACAGCCCTGACAGGCACGCGTGGCCACCCTCACGTCATACAAATGGAAATGCACTCAGGCAGAGGCTCAGGTGGGGAGCACTGGGAACTGAGGGAGGACTACGTCGACTTAAAAAGACCTTGCCTCTGTTCGGAAGGCCTTCCCATATGAAAAGCATATTTGCCCTTAGGACAGATCAAAGGAAACCTTTCTTCACACAGTGCATCATTAAGCCATGGAATCATCACAAGACGGAGCGATGGCGAGCAACTCTAAGAGAGGACTGGTGCTCATGTGCCACCTCCAGTACCAGAGGCAGGGTGCCGCTGTACACCAGTTGCTGGGGAACACGGGTGGGCAGGTGCTACTGCATTCGTGTCGTGTCCGTGCGTTTCCACGAGCCACTGATTGGACAAAACGCTGGACCAAGCAGGCCCTTGATTTGATCTTCCAGGGCTCTTTGCTTATTCTTCGACTATACTTCCATTTACCCTACAAGTGAATTAAAAAGCAAAACGGATCCCGACTGGGAAGTACCTTTGCACTGCTAGCAAACATCCTCCCTCTTCGGAAGACATCCAAAGCAAGCACAATGTCTGCAAAAAAGAGGACACGGGCAATGTAGTACCGCCACACCGGATCCAAGGTCAGCTGAAGAATATGGCAACAGTTTCATGTTCAGGTCTGAAAACTGGGCCCAGGAGTGGGGGCCTGAGAGCAACGCAGGGCTGAGCCCCACCAGCAGACAACCAGCCCCTCCCGTTTTACCTTCCCCATGGAGCGAGGGGAACAGAGCTCAGTGCCTTTCTCTGCACAGAGAAAAGGACTTGGCCAGGGAAGCGGCACCCTTAAGGGGTGTTTCCTCTGCATGCCACTGGCCACCTTAGCCAGGTCAGTGAGCCAAGGAGAGCCCCCAAAGTCATATTCAAACAGAGCTGAAATGACTGCTCTTCCTGTGGGGGTGCGGTAGGATGGTGGTTCTCCACCGGTGCTCTCAGACAAGAGCGGGGGCCCTTGACATGCCAATTCACATGAGCCCAAGCCCGTGGGTCCCATTAGCTGGGGTTAGGGGAACTGGTCCATAGCTTTGTGGCAAAACTGGGGCTGTCCTACTCTGAGCACATCATGAGATGGCAAGATGCCCTGGAGAAGACAAGCATGGCAGGGGAAGCTGAAGGGAGAAGAAGAAACGGGCAGCCAGCTATGAGACAGATTAACTCCACAAAGCCTTGAAATTGCAAGAGCTGAGCAGGGCTGCTGTGGACGGGGCATTCTGGCAAGCCTGCACCATAAGTTGGAGATGACTTGCCAGCATGTTAACAGCACTGTATATGCCAGTCGGCATGGGATCTCTGACAGATGACCTGGGCTGACCTTCCACTACAGCTCAGGAGCCCATCCAATTATGAGCTTGCTGTGAAAACTCACCCCACATCCTGCATTTTACAGGCTTGTTTGCTCTTAACAGGCAAATCTCACCACAAGATACATCTTTTAAAATTTCCTGTTTCTATGCACCGTGGTGCCTCATACATTGAACTCAATTCATTTAGGGAGGACGTTTGAACTCTGAATCATTCAAGGTCTGAATCAATTTTCCCCATTAGAAATAATGGCAAGTGAATTAATCCCTCCCCAGACCCTAAACAATACCCATTTTGGTAAACTTACCTGAATGGCCGTACAAGACTTGGCAATTTGAGGAGGCCAACTCAAAGACTTTCAACTGGGGGCTGTTAGTGGCCACAACAATGTGGGAGTCCTTTGGGCCCAGGAATCGGACGTCCAAAACTTCTCCATTGTAACCTGAAAACTGAGTGGAGGGAGGGAGGGTGCTGAGAAGGGACCCATGGGCCAAAGTCCTTTCTGAGTCCGCTCTGGGAGAGAGGGCGGGTGTGGGAAGGGAGCGACCTGCTCTGATCCTTGTGACTGCTGCAGACCAGGGAACAATTCCCGGCACAGGCGGAGTTAGGGGGGCACTGGTCACCCTGGGACAACTGCGTGGCGCCCTCCTCCCGTGCCCTGCCTGCCTCTGGGGCCAACGGCAAGATGAGATACCTGCTTTCGGAGCTCCAGTGTCTGTGCATCGTACAGGCAGATGTTGCGCTCAGCATTCGCAACGACAATCTGGCTTTTCATCGGCACCAGCGCACAATGGACAAGGCTGTGAAGGCCAGGCTCCTCCTCCACTTTCCGTGCGACTGGAAAACTGGGCTGCAGCTGGCTGTGCACACACAGCGCCGAGGAGGCGTCCCACACCCGGAGGACCCCTGCAGCGTGGCACACGTGGCGCCCGTCAGAGCGCCTGTGCAGGGCTGCAACCACAGGCTGCCTCCCCCACACCCGTCTCAAACAGAAAATTCCTGGTGGCCTCCCCTCTTTCGCGGGTTTGGCAGAAGTTGTCCCCTTAAACAAAGAATCAAAGTCCCACATAATAAAGGAAGCTCATCTGCCCTCAACCAGTTCACTTCTAAAAGAAGAGCACTGCAGCAAGTTACTGGGCGCATCATGCCCATGCAAAAATCACATGCTGGCAGCCAGGGCGCTGTGACGCGGAGAGTGCTGAACTGGGATCTGGGTTCTAATCCCCACTTAGCCATGAAGCTCACTGGTGCCTTTGGGCCAGTCGCTGACTCTCAGCCTGACCCACCTCACAGGACTGTTGTGCAGATAAAATGGAGATGCGCGGGGGCACATGGTAAGCTACCGAAGTTTCTTACAGGGAAGGAGGAGGAATGCGAATAGAACCCTCGTGCATGTGCATTCCGTCAAAGCACAGCAAGGTCAACTGTTTTGGCAGGACTGGCTGTTACACGCACATGCGAGGGGAGCTGTCCTGGCAGGACTGCTTGCTCAGCCTCTGACAATGAGGCTGTTCTTAAAAGGGTCCCAGCCCCAGCTGTGGCGCAGTGTGTGGGGCCTCCATGGGGTTTCGCGATGGGCCAGATGAGCCCGAGGGCAGAGGAGCCCAGCCAGCCTGTAATCTGGGATGCCATGAATGAATCCTGGCTGTCCTTTACCAAACCCAGGTGGGTAAGAAGGTTGCGAGACCGCGTTTCCTCAATGCCATGTCCACTGTTCTTTGGCCAAGACGATGCATGGCTTCTGCTCTCCACTCCACAACAGAGACATGCAGGTGCCTCTCCTACCAGCAAGGGGATGGAAGAGACCCGTGCCTAAGTCTCTGCTCCCTGCTCCCTGCTTGGGAAGGACCCACAAAGCGTTTCACTCACCTCTGCTGCCCGCAGTGAGAAAATGAGTGCCTGATTTCTTCACACCCACATTTGAGAAGTCCCCCTTTTCAGGTAGGAGAACCACAGATTCGATACTCTAAGATGGGGCAAAGGGATTAAGCAAGTTACACAGCCATTCATGTCCCCAGAATCTTGACTCATTCCAAGAAAGGAGGACCTTATGAGAGATAGAAGAGGGAAACCCATCCTCTCCTCTCCTCCTCCTCACAGCAGTCCTCTTCAGAAGGCACAGAAAGCAGCCTCACCTCATGGACAGAGATCGTGCTCTTCAGGGCTCTCTTCTTCAGGTCCCACACCGTGCAGATCTTATCACGGCCGGAGCTACAATCAAACACAGGGGAACCATGAGCATCCTGCCAACCCCCCGCCCCCGCAAATTCTGGTGCAATCTGCCTTTCTATCCGCAGCTTCAAAGCAATCGCCCTTGGGCTGGGAGCTCCTACAGTGAAACAGGAAATAAGCTGGAGAACAGCAGGTGCTTTTCTCCCTGCCTGCCCAATCCCTGATGTGAAGTCGCCTATCGCCCAAGGGAATGGGATTCACGTACTTCACGAGGCTGCGCAAAGCCATGCGCTGGCTTCACGCCCACAGAAGTGCACAAAGGGAAAAACGCTGTGCCTGTTCTTGCCTATGAGTCCTCATTTCATTGTCCTTTGTTTTAATTGCCCCTGTCCAGCCAGGATGTGTGTCCAGTTTTCCATCAATGTTGGTGGGGCTCCTGGGTCTCTGATGGCATGAAATAAATGCAGACTTGACTTCATCCTTGCCAAATTTCAGGCCAATTTGATGGAATTGAGGAAAGGACACTTTTTAAAACACCCACATTTACTTCTAGCATTCATCTTCATTTTACATTAAAACACATGGAAAATGAAAGCATTTATTTAGTTTGTTTTGTTTTCAGGTGTACGCATGCAGTCTGGTCCCCATTTGGAAAATGGAAATCACAACAGTGAGCTTCTTCAGAGCTCTTACAAGGTCATAAACCATCTGGAAAGTGGGAAATGCTTTCAGAAGTAGAGCTCCAGAAGTGATCAACAGTAGTGGAACCTGCTCCGACTTCCAGGAGGGAAAGAGGACATGCAAGAAACCTTTCCTAGGTTCTCACCTGATGAGTGTCTTACTGTCTGGCGAGAACACCAAAGATGTAACTGAGCTGAAGTGGTTTTCAAGCTGGGCAACACACTGGCTGGACTGCAGATCCCAGACCCGGATGCTGTTGTCCATGGAGGAGGAGAAGAGCTGCTGCTGGTTGCTGTCGGGATGGAACTGGACGAGGCTAGGCAGAGACACCGGGAGCACGGAAGGATTAAAGCATCGCCATCGTACTCTTCTGAACTGCTGGCACAGACAGCCAGCCCCCACACCCTTGTACCTGCTGTGGACTGTCTGAAAGGGCCTGATGCATGGAAAGGTGCAAGGACTCAGCTCATGCCCCTCACATAATCCGCACCACCAGAAGGGGCTCTACTTTTAGTAGCCAGAACGTGAAGGCAGGAAGTGGGGCCAAGCCTGCATGACCCTAATTTCTCCCAGAATTTTCTCCCAGAATGCTGGAGAAAAGGGTTTTGGCTTTGTGCTTGAGTAACTCCATAAGTGCCAAATGGTCATGCCAGGCTATTCCCTTTCCAAAGCACAACCTTAAATCCAGATGTGAAGCTTCCCTTTCAACTACGAGTTCAATGCCAGTTCACTTAACTTGGGGTGGATAGAAAACAGACCTCCGGATGGTTTACTCCTCAGCACCTCCTGCCCTGAACACTCGCCACAGAGGCCGAGGCGTCTGGAAGCCGGTCCAAATCTTTTGCAGATCTTCCTCCTGCCCACCCCTGCCAGTGCCAGCTAAATGCTCTCCTGCTTACATGAATTCTAGGCAGTGTGCGAGCTCCACATGGGCAACCAGAAGGACATTAAGCCCCACATCCAGCGACTTCTGGCTGGATACTGAGTGCATGGCATTTATTAAAAGTTTTATCCACCTTTCAGCAGTTAAAACCACTTCCAAATTAAAAATACATTCATACTGCAAAGCTAGAATACACACACATGCCTCATTTAAAGAGCAGCTCAGGAGGGGCATCCCTTTAGCAACTGGAGGTTAATGTATATCACAGCCATATTTTCCACTGCTCTACAGTGTGTCATCTGCAACAAACTGAAAGAGCTAATTGGGCTGAAAGAAATGCTTTCTTACTGGACAACTCCTGACGAGCCTTTCAGGTTGTGCGTACAATACTGTCTGGGAATGTCCCAGACCTTTATGGTGCTATCGCAGCCACCTACAAGGAAAGGGAAAAGGAAAAGAAAAGTGAACTGTCCAGATAAAGTCAGTCAAGTACTGGGAAGCCCCAGCTGCAGAGGAAAACCCAACGGAGAGGGCTTACGTCTTTCTTTGCTTCGTACACTCCTTAGTCCAGTGCCTCCTGCACCAGAGGACAAGAGGATGCTCTGATTCAAACTATTTCGGAGAGAGAGAAACAAGCCATACCTGTAGCCAACAAAGTAGAAGAGGAGTCAAAGGTCATGCTGGCCACTGGTGCCGTATGCAAGGCCTTCCATGTTCGTGTGCATTTATTCGCTGGCCAGTCCCACTGCTTAAGTAGCAGTGCTTGGCTTGCTGTCACAAGGACCTAACAAAACATTTATTTTTAAAATGTTATAAATATATCAGTTAAAGAAAAAAAACACTCACTGATTTTGAGGAAAGTAAGAGAAGTTAACAGGCCAATACATATAAACCAAAATAACCTAAAATCAGGAATAGTTAACTGTATTACACAGGAGTCACCCTACTCTTCACAGAGTAGACTGGAGGCTTTTGCCCCATAAATTGCACCATCGGGCTCGATAATAACTTAATGCCAGGTAATAAATAGTAAATCTTACAGTTACAGAATGTTAGGATTAGGCACAAATTCTATACAAATTACATGCACATTTCTTATAACTTTTGTAATATTAAGGCTGCACTCTTATTCATGTTTAGAAAGGAAAATGTTCTACAGCTCACAGCATGCTGTGAACTACAGGGCCTTCTTCCATCGCAATGTGTACAGGATCCTGCCTGAGGGAATAGGACTATTTCTTTCGACTGGGAAACATTTCTTTTCCTTACTAAAAAATAAACACTGTTTTATGACGTACCCGTGGACAATTTAACCATGCCCTGATGAAAATCGCAGGCCTATGGGGGAGGGCAGGGTGGTCATTAAAGCTCTTCCTGAGCCACCAGCTCAGCAGCACTGCCACAAATTACAAGAGAAGGAGACCATGGAAGGGAAGAGATAGAAGAGCTCAGGTTGATCTGGCTCTGACCAAATGGGCGACGTGTCTTACCAAACAGGCACAATTCACACACCAGGAATTTCCCTTGGGAAAGACACAGGCTTTGTAAGGGCCCCATTAATTTCAATGGGGAGGTACGAGTGAAACTAGATGCTACGTTCAGTCATTTGCAGCTTTTAAACTGCATGGTTCCATCCACCAACACATTTTGCCCCCAGAGGACCTTCTGGTCCATTTCTTGCACTGGGATTCCTATGATGCAAAGCTACAGCCTTTATAACATCACGATAACCTACTTCATCATCATTGCTGAGAGCAAATGCTGTAATTTCTGCTTCATCATCCTAGGAAGAAAAGAGAAAAATGAGACAGGGAAACAGTTATTAGATTATTTGTATAACATTGGTTGCTTTGCACACTCCTTAATGAAAATGTCTCACTGGTGCTGCAACAGCACAGAGAGAAGCCATCTGATACATCTGCCCCCACCCCATAATACTGACTAAACCGGAAACTGAACAAACGTTAGCAGTCTTAACACAAAGCAAAGGAGTGACACACACTGCTTACAACAACCTCTTAAGGTAGGCCGGCATTATGTTTAGTATATTGCAGAAAAAGGGTGATGTGAAGAACGTGGCAACAGCCTACAATGTTCATGACCAAGGCAGAATTTGAAATGGGGAGGCAGTGGTCTCCTGATTTACACATATCCTGTACACAGGGACAGGAGTAGCTCTTTGGGAGATCAGCACAGGAAAGTTTTAAAACACTTAAAGATGACATGTCACTTGAAATTCTTGTCAAGGACACATGTTCGGGGGAGGGGGAGAGAATTTTTGGCCACATTACCTGTTCAATACTGTAGACAACGTCTCCACTTTCTATGTCCACTATACTGACCTTGCTTCCACAACCACAAAACATATATTCCCCATCTTGGCTTATCTGGGAAAGAAATACATGAAAGCAGACAGGTTTTTTGGCACATCATAGCAACAGATGAAGAGATAATTCAGGCCGCACTAAAAGGAAAGAGACTCTTTAGGGTTACCTGAATAGGTCCTCCTTTGTAGAAAGGCTCAATTGTCCGGAAGACGGAATAGCTGAAAGAGCATCAGAGAAACACCAACACAGTAAACTGAGCAGAGCACATACTTCACCTCAGATTGGCCAAAGTAATGCCTCCAAATCAATTCTACAGGTACAGTGAAAGGTTTTCTCCCGGATTCCAAGGGTTAAACACTGGAAGGGCACATGCAGGGCTCAGAACTATGTGGACAATGCCCCATCCATTATTCACCCCAGATGTGTGAAGGCCATTTGAGGAGTAGCACGTCAGGATGCCCGGCTCATCTTTGTTGTATTTATTTCAGCATGTCTACCCTACTGTTCTAGGCAAAATACTGGCAAAGAATTCAGTGAATAAGAGAAGCAGAAAACCATTTTAATGACAGAACCACAGAGCAGGAAGGCCTGTGGAGATCATCTAGTCCAACCCTGTACTCAGTACAGGCTCTGCAACATCAGGTGCAGCTGCAGCAACCCTGACGGATGGCCATCTAGTCTAGTTATTCACACTTAATACATGTATTTCTTACAGGCTTCAGGTAGTCTACACGGCTCTTCTTTCTTTCCACTTTATTCTTACAGCAACTCCACGAGATACACTGAAAATGACCAGTCCAGCTGCACCCGTCCACCTTCCGGGTTGTGTGGGGGATTCGAATCAGGGTCTCCCCCGCCTTGGATGGGCAGTCTGGACTCCTGCTGAAGGGAGCCCCAACACTACCCGTCGCCAGGGAGAGGTGGCAGCCGCATCGTCTGCCACGCAGCTTCGTCACTTTTTGGGAGTAAACGCGACCTCTCCAGGGGCACCCTGGCAACCCGCCCTAAGCGATGGCAGCTCGAAAGGACACTTGTATGCCCAGAGGCACCCTCGTCTCCGATTATGACGGCACAAGCACCGGACGCGCCACAAAAGCGGGCAAGCGGGCGGCGTGCCCGTGCCCCCACCTCGCGCGCGCCGCCGTCGTCATGGCGACGGCGCAATCCGCCCCCTACCGGACCCGTCGCTACGAGACGGGGAGCGATCCGCGCACCCTCCGCACGGCCCGTCCCCTCGGCCTCCCTAACCTGGTCTTTAAGCTCGTCGAGGACCTCGACATCGCCATGCCGCGGCCCCGACGCAGCTCTTCGGCGCCCCGCTTCGGCCGCCCGCACGTGCTTCCGGCAAGCAGAAAGTTTGCTTCCGGTGTGTCATCGTGGCGCGAGAGAACATAGAGATAATCTGGAGAGCGGTCCTCCGAAGAGTCACTTCCGGGTTCCCCTTTCTCCTTCTCGCGACGGGAATGCCAGTCGCTCACGGAATAATTTTTTAAAAAAGAGGCCTGGGAACGAAAAGGAAAACCTCAGGTTTTTATTTTCACGAAGCCCTTTTCCCTCTTGAAACATTGGAAAAATTGCGGGGAAGGGTTATGGAACTATTTTTCAAAACAACGCATGGGATGCTTCAGACGAGGCGTCATGCATTTCCCCAACGCGTTTCCTCAGCACCACGCGACGGATGTGCAGGCAAGATCCGTTCCCGGTCGGAGCCTTGCGATGCTGTTGCACGGAGCAAAGGCAAGCGCCCGCCTGCACCCTTGCAAACCGAGGCGATGCCCAGGTGCAGGAGCGGCTCGTCGAAGCCGGCGCCCTGGCGTGCGCGGGGCTTCGTCGGGAACGGTGGGAGGCTTGATTCGCCGTTGTACTGACACTGATGGCAGGAGTGGAAATTCGCTCCCTTCGCGAGCCTGCCCAGGGAGTAGTTCCGAAGAGCAGTTCCCGTTTTTCCCGGCATGCGGGAAATCCATGCGGCGATCCAAGGTGGGCTCTCTACGAGAGGGCTTTCAGAACATGCACAGTTTGCGGGGGCGGGGAGTGGGGGGATCACACTAGTGCAAAATGACCCTGAAAAGGAGAGGTGGGTGGGACTTCTCCGGGAAGAACGGCCTTGGCGTGACACGGGCAACTGCCTGCTTCAGCTTGGCATCGGCCTCTGCCGAAGGAGGCTGGAGCCTTGCTTCGGAGGCATGGGCATTGCTGCTCTTTAGGGGCAGCCTGGCCCTTTCCGCAGTGGCAGGGCAGCCCCGCTGGGAAACCTGCCACTGCTAGCACACCTCTCCTCCCTGCCCCTGGGGTTTCCTTGAAACCCCCACCCCTAAAAAAAGAATTTGACACGAGAGCTTTTTAAAGCTGCACTGGAGTTGTGGGGCAAATTGTCAAGATCACAGCTGGGGACTGAACCTTCCTTCACTTCATGCTGCAACCCAGTGAGAATTCCCCCTTCCTACCATTAAGGAAAAAAAAGCTCCTTCTGGCACATTAAAATCAGTGGACCTTCCATAACATTAATATGTCAGATCAGCCAGTAGAATCTGGAAGAAAAAACCCTTAAATATACAGCTGGACATTTATATGTAACAGCTCAGATTCCTACAATATATTTATTTTGTGTGTGTCAGAATTTATTTATAAAGTATACTCTACTTATCCTTATTCAGTTGTTTCAAGTGATCAGCAAATCTGAAACATACGTAACATGAAAGCCATTTTTATTATATTTATTTTTTGTGACAAAGAGCTCTACAGGCTATAATCTGAAAGTTACATTTACATCTTTCGTATTGAAGAAATGTAGAAAGTGCACTTTTTCCTACATTGCTAAATCAAAGAGTACTTTGCATGATGCAGTCTTCTGTATTGTCTTGAGCACAACGCATCTGCTGCTGGCTATTGTGGGTTACTCTCTCTAGCTCTCATGATCACAGCAATGGGTACACTGTCCTTTAAGATTCGGTAGCGTTGAACTTTTCAAGACGTACCTTTCTTCAAGAATCCTGGAAGAAGAACAGGTGTTAGTATCTGGAACTCTGGCTGGCCGACTCAGCTCTTTCCATGTGGCACAGCCCACTGCTTACTGAACTGCACACTCTCTCCCTTTCCGTGACGTGTAGGAACAGGGGTTTTATTGCCCATAGTTTGTACTTACGGACAATAAGCTTAGTGTTCCCTTTGCTGTGGGCACTGTTATCTCACCCAAGGCCATGGAGGAGGCCAGTGATGATTTTCAGGCAGTGCCCCAAAATGTGTGGCCACACCACAGAATTGGGAGACCTGTGACAGAAATACCACCCCACCCCCCAGGTTTTGGCACCTGAGAGCCAAACTGCTCATAAAATGGGAAACTAACTACCCAGATCCATCACAGCTCCAATTCCAAGCAACTCTTTCACATGGAGGCCATGATACAGGCAGCATGAAGAGACCCAGGCCCTAGCAGAATGTCGGTGGTTCAGTTTAGATGCCAGGAAGCACCTCCTGACCGTTGGGACCCCGAGGGTGTGGAATGGGCTTCCTCGGGAGGTGGTTGAGGCCCCATCGGTGCGGGTGTTCAAAGATAGGCTAGACATGCATGTGGTGGGCATATCGTGAGCGGAGCCGGCTGGAGCAGCGGGTCAGACTAGATGGCCCAAGAGGTCCCTTCTGACTCACTCTGTTTCTATGACTCTTATGTACTAGACAAACAGAACCAAAAAGCTGAAATACACAGGGAAGGAATAGAGAGCATTTTCTGGGGCAACATAATAAGAGCAAGGCACACCCCAAGTCTGCGCTGCTCGTACTGAGAACTTAAGGACCAGCTGCCTGCCTAGATTCGTGCCCCGGAAATACCAGAAACAAAAGTGGGCAATAGGCCATGCTTTCCTCCTCCTGATGCTCTTTCCCCTCCCTTCCTCTTCTTTCCTGTGCGGCAGGAAGAGGCTGGCGCATGCCAGAGAGGCCTTCTGAAATGAGGCCAAGAACGTGGGTGCCCCCCCCCCAGTTGAAGCAACCCCCACATCCACGCACCCTCAGAGCTCTGTGCCATTGTGTTTGATTCTCTTCTCACAATTAGCACAGGCTGATAAGAGATGCGAGCCAACACATCCGCCTCTGCCCTACACAGCCATCTAGAACGAAATAAGCTGCACCAAATACACGCCGATGAACTGTTGCCTAAAAGCAAACGTCAGAGTTTAATTAAAGTAAAGCCGCAGAGGGCAGCAAGGAAGCACACGGAAACCCCTTACAACAGAAACCTCCACGGGCGCGACTCCAAACCCCCCACATCCCCTGCCTGCCTGCCTGCCTGCCAGTCCGACCGATCCGAACAGCACATCACGCCGGAACAGGCAGCTCGGGAATGCACTGCAATGGTTTCCTCCTACTAGGCGTTCTCCAGATGTGTTGATCTACAGCTCCTACCGTCCAAAGGCAGGTCGACTGGGGATGATGGGATCTATAGTTCTCAGACCTGGAAGAGACTGGGTGAGCGAAGGCTGCACCAACGCTGAGAAAACACCCGCTCGTCCGGAAACGCCGCTCCTCGGCGCGCTCTTCGCCACCGACACGGCAGGCTGCGCGTCCGCTCGCCGGCGGCTGCCGCAGGAACGGCTCCCGCACGCCGCGCGCCTGCGCGTCGCTGCCGGAAGGGGGCGGGGAGGCGCGCGGCTCTCGCGAGACGTGGCTGCATAAAAGGCTCCCGCCGCGCGCTCGGGGCCTTCTAGTCGAGATCACGTAAGTGGGGCCGGGCCGGTGCGGGGCATCCGCCGCCATCGGGGTTGGGGCGGGCGGGCCCGGGCTCTCTCTCCGGGCGGGGGGGCACCGCTCTGCCTCCCGCGTTCCTGGCAAGCCGGGCGCGGGCCCATTGCATCCGCGCGGCGAAGTCCGGCCGGAAAGCCTCAGCTCTCTCCGCCGCCGCAAAGAGCGCGGCCGCGGGATGCCGCGCGCGGGGCAGCGGAGCCCGCCTGGCGGGCGAGCGAGCGCTTCCCGCGCGTCGCTTGCGTTAGCTGCCGCGCTCAGCTAGCTTTTGTGATGCCGGGCAGGGTGATGACTGGCACTCCACCCCTCCGTTTTTCAAATTCAAAAGTGTAGGCACTCGAGACTATTAAGTGCTGGCAATTTAGGAGCCGGGACTTGGCAATCCTAAAAGAACTGAAAGAATTCTTGTGCACAGAGGACTGGCATTGGCGCCCCAATGGTTTTCTGTCATTGACCTGGACTGGTGTTTATAACTTGGCAACGGTCCCAAATCTGATTCAGTTAATCTAGGATGCAAATATTGTATGGTGCCACTTGACATTTGAGAATGGAAAGTCATGTGTTAAAAGTTACATTGTTTTAATAGATTTCTGTGGCATGAATCTGTCCTTGTCCTAATGTGTTCAGAGAATTCAGCATGCTAAACTGTTGCAAATGCTTTTATTTTCCAGCAAATGGCGGACGACGCCGGTGCTGCGGGAGGGGCAGGAGGTGGCAGCAGCAGTGGAGCTGCAAGAGGGGGTTTTCGAGGCGGCTTTGGCAGTGGCGGACGTGGACGTGGACGGGGCCGTGGTAGAGGCCGTGGACGGGGCCGCGGGGCTCGTGGAGGCAAGGCTGAAGACAAGGAAGTGAGTTGAATTCTTGCAATTTGTCTCCCTTTAAGACTTCAGTGCAGGGTGTTTGAGAGTTTTATTGAAGCTGGTATCCAAGGAACACTGCAGGAACAAAGGAGGTGAATGCTTTTGGGCAACTCTCACCCCTGTTCAAGTGGTGCTTGGTGGGCATAGCTGTCAGAGGTTCCCCACTGGTGATCCCTGCAGGGGACCCGTGTTTTGTTCAACCTCCCATCAAGTGTATGAACCGGGTGGGAGCTTCCTCCCCAGGGGCTGGCCACAGTGGCTTCTTGGTGGCTACCACAGCAGGCAGTGAAGGTGTGCTGCTTGGTTTCTGTAGAGGATACAGCTTTTCCTCCTTGGGTGCTTCAGGGAGCTCCCAAAGACTTCCTGCTCAGGAGCCCTGGGTTTGGATGACACCATGTGCCCAGGAGTGGCTACAAAGTGCTCCAATTAGCCATGGCACATTGGGCTCAACTTCACAACCAGAAAGAAGCTGCCTTGCTGGGCGAGTGTGAAGTTCAGACAACATACTGAAGCAGGGTGGCAGCCATAGGTTTCAAGCCAGTCCAAAATCCTTAGACAACAACAAGATAATAAAGGCTCCACTAGAACAGAAAAGAGCCTTTTTTTGCATTAACAAATCCATTACCCTTGTTTTTATGGCGGTGTGGAACTTGAAATACCTCTGGCAAAGTAAGACCTAAATCCGCCTCTGCAGAAATACTGTATAAGTGGGGCATAGAAAGCAGGTGAGGGAATGCCGTATTTACATAACCTACATTTAGAAAACAAGCGGCAGCAATTTCTTGCAGGTAGAAAACTAACACAGCCAAGAGGAAGACAGACTAGAGCAGTTCCCTATAGCAGTGTTTTTCAGCATGGAAGAACATGCACTGTTTGCAACTTGTGTTACTATTACTGTTTTCCAGGGGAGGGGGCTATGATTTAGAGGTCAATTGGTGTTGCTACCATATGTGTAAGATAAGGTACTGCAGAATATTTAGATGGCTTGAAACAGTTGGCTTCTTTTTTTTTCAGTGGGTTCCAGTCACTAAACTTGGTCGTCTGGTCAAGGACATGAAAATTAAATCTCTGGAAGAGATCTACCTTTTCTCTCTTCCAATCAAGGTATCTCCCTAGGTGGCATGGAGAGTTTATTTAGAATGAACTGTTTTCCATTAGGGTTTACTGTGGTTGTTACAGTGAGCATTACGAAGACAATTAAGGGAGTGGGGAAATGGTAGCAATTGATAGAAGTTTCTCTTGAAATGTGACAACCTGGGAACACCCAGTGAAACTGATTGGCGGTGGATTTGGGGGCAAACCAAAGGAAAGGCTTCATGCAGTATATAAAATATGGAGACCCTTGTCATAGGTTTATGGTGGTTTGGAGTTCAGAAGGCATTGAAGGGAGTTTGGACAATTTCATGGAAGAGGAGGAGGGGACATGCCAAACTATTACTTCTGGACATGGAATCTTCATGTTCAGAGGCAGTAGATGCAACTAAAGAGTGGTAGCTGAGGAGCAAGAGTGGGCTAAGGTTGTTGCTTGGGGCATCCTTAAGTCATCTGGTTGGTACCAAGGAACAACATGCTGGACTGGAGAGACTCCATACTGTGGTCCAGCAGGACTCTTCCAATGTTAACTTGTGCCTTCTTATTGACACCTTCGATGGCTGATTTGGAAACATTCACTTTGCAGGAATCTGAAATCATTGACTTTTTCCTGGGCTCCTCTCTGAAGGATGAGGTTCTGAAGATCATGCCTGTTCAGAAACAAACTCGTGCTGGCCAGCGCACAAGATTCAAGGTAACCATTGGTCACTGTGTTTCTTCCAAAAACAAATTGCCTTCTCTGGCAGCTGAGATTATTGGACTTGCAAGAGTCTTGAAAGTTTCATTCTCACACCTAATGAACAATTTTGTGACCAGTGGTGGAATCACTGCCCCAGAATAAGCTTTGTTTGGTACTGGGGATGCGTGGGAAGCTTTTGAGTGCCACAATGTTTAGAGAAATGTGCCTAACTTCTAACCTAGTGAACTGTCGCTGAATGTGTTTAAGCAGCATGGTTATGAGGAACACATACCGCCAAGGCTTTTGCACAGTGGCAAAGAGGTGCTTTCAAATTCAACTTCACAGTTAATGGGGCCATTACTTTTGTTTTCCTTTTAGGCCTTTGTTGCTATTGGTGACTACAATGGCCATGTTGGTCTGGGCGTCAAATGCTCCAAAGAAGTTGCCACTGCAATTCGTGGAGCCATCATCTTGGCAAAACTGTCCATTGTCCCTGTGAGGCGAGGTTACTGGGGCAACAAGATTGGCAAGCCCCACACTGTGCCGTGCAAGGTAATAGCCACATTTTCTGGAACTGGTACTTGGATTTTGACTCAGACTGTATATGTACAGATTATTCAGCAGGCTTGTGGGTTTATTTCAGGTAACAGGCCGTTGTGGGTCTGTCCTGGTGCGTCTCATCCCTGCGCCACGCGGTACTGGAATTGTGTCTGCCCCAGTTCCCAAGAAACTACTGATGATGGCTGGTATTGACGACTGTTATACCTCAGCGAGGGGTTGCACCGCCACCTTGGGCAATTTTGGTACGTTGCTGTGCATCTCTGATTACCTGGCCTTGACTTGAGGAGTGATAGTATGGTGCCATGGACCTCATGAGAGTCCTGCAGTGATGTCCCCTACTCCAGCCAAGCTCCTGGAGATGCTTGAAGGCACAGGGTACTGGATATGGCCTTTATGGTGCAGCCCTGAGCTCTGTGCTGCCTTCTCGCCTTAGCGCTGGCAGCTGTTCAGTACTAGAAAAGTAGAGCTCCGTCCTTTGAGGAGGGCAGGTGAGCTTGAGGCATGCCTTATAGGAGGGCTTTTATGAATGGGGTGTTGGAATCTTGTGTTATACCCTCCTGCATTCTGGAGCGAAAGCCATGGAGCCGGCAAGAAGATTAGAGACCAGTCTTGCAGAATCTACATTCACAGGAGGTCTGCCGCTAAAATAGTCACTCTGGGGGGCTCACCCAGCAATGTCATTAGGCCCTGCTCCTAGTTCCTGCGCAGAAATCCATGTCTGGTTTCCCTCAAGCATTTTTGGCATCTCAGAAAACCACCAGTCAGTTCTGATCTTCACTTCTTGCGATTCTGCCTTTGTTCCTTTGCTGCATTGATTGAGCACATGCCACATCCACTGCTGGCCTGGTTTATTTATTCTACTTACATTCTGCACTAAATTGATTCCAAGGATTCTCTAAGCAGATGAGTTTACATGTAATGACTAACCATGGGAGTGAGCGTGCCGCCTCTGCTTTTGCTTTTTTTCTTGTTTTGAAAAGAGCTCGGCACACAATGTGTGATCCTGGATCTCCACAGTTTTAACAGTTCGTTGCTAGGTTAAAAGTGGGTGGTTTCTGCCTCAGCAATCCAGAATTCCACATAGGCATATCGTGGAGCAGTCCAGGAAGGGTATCTGTGTGGTGTTCTCAAATTGGAAATGAAGCTGTGTGCCTTCAGGGAAAGGGGCCTGCTCTGAGAGTCAACTATGGCCCTGAGCTTGGGGTTGTATCCTGTGCCATATCTAAAGTACTCCCTTCAGGATGTTCCCTCTCCACTCTGCCCAGTTGCACCTGACCACAGTGGTGCACCTGTCGTTACTGGAGAGGGACAGCAAATGGGTTCATTCTTGCACGGCGGTGAGACTTGGTGAAATGGCCTTACTGTTCTCTATTGGACCCAATAGGTTTATTTGAGCATGTGCGTATGGAATGCGACCAATTGCTGTAATGCTCAGTAGAAACCGTTGGGTTTGGTACCTTCTCTTTAATGTCTTGATCTGAGATAATTTCCTTTTCCCCCAGCTAAGGCCACTTTTGATGCCATCTCCAAGACTTATAGTTATCTGACCCCTGATCTCTGGAAAGAGACAGTGTTCACCAAGTCTCCTTACCAGGTAAGGAAAGGGTAGCTTTGTGGGGTGGGGCATGTGTGTACAATGATCTTTGGGAACTGGCTTTATTGTTGGGTTCTGTCTGTCCCTGCCGAGAGCTGCAGGAGGGACATGCTGTTTATTTTGACTTAATGCAATTCCCTGTGCCAGTTCAACCTGCCTTTGCATCCCTTTTCTACCAGCTTGCAATTCTTTTCCCTCTGAAGAGGGAAGGAGGGAGTATACTTAATAATGCAAGCAGCACCACAGTTGAAATTTTTATAGGGCTTACTACCTGGGCTAAGGAAATCCCTCACAAATCATGTGCTGCTTTACAGTGGTTATTTCTTCTTCTGCAGGAGTTCACCGATCATCTGGCCAAGACCCATGCTTCCAGAGTGTCCGTACAGAGAACTCAGGCAGCTGCTGTGGCAACTACCTAAATGTTTCTGTATGCTAAATAAAGTTTGATTCTTACACAGGCCTGGTAAACATTGTTTGCTCAGTGAACAGAAGGAATAGCATTGGCCCCTCAAGAGGAAGCGAATCTTCACTCAGTAGGCAGTCATTCTCATCCCAAACTAGAGTGTTGGCCTTAAGTATTTTTAGAATTGCCCGTCAGAATCAATACAACAATTAACTTTTGTTGTTGGAACATACAAAATGGCCAGTAAGGGTAGGCTTCCTTCATAATGGCCTGCTAGATCATTGCAATAACCTTGACATGTTTGGGTCCCTACATTTTGTGGTCACATGTCTATTAAAAACTAGTTTGCAGACCTTGCTGTCATATCTGTTGTATCTGCTGGACCCAGCCGGTGATGTCTAATTCTTTTTAAAAGCCACACCAGCTGCTAATTCCAGAACTTGAGTCCTTGTGGATGTAGTACTTACTACAAGAAAAAAGGTCAACTAAGGTCTTGCAAAGCTCCGCCACGATGACACGGCTCTCCTGCGTGTGGCCTGCTCTGCCCCGGCTCTTCACAAACCGGAGGCTCAAAGTGCACAATTCCTACTTCCCCCATTTCTATCATATTGGGTGCCTGCCTGAAAGAAAACTCCTTCCCACAGATCATCAGTTAACAGACTGATGTAGGCGGCCTTGAATGTCACACAAATAGCCACGAGCTGGTATATAGCTGGGGAATCAGCTTCAGGTAACGCCTGCTATGCAAATAGCCAAACACTGGTCCTTCCAAAGCACTATAGGTTCTGGTTCTCCCACATGTATCTATATGAAAGACATTTAAGTCTTAAGTTTATTTTTCAACATTGGTGCTGAAGTTTGCCATGTTATTTTACAATTTTGAGAGAAAAGCATAGGTGTTGCCACTGGGTGTGCTATCAAACAGTAAGCATGCATCAGCTGTTTGAAATCCAGTCCTAAGTTGTGATGAGCAAGTTCTGCTCAGTCCTGGCTTTTGGCTGCTGCCTGGGCCTTGTGTTCTGCAATCATCCGGTGCTTCTGCTTCATGAGACACTTGCGTGCTGATCTGTAGGCACCCAGTTCGCTATCTAAGGCAGAAAAAGCCATGAGTCAACTTTGGCAAAGGCATCAGGAAGGCTGGGACCTGCTGCAACAGCTGCAAGGCCCAAGCAGGTAAACTCACTGGAAGGAGTGCTTTGCTTGGCACTTTTTCTGGGGACTCAAAAGTAAATGCTCTCAGCAGCATTAAGCCTTTACCCAGTTCCATTCCACTATGGAGACTTCATTCCACAAAATTAAGGAAGTCATTCCTCTTTTGCCCAGAAGGGAGAGGTTAGGTGCTGCCTGATGCTGTGCTAAACTTGGGAGACCATATGGTCCAGTCCTCCGTCAGCTTCACTGGCTTCCCATTGAAGCCCGGGCCCAATTCAAGGTGTTGATTATGACCTACAAAGCCCTAAACGGCTTGGGTCCGGGCTACCTGAACGAGCGCTTACGTCCGTATATGCCCGACCGCCCTTTGAGATCTGCGGGAGAGTCCCTTCTCCGGGAACCCTCCATGAAAGAAATTAGGAGAGTAAGTACCCGGAGGAGGGCTTTCTCTGCGGTGGGGCCCAACCTATGGAATTCACTCCCCAAAGAGGTCCGCCTGGCACCGTCGTTACTGGTTTTTCGGCGCCAGGTAAAGACCTTTTTATTTAAACATCATTTCAATTGTTAAAACATATGATCTGGCCTGGGCAACTACTTCTTCCTTCTCTTTCTCATCCTATATTTTTATTTTATACTGATAATTTTAATTTTGTATTTGTAAATCAATGTATTTTTTGTATTTTTATATTTAATGGTAATTTATTATGTACTATTGTATTTCAATGTATTTTATCATGTTGTAAGCCGCCCCGAGGTTTCGGCAAGGGGCGGCATAGAAATGTAATAATAACAACAACAACAACAACAACAACAACAACAACATGGACAAGCAGAGGCCAGGGCGTGCTGACAGAGCCTTCTGGGGAGAGTCCCCGCTTGGGGGGGAAGCTTGCCGACCAGCCACTCTTCCCTCCTCCAGGGGATGTGACCTAGCCTTTGATGCACCTACTTCTGCAGGACTGGAAAACGGGAAATCCTGCCGTCCGTTCAGAACTTCCTCTTCACCCCCACTGGTCAACTGCTGCCTTGCCTTTCTTTCGAGACTGACTGGGGCAGCTTCTACTGGAGGGCCTGCTTCCTCTGGGATGATGAGATCCAGGGCTACCCACCCAGCCCTGAAGGAAGGGCTTCCCGAGACTAGCTGGCCTCATTACTCTGGAGCAGTGTTGGCCCCACAGGGCCAGCCCTGCAGCCAAAGAAACGGGGGGCGGGGGGGGGGCGGGCAAAGCTGGACTCACATCTGCTCTCGTACGCCTGGCTCACGTCTTTGAACTGCTGCAGCTCCGCGGCACAGTTCTGCAGGAAGCTAGGCCCTTCCCGTTGCTTGCAAGCCTCTAATCTGTCCTGGATTATTTTCACAATTTGTTGATCGACTTTGCTGTGGAAACAAAAGTGGGAGGAAGGCACACACAAACTTTATGCTACAATATATTTATTTAGGCCCACCCCCAAACAGGAATGTTGCACTGGAGGAAGTTTAGCAGAAAGGGAAGACATGGCAGCACACAGTCTAATGTTTGTCATTAGAAACAAAGCAACACAGAAACACAGTGAGTCAGAAGGGGCCTCCCGGGCCATCCAGTCTGACCCCCGGCTCCAGCTGGCTCTGCTCACGACATGCCTATACCATGTGCACGTCCAGCCTGTCCTTGAGCACCCTCAACCGATGGGGCCTCCACCACCTCCAGGGGAAGCCCATTCCATACCCTAGAACAGTGATGGCAAACCTTGTAGAGACTGAGTGCCCAAACTGCAACCCAAAACCCACGTATTTATCGCAAAGTGCCAACACTGCAATAAAACTTGCGTACTGAGATGCTACAGATTCAAATATGCCGGGGGACAGCACATTAAAAGAATCTCAGTCCCTTAATTAGAACATCTCTTTGCTAAATCTTAGATATTAAATTTCAATTTTTTCATAAGAAAACTCAAAGCTAAAATCTTGTGTTAATAAAAATGAGTGTATTAAAACTCATAGCCAGTCCAAGCAAGTATGTGGCAGTGCACTGACCTGCCACGCAAAAGCCAGTCATGAGTCGTGGCTAATGAGCTGCTGCTCATGGCATCATTACCTGGCGCCGCTACTCCTCTTGAAGCATGCGCACGGCCCCTATGTGCACTGTTCTCGGCTCGGCTGCTGGGGCGACTTGGTTCACGTGCCGACAGATAGGGTTCCGCGTGCCTGCTGTGGCCCGTGAGCCATAGGTTCACCACCACTGCCGCAGGGGTACTATCTGGCAGGAAGTGCTTCCTGGCATCCAAATGGAACCTTGGCTCCCTGAGCTTTGCTCCACTGGAATGTGTCCTGCCCTCCTCCATAGGGGAAAACAGGCCTTGACCCACCTCCGTGTGACACCCTCACATTCCTGTATGTCGCCAACAGATCCTCTCGGAATCTCCTCCAGCCTTAAAAGGCCCAGTTCAAGGGAGGCATTACTGCCACTCTGTAGGACTCTGGTGCACCCGCAACTAGAGAATTGTGTCATTATTTTTACCCAATCACCCCTACTGATACCCCTCTTCAAATCCCTGCATTGGTTTCCCATCTGTTCTTGGATCACGCATAGGTTTTTCGTCCTTACTTCTAAAACCCTCCATAGCCTTGCTTCTCTTTACCCATTCTTACATCCTAACCCATCCCCTCTGGTGCCTTGGCTCCTCCATCTCCATTTCTCACGGGTTCCCTGGGCCAACTCACTTTTTCCCTAATGCCTGAAACTGCATCCCAGAACCTCTCTCATGCCCGGAACTTGTAGCCCTCTGCTTCACCATTTCCATGAAGGCACTGGAGCTATCCGCTTGCCCACATAATCCCCCGTAACCGCACAGGAGCATCTGTCCTTGCAGTGCTTTCAGATTCCTCCTGTCAATCCTTGCCTATGGGAACAGGGCGACTGACTGATCAGATGGGAAGAATAATGCCTGCATGTTTTTTCCATGTTTCTAAGCACAAGCATTAGCCTTCCTTTTGGAAAAGCAACAACTCGAATACAGCACTGAGAGGAGCCTAGAATCTCCCGCTCGGATTCTTCCTTTTCCCTTGCTCAAAATATGGTCCTGCAATCAGCTCAAGAGCAAGTCACAGCTCTAAGCTCCCAACAGGACTTTGTTCTATGCAGCTCTTGCAGGAGTTTCAAAGTTTGCCTCTTCAGCTGGCAAGTCGTAACAACTTTCTAGCAGATCTATCCTGAAAACCCAATACAATCAACAAAAGCAAAACCAACCCAGGTAGCAATTCCAGCACTGAATCAACAATATATTGTACTTTTATATTTTGCAAGCCGTCCTGAGCGCTTGGCGATAGGACGGGATACAAATGCCTGTAATAAATAAATAAAACTAGATAGCAAGATGACTAGGGAAAGCAACCACGGAATCTTGCTTTTCTGCAACCTGTCTCACTGGATATGTTTAGCAGGGCAGAGAACCGAGTACGTGCAACTGTAAAGTAGTAGCTACAGTATGATGCTGTAATATTCCCACTTCTGGAGAGAGTGTACTGCTGCTAAGCCATTTAAACAGGAGGACAAGGCAGTACCCCTCACCCCTTCCACAAAATATCAGCTGGAAGCAAACAAGTGCAGAAAGACAGACATACTAATCTCTTTCCCACTGCATCTCTGCCTCATAGATGCACAAGATATCATCCTCCATGCATTCTGTAAGGTCTGGCACACGGCGGAAATTCTGGTGATAATAATAAATTCTGTTCTTTTCATGCTGCCGTTCGATCCATTCTGCAGAAATGAAACATTCAGACACTTTTTATGATACACCGCAGAGAGGACTTTAAAGCAGTAAGAACAAATGGCAAATTCAACCTGGATGTGAAAATGCAAGATTCTTGGCAAAGGACAATTATGGTCCCTCCAGCCTTCAGACAGCTTGCTTTACTTACCCGGAAAAGTAAACGAATCTCCTAAAAACAATACTATCATGAGAGATCTATGTTTTAGTGCCCACTCAGCCATTGAGTCGTCCTTTGGGTGGCTTTGGGCCTGCCCCAGGCTCTCAGCCTAGACCCACCTCACAGGATGGTTGCTGTGAGGATAAAAACGGAAAGCAGGACTACATAAGCCACCTTGGTTCTTCACCAGAGGGGAAAAGGCAGGAGAGATATGCAGTATAGTAATAAGAATGTCCATCGCTTTGACTGCTGGAACAGCAGACAACACAATATACCAGTTCTTTGCATAAGAAGCAAGAGAGTTCTAAAAGGGAACTACAGCCCTTCCAACCTCTCTCCCCAACCTACCTCCGCTGCCCCATTTATCAAACCCTACTCCAGTCTGGAGTGGCCTGCCGCTACTGCGCACTCCAATGACCATCCGCCTCACCCAGAATAAGCAACGGCCAGAGACAAGAGCTTGTAGTCCAAAGGATCTGGGGCCACTCAATCTGTGAGCGTTCAGCACTCAGCTGGAAAAGGAACAGGTGGTCCAACAGATGCTGGGCAGCAACTCCCAGAAGCCCTTGCCAGCAGCCTCGCCTCTCGTCTTAGCCCCTTTGGCCCCGCCCCCTACGGCTTCGCCCCGCCTCACCCCTCCAGGCCGTGACCGGCTTGTCCACCGTGTAGTAAAAGATCTTATCGAGAAGGTCGAGCGGGTTGGGGATGCTCGTCTGGGGGTTCGGCGCCGGCGTGCGCTGCGGCGGCTCGCGGTACACGTCGCGGTCTGGCTTTTCAGGCATCTCCGCGCGGGTAGCAGCAGCCCGTGCGAGCGCGCAGCAGGACAAAATGGCAGCCCGCAACCAGAGCACCGGGTCGGGACAAAAATGGAGGGCGCATGCGCAGCAAGTGGCGGAGCGCGCGCTGCATGACGGGAGGCGAGGGTGCTACGAAGGCCTCCAGGGCGGAGCGCGCGGTGCTGCTCGCTCGCTCGCGCGCGCTCTCGCTCTCTCTCTCTCTCTCTCTCTCTCTCCCTTTTTTCAATGTATTCCCGGGGAAGGCTGGGGGATGTAGTTCAGGTGGCAGGCGCCCTCCTCCAGGGCACGCCCTGCGCGGTTTGCCACAATTCATGGAAACGCGGCCCTGGGGCACCGTTACAGCAGTACAGTTGTGCAGTACTGAACTTTCTAGCACGTCGACGGTCAAAACAGTTTTAGCAGCAGCCAGACCTGTTGGAAACCGCTGGGCAGAAATGCCCCACCGAGCCGTTTATCGTTGTTCGTGGCTCTCCGCGCTCCGGGCTCCCTCGGGTGGACTTCATTCAGTTTTGCAAACGTGCGGGGCGTGATGCGCCTTCGTCGAGCGAGAACACGGGGCGTGAAGCCCGCTGGGCTTCCCCGGCTCGCCTCCCTTCAGCTGTGCCCAGCTTCCTGGGATGGAAGAAGTGCCTGGCGCAACCCAGCACAGGCGCAGGGGACACTGCGTGCCAGGGAAATGCGGATCGGCGAGAGCAAATCAGACGACCGGTTTGAGTTTTATTACATTTCGCAAGCTCCCATGCCGCTTCTGTGCCACACCACAGCGAAGCACTGTGGGCAGAGCGCAACTGGAGAGGTCAAGTAAAGGCATAATCCCGCTTAGGTTTAGACAAGAAAGCCCTGTAACTGCCCGCATGCCAGTCCCAGGGCGCACCAGTCTGCACCCCGATCGATCGCCTTCTCCTGCGTTCGGCGGTGCAGGAGAGCCAGACGAGGGCTGCAGAGAGGCGCACGGGGCGGCCTGTGCAGCAGGGGAGCTGCCCTGTGGCTGTGGGCCAGATGTGCTTCCAGCCTGGCATGCCGGCAGGATCACCCGCTGGCAGGGGGCAGCCACAGCGGAGTTGTGGGTGTGGGGCGGGAGACACCACACTGCGCACCTGGCCCGCGAGGCAGCGGAAGAAAGGGAGAGCCAGCCGGGGGGGCCCTTGCTCCTGGCAGGCCTGAGAGCCTGGGAGGGGCCCACGGAGGGAGAGTGGCGGCACGCATGGACCCGGTTCTCTTGCTGCTGTGGGCTGCCCACGCATGCCACGAAGGGACAGCTGCATGTTCACATGTGGGGCTTCTTCACGAGACATGAATCCTTCCATGGGGCGTTCACTCAAGCCCAAAGATGCGCCCAGACCTCCTGGTCCTGCCCTGTGTGCGCAGATGTGGAACGGTGCCGGAGCCACCCGTGCGGAAACGCGGTTCCTGCGGGGAGGCGATCTTCCCCAGCACAGGGCTGGGTCCCGCGGGGCAGCGAGGGCAGAGTTTGCCCCTTCCCTTGATCCAGGCGGAGATGGTGACCGCCCGTGGACACACTCTTGCCTTTGGGAGGGGCGGGGCTTGCAGTAAACTGAGACTCCGGCCTCGAGAGTGACCTTTCGTCGCTCTGCGACTGCTGTCAGTTTGCCTGGGCATGAAATGAATATAGCATCAGAGTGAAGGCAGCTGCTAAATTTATGTCTTGGGCTGAGAAGCATCTTTGGCATTAGGGGACTGAAGTGCTTGCTGGAGCCTCTTTCCTCGCTGCCAGCCTGGGCTGAAGACGTCTGATTATGGTACCGACTTGCTGTCTGACTGGTTGGGCGGGCGGGCGGGCGACTCGGTTGCTTTGCGGCGGGGGATCCATGGTGGGCACCGACCTCCTGGCACTTCTGTGTGGGCAATTTACCATGCGGAGCACATGCTGAGCCACACGCCGTTCACGGGGGCTCTCAGAGGCGCCCGGAACACCCTCGCTAGGATGGCCGCCTGCCGTCAGCCACGCCTCTCCGCTGCCCGTCTGCCCTGCGAGTGCCGGCCCTGCAGCTGGGGCAAGTGGCGGTGGGCCTCGGGGGCACTTTTCGCTGACTGGCCGGGGCCGGGCACAGGGGCTGGGCGTCGTCCAGGCAGGACTTGCACTCGGGCCCGTTCCCCCATCACAACTGACGCCAGCGGCTCAGAGCCTTTTCCCCGGGATGACGAGGGCAGTGTGTGCGTTGCCCGTTTGCTTTTGATTTTCGCCAGGGCTGGTGGGGAAGAAGGGCTTAGAAACACCCCCATGCACCGTTGCTCCAGCAGGCGGGCATCACTTTGTCCAAGGTGGGGTCTTGCGCGGAAAATGCCAGTGCTTGCTTGTCTCCCCCAGCAGTTCGAGCGGACCTGCCTGGCTGCACCGGCCTCTTGGTCCCCGGGGCAGGTTCCCCGTTCTTTCCCTTGTCCATTCAGACTTCTAGAGCTCAAGCATGAGAAGCTGAAACCTGAAGGAAGGCAACTCCAGTATACTAATGAACATTTTAAAAGGCTTCTCCAAATTCTCGCCTGTCGCAAAAAATGGGATCGTTATACACTGGGGAGAAACACCACGCAATCACCCATGTCGCAGTAAACACTAACAATACTGGAGTGGGAGCCTGTAAGCGTCCCAGGGCCATAATAGTGCTTCTAAAGCGAGGTGGTGCTTTGCCTGGCAGCTTTTGATATGTGGCATTAAAAGACTAACAAAGTCAGCACTGTCACCACGTGCTCAGAGAGGAAGTGCTCCAGCCAGGTATTCCCCTCTCCAGGACAGGGAGGAGGAGCAGCCACTCCACCTTTTGTTCCGTAACAGATTCCCTGCAGTATGAAAAAGGATAGAGGAAGCGGTAGGAGAGCACAGGGATGGCCTGAGAGGAAGGCGGTGACACTGAGGCACCCTGTCCCCAGAAAACTCCAGGGACGGGGCAGAGCGAGTCCATGGAAGAGTCCTGGTTACCTGAAGGAGCGCTTGCATCCATATATGCCCACCCGCCCCCTGAGATCTGCGGGAGAGGCCCTTCTCCGGGAACCCTCCGTGAAAGAAATTAGGAGGGTGGGTACTCAGAGGAGGGCTTTCTCTGTGGTGGCGCCTAAGTTATGGAATGCGCTCCCCAGAGAGGTCCGCCTGGCGCCGTCGTTATTTGTTTTTCGGCGCCAGGTGAAGACCTTTTTATTTAAGTGTCATTTTAATTGTTAATATTATTTGATTTTATCTGGCCAGGGCGACTTATTTTATATTGTTATTTTTTTGTATTTTAACTTAATGTTGAGTCGCCCCGAGGCTTTGGCGAATGGGGCAGCATAGAAATGTTTTAATAAAGAATAAATAAATAAATAAGGACGAACCTTGCCTGGGAGCAGCCTGCTTCCTTCTCCCGGCTGCCCCTGGAAGCCCCAGGCCCCGTGCAGGGTGCGAGTTGGAATGGGGTGGTGTGAGCCGGCGGCCCCCAAAAGCAGGGGGCTGGACCCATGGCTGCCTTGGCCCCTTCCAGCCACTATGCTAGGAGGGTCCCTCATTTCTGGCACTCTGTCCACGCCGGAGCCACCCGGCTGCCTGGGCAAAGCCCACAGGCAGCGCACGAGCGCCACAGTCCTGCTCAGGCAACGGCCTGCACCGCGCACTGTAGGTCTGCGCCTTATGAATCAGCCCTGAATCTCCCGCTATTCAACATCATGGGATGGTTGCCGGTTCTAGTATGAGAGCAGATTGTTCTCCCTATCCACTTTCTTCACAGCGTCTTCATTCTGTACAACTACCATGCCTTTTGCTTGCCTTTTTTCTAAGCTAGGCCTCCCCAGACACTGGCCATTCCCCTGTAGGGGAGTTTCTCCAGGCTCTTGATTATTTTTGTTGCCCTTTTCTTCTCCCTTCCAAAGCCTGCAAGGCACTGTGTGATCCGAGCAGGACACAGTACTCCGCACGTGGGAGCTTCTGCATGAAAAAGGCACTCCGGCATCAAACCAGGTGGCCCATCCCCACGACAGCTCAGCTCCCCCTGAGCTGGACCAGTAAGCCGACAGGATTCAGCAGTTTGATGTGGAGTCAACACACCGATCCAGCCAGGCCGCGGGAGTTTGCGTTGGCAATTGCTTGCCGAAATCCCAAGCAAAGACACATCCTTCTTATCTCTGAGACCTTCTGAAGAAGTTCTAGCACCAAGATGTCCTTCCCATAAGGGGCATAGGAGGCTCTTGGTAAATATAAGTCTGGGAGAGTGGAACATAGGAGTAACTTGCGCTCTCTTTTTGTGCTCCTTCCAGTCCCATCGCAAGTTTTCTGCCCCCAGGCATGGCCACCTGGGCTTCCTTCCGCACAAGAGGAGCCGCCGTCACCGAGGGAAGGTGAAGACGTGGCCCAAAGACGACCCTAGCAAGCCTGTCCACCTGACTGCCTTCCTGGGTTATAAAGCTGGCATGACTCACATCTTGCGGGAAATCCACAGGCCAGGGCTAAGTACGTCGCGAATGTTTGGATGTGTGCTTCCCCAAGAGAGGGGAGCCTTTTGGTGCAGGCAGGAAGTGAAGAACTTGCCATCTTTTGACTATACTCGGTTTGTGGGAATTGGAAGGACGCCTGCTTTTCATCATGCCAAAGTTCCCACATTAGCTACCTGACAGTTAAAAGGGTCAGGCAGCAGAAGGTAATGTGGAAGAAGTCTGCCTGGCATTCCAGAGAGCAGCTGCCGAAATGATTAGGCAATGGAAGTGCGGATCCTCTTTCAGCCTGGGGCTGCATTCCACCTCTGAGAAGATATGTGGGGCGGGGGGTGCAGCTAAAGGAATAAGGGACAGGGCCCAAACTCCCAGAATGCCAGCAAATTTTAGCTTAAAGCTCTAGCTGCCAGCAATGGGCCTTTAGAAGAGGCCTGTCGACTTTTTAGAGAAGGGAACAAAATGCACAAGAGCTAGGAAACTTCCAAATTGGGGAAGAGGAGGTGAGGCCAGGGAAATGGGGCCTGGGCTTTCTGGGGAACCCCAGAGCGCTGATTTGGTCTCTGTGATAGATGGACTTGGGAAGTTCTTCTGTTCATATGAAATGGATCCCATCCAGTTGAGTTTGGAAAAGTGCAGAGAAGTCCGATGGAAATGATCAGGGGACCGTATCAACTGGGACTGTTCAGCTTAGCAAAAAGGCGAGGAAGGTGAGGCGTGAGGGAGGTGCTGAAAATAACGTGTGGTGAGGAGAAAGGGGCAGGGAGAGATTCCTCTCCCTCTCCCATCACGCCTGGACCCAAAGGGGTCACCCAGGAAGCTGAGGGGTGGGAGGCCTGGGACAGACGGAGGAATCCCTTCGTCACACAACACATGGTTAAACGATGGACTTCTCTGGTGCGGGAAGTGGTGATGGCCGCCAGTCCGGACGGACGGATTCTTGAGGGAGGGGCTGCCGGGGCTGCTCGCCTCGCTGGCCGTGGGCTCCCTCCTGCAGCAGAGGCGGGTGGCGCGCCTGCAGACCCCCGTGGCGGGGGTGCTGCACCCCTCCTGCTGGAGGGAGCCGTGGGCAGCTGGCTTGCCACCGTGTGTGCCAGACTGGAAGGGCCTTTGGTCCGATCTGGCATGGTCTTACCATACAAAAAAACAAACTAATGGAATAATCTACCTGTGAAGGCCCTTTTGGTAGTGACACATCAAACGGCTTCTTAACAAAAACACATGCTGTATTGGAACTGGCTGATATATTTGTGTTTGTTATTTCCTTGAACTGAACTGAACTGTCTCTGCTGCTCTCCTGTAAGCCATACAAATAGTTATTAAAAGTGTTAGAACTTTCCAAATCCAGCTGGACCCCGGAGCTGGAGCACGTCTCTGCTCCCCACTGTATAACCCTGGGCAGCTCTGGCCATTTTGCTGATGAACGTGTTGCCAAGTGTGCTTGGGTGCGTTCCTTTCACTTTCAGAGGTTTCTAAAAGAGAGGAGGTAGAAGCAGTCACCGTCATAGAGACGCCGCCCCTGGTGCTTGTTGGTGTGGTGGGGTACATTGAGACACCACGGGGGCTGAGGAACTTCAAGACCATTTTTGCAGAGCACATCAGTGACGAGTGCAGGAGGCGCTTCTACAAGAACTGGTGAGCGAGATCCGCGGGAGAGACTGAGGGCGAAGCAGAGCTTGGCCTGCATGGAAAAACGCCTAGTCTGCCACCCAAGGGTCCATCGGAGAAATCTTCTCTGGTTGGAGGTTTGCTGCGTCAGATGCTTTCTTGTGCCTTGCAGAGCTGAATAAAATAATTGGGTCCTGTGGATTATGTAAACACAAAGCACACACGGTTCCCCAAAGCTTGGGGCTCCTTCCCAATTTGTCCCAAAGAGACCTAGTTACGGTGCCAGCCCCTCCGTCTGAGGTTGGCGCCATGCAGATGCAGCTTCGGATGGCGAGGGGACGCCAGGAAGGCCTTCTGCAGCTGACCTGAGCCGCTGGGCAGGCCCGTGCGGGAGGCGTGGCCCTTTAGGTCCCTGGTCCCAAGCTGAGTTTCAAGGGGGAAACTTGTGTTTTTTCCCTCAATTTACTGGCAACTTGTTTGCTAATTCCTTGCTTATTTTTCTTGAGCATTTTTATGCCACTCCTCAGCAAAAAATAAAACAGCGTTCCTGAAGTAGCTTATTGCTTGGCTTATTAATGAGCAAACAAGACAAGCCCTCCCCCTTGAGAAGGAAGAAGGAACGGGGAAGGAAGCAGATCCGCCCCAGGAGGTCCTGGTGGGGCAGCCCTGCTTCCCGTTCATTTCCTGCCAGCAGGGGGCAGGCCACTCCGTTCTTTGCCGCCTCCTGCTTCCCCACTGGGCAGCTGATGTTGGAAATGTGCCCGTGAGGGAAAATGCCTCTTTCTTTCAGGCACAAGAGCAAGAAGAAGGCGTTCACCAAGTACTGCAAGAAATGGCAGGATGAGGCCGGGAAGAAGCAGCTGGAGAAAGACTTCGCAGCCATGAAGAAGTACTGCAAGATCATTCGTGTCATTGCGCACACCCAGGTAAGCGCTGCCCAGCGGTCTTCGTGCTGGGAGGGAAGGGGTCGGCCGGGTCAGCATCTTGGTGCGAGCTTATCTCCTTAATAGCAGGAGTTAAAGAAACCCTACACTCTATACAGCCCTGGTTTTGTCTCACAAAGCCGGCCTGGCTGGCCAGTTTCGATGTAAAAAGATGCTAGCGAGTTGCTTCTTGCCTTGATCTGCGAGGAAAGGGTGCGGGGACAAGACCAGCTCCGGAGCATCCGGCATCGCAGCAATGGGCCACTTTTGCCAAGCGGGCCTGCAGGCCCCAACATGTGGCTGCCTGCGGAAGGAGCCGGAGGGCAGTGCACGTGGGTGGGTGCAGACAGCCCACCGAGGCCTTCCGGTTCTTGTCTGGGCTAATTAGACCCAGGCTCCCCCGCTCAGCGTGCCACCTGGGCGGCGGACTCCGCCGCACCTGTATCAGCGCTTTGTCTCCGAGAGGCTGACCTGAGTCTCCAGCACTTCTGGCAGGCCCCGCAGCCCCCGGCAGGATGAGGTCCCTGGGAAGGGCGGGGGCTCTTTTGGGCACATCCAGGCCCCCACTCTCACAGCGGCTGGGGCCAGGCTGGGGCACGTGTGCTGGCCCGAGCGTGCAGCGGCTGGGCGCCGGGTCACGCTGCGCCCCTTGGCTGCAGATGAAGCTGCTTCCGCTGCGCCAGAAGAAAGCCCACCTCATGGAGATCCAGCTGAACGGCGGCACCGTGGCGGAGAAGGCCGACTGGGCTCGCGAGCGGCTGGAGAAGCAGGTCTCCGTGCACAGCGTCTTCAGCCAGAACGAGATGATCGATGTCATCGGGGTCACCAAAGGGCATGGGATGAAAGGTAGGAGGGCGAGGGTGGCCCCCGGCATAGACGCTGGGCTGGTGGCCGTGGGAGCGGAGCTGGCATGCCACTGGTGGGGGTGGAGGAAAGATGGGAGCCAAGGGGCTCAAGGGGCACCGTCAGGCGCAGAGAGCCTGGCCGGCCAGCACCCTTGGGAAAGGCTGCTTCCCCAGCCTGGCGTCCGCTGGGCGCACGGGACTGCAGCTCCCGACGTTCCTGGCTAGCAGCCAATGCATCCAAAGGGCGCCAGGCCGGGGAAGGCTGATCCCGGCTGCCTCGGCTCGGCTCGGCTTGGAGAACAGGCTGCCTCCCTCCCTCCCTCGCTTACCACGGGCCTTTCTTATGCAGGAGTGACCAGCCGGTGGCACGCCAAGAAGCTCCCGAGAAAAACACACAAGGGGCTGCGCAAGGTGGCCTGCATCGGGGCCTGGCACCCTGCCCGGGTGGGCTACTCCATCGCCCGGGCTGGCCAGAAGGGCTACCACCACCGCACGGAGCTCAACAAGAAAGTAGGGCGCCTGCCGCTCTCCCTCTGCAGAGCCCCCCCGTTCCCCAGAAGGGGCCCGGCCCCAAGGAGGCCGCGTGCCGGTGGGGGAGGCTCTTGGGCAGGCCCGCCAGAGCAGCGCGGGGCGCGACGAGGCCGCCGGCCGAGCTCTTTGGGGCCCATCTCTCCCCCATCTGCACTTGCTCATCGGTCACGCCACGGCCAGATGTGGCACCCCCCCATTCTGCGCAGGGTCGTGCCCACTTCCGTGCTGGCTGTCAGTCGTTGGGGTTCTCTCGGCTTTGCGCCCACGCAGGAGCAGTTCCCGGGAAGCGGCTCCCTGGCAGCCAGAGCGGGGTTGAGCTCGCCATGGCCCGGGCTGGCTTTGGCCCCCGAGTTAATGCTGGGACTCTCGCACTCTTCAGTGCGCTGCGGGCACAGCTCGCTCTCATCTGTTTCCTGTAGATTTACCGCATTGGCCACGGGGTCCACGTAGAGGACGGCAAAGTGGTGAAGAACAATGCATCCACCACGTACGACACGACTGAGAAAACCATCACCCCCTTGGTGAGAGAGCAAGAGCGGGAGGGAGGCGTGGGGCCCCCTGGCTGCCCGCCGGCACCATGGCTGCCTGCCCTGAGCTCTGTCCCTCGCCACCCGCAAGGCTTTCGTTCCTTGCGAGAGGGACTGCAGGGGAGCCCGGCTGGCCTTGGCTTGGGGAATCGGGGGGCCAGAGGCTGAGCAGCGGGGCTGCAGTGCCAGGCTGTGCCCCTCAGGATGCCACTGGCGTCCCTGGCTGGGGATGATGGGGATTGCACTCCAGCGCAGGTGGCGGCCCCGAGGTGAGGACCGTCGCGTTCTGCCTGCTCTCCTTTCTCGGCCTTCACTTGCCTTTCTGCCCACAGGGCGGATTCCCGCACTACGGAGAAGTCAACAACGACTTTGTGATGGTGAAGGGCTGTGTGGTGGGCACCAAGAGGCGGGTGCTCACCCTTCGGAAGGTGAGGCCTTCAGCAGAGGCTGGGGCCATGCAGGGGAAGGGCCTGCTGGTCTGAGGGGCTGGCTTGATGCCGCTTGCCCACCTCGAACCTGGGAGCCGGTGGGTGCTCAGGCCTGCCGCACCCTCAATTTCCCGTCATGAACTCCTCCGCTGGCCCGAGCCGCCCGAGCCGCCCTCGCTCAGCCGGAGCCGCAGAGGAGGAATAGTGCCGGCCGACCTTGCAGGACCCGAACAAGACCGGGTGGTTCCACGGGCCGCTGCACCGGTGCCTCTGGCATGGTGCCCCGAGTGCCCAGAGGGCAGGCATAACACTTATTTTAAGGGCGACGGCAGCGATAAATTTGGGTCCTCCTGGCCTGGCCGGGGGTCTGTGAGCTAGCTAAGGCGGCTGAGTGGAGCGGAGGTTCTGCCCTTTCTTGTGAAAAGCATCCTGCATCTCATGGGGATTCTGGGATCTGTAATTTGGCGAGGATGTTGAGAAGCGCCTGTGGCCGTTCCCCAGCTGCTCTCCGCCTGAGCACTGCAGAGCTGCGACTCCCAGCTGGAGGGGTGGCAGCGAGGGCTCTTCTGCGGCCCGCCCCGCGGATGCGCCCCCGTGCTCTGCAGACGGCTCGTTGCACATACCGCCATCTCGCCAGCGCTCGTTCCCTCACGCAGCCCTTTCCCCTCCTCCAGTCTCTTCTGGTGCACACGAGCCGGAAGGCCCTGGAGCCGGTGGAGCTGAAATTCATTGACACGACCTCCAAGTTTGGCCATGGCCATTTCCAAACTGCCCAAGAAAAGCGAGCGTTCATGGTGAGTTTTCCCCACATTGGCTGTCAAGTGCAATGCAGGCAAAATCCCTTTGGGAAGGAACAACCCATAGCAGGCCATGTGGGGTACAGCAACAGGCCCAGCCAAAATGTCCACATCCGCACCCCCTGGCCTTTATCGCACAACGTAACACTTTGCGCTTTTCCCCAGAACTGTATGGCCGCAGGTGTGCTTGGGGATAGCGCCTGTTACGGGTGATTCAGGCGTGGTGAAGGGGGAGCGTCTGGAGCTGGATGCCTCTCGGCGCAAGATGGACGGAGGGCGATGTCCGTGCCCCTGCGTGGCCTCCCAGTGCCAGACTCGAGGGGCCCTCCTGGGCCTGTGCGGCCTGGCTGGGCTCTTCACGGGCTCCTCCCGTCCTCCTCAGTTCTTCCGAGACAGGAGTGGGGACAGGTACACCATGAGGCAGAAGGCGAGTCGTCAGCACCTGCACAGAGCCGGTGTGACTGCCCTCACCTTGGGAGAGAGCTGATCACGTGGCCCTTTTCTCCAGGGGGGGCGAAGGGGGGCCATGGAAGGGCCGCCTGAGCACACAAGGCCTCAGCACTGTGTAGCAGCACTCCACTTCTGTCTTCTCCTCCCGCTGCTTGTGGCACTGCGAGCCCTTTCATCGGCGCAAGAGGTGCACCCTGCGCATTCTGGGTTGCGGATTCCCAGGCCGACTCTCCACACGAAGCAGCCACGTTGCCTGGAACCTGAACCCCTGGTCTGAGGCCACCCCGTGTCTCTCTCATAGCCCTCCCATTCCTCGCGGAGACAGAGCAAACACCCAGAGCGTAGGCATGCCTTTCTGTGCCGCCTGTGCGCATGCGCGACACGAACTGCCGTTTCTGTGCCACTTCTTTGTCCTTCCATTTCAGGGCCCACAGAAGAAGCATCTGCTGAAGGGCAAGCAGGAACCCCAGGAGGAGTTGTAAAGGGCCTCTTCCGGGAGGGCATCTCCAAGTTCTCGCTCAGCCCAGAATTGTCCCTGCTTTGTTTGCTCTGCGAACAGCAATAAACAAGATGAACCTGCAATTCAGTGATTTGTACTTGAAATGGAGTTGCTGCCAACAGCCTCTCAACTTCTGCAGCATTTGCATTTAAAGCAAGTTGATAAAGGAAGTGGGCCAGTATTTGGCCAGGGGAACCTCAGGGGACTATTTTAATCTCGGGTCTTTACAGGAGAGGGGAGTTTGCCCATCTAAATTTGGATGGTGACTTCAGCCTGTATCTTCCCCCATTTAAAATGAGCTCTTTCCAGGAAGAGGGCAAGCCAGCCAACCTGCACCCGACCTGCTGTGTTAGACCCATGGATTGCTTTTGATCCAGTTGTTTTCTTCTGAGGTTGTTTCAGGTAACATTACTGGGAATTAGGACACATCTTCCATGTCCACAGTGAGATCTCTTTCGCAAGTTTTTTTAAAATGGAAACAGTGAGAATGCAGATTGCAGCACATCTTCTGGAGTCCCTGTATGATAATATCTACAGGAAGGGAGCAGCATGTCACAATTAGAGTTTTCAGAAATACTGGGTTTTATAAAGGCTGTCCTGAATTTTAGTTTGATTATGCTTTTTTGAGCCATGAGCCCTGGGTCCTTGCAGCCAAGGCTTTATTGCCTCATTCACAGAATTTTACAGGGGCCAAAAGGGGTGTCTAAACAGCATCATCTTTGACCTGTAAGTCTCCTGAGCTTTTTTACTTATTGCAGAAAGCGCACGAAGGAGGAAAGGACAGGATAGTGCACAATGTATTTTGTCCGGAAGTGCCAGAAGCTGTCTGCCAGGGAGCAGCACCCATCTGAAGATGGACAGAGCTGTCCGCCTATTAGAGGAGGTGGCTGTTTATGCGGAAGCTTCAACAGGCATAAACTGGCATTTACACTGCCCTTCTTAATATGTGTGCTATCAATTTGGACTAGTTCTAAGCCCACGTTAACTGTCCGGACGCTCAGTGAAAGAATTTTGGGAACTCTAACCCTGTAGAGATCTCAGATATGGAAGCCGCACAAGGAGACTCGTCTTGGAGGAAGGTGTGACAGCAAAATTGGCTTCGAAGCGGCCTGACTCTGTCCTGACACGGGGGGAGACGTGCAAGACTGTCCTTGGGACGGGAGCGATAGCAAAGGCCAGCGCTCCGCAGCGGTGGGTGCAGGCCTTCATCCCCCCCGGCCCCTCCACTGCGCCTGGCTCGCTTTCACTCGCAAAGGTTCGCAGAGCCCTTTGCGGAGAAGCGACCAGTTCGTGCGCCGTTTGCTTGCCTGAAGCTATTGCTTTGCTAACATGTTTTATTGCGTGGAAGATGGAGCAGTCCTAGGCCGTCCTCCCCATGCAGAGCAGGTTGCGGGATTTATGGAAGCCCCCCGAACGGTCCCACCACTGGACAGAGCCTCTGGCTGCAGGGTCAGAGAGTGGGACCTCATCCCCAAACTTCCTAAGGGTCAAGCATGACCTGATTTTAAGCCCCACACGTTCAGATCCTGCTGTTCAGGCTGGCTGTCCTTTTCAAACAGCTGCTTGCTTTTCAAACTTGGGGTGGGGGGAATCTGGACAAGATTGGGGGGGTTAACTGTTCCCCCATTGCTGTTTCTCTGTCAGCAATCCTGCAGCTGATACACCCCAAAGCCACCATTTGCCCTCAGTTTAAAAGAAATCAGTCCCATCATTTCTATATACAGTCCCTGGTTGATCAGAGGCAGATCAATGAACTCAGTTTTGGGGGGACTCCTGGGCACTGCATTCTGGGGTGAGAGGGCAGGGCCCAAACAGAGAAAACCCCGGCTTGTTATGGCTCAAAGCTCTTATTGCCCATCACAAAGCCTTGGAAGAGGCATTCTGGCTTTTCTGAATGGGGAAACCTGTGTAAAAGCAAGGACCCCACCACACAGTGGTTAGAAGAGGCTGGGGGCAAGGGAAGGGGGAGGCTATCTGAGGAACCCCCAGCCCTTGGCCCCAAGGTTTCCCAGCCCTATTTGAAGGTTCAGTTTTCAAGCTCGAAGCTGCTGTTCCCCTTCAGGAGCTCCAGCAGTTCATGGAGATCACAGCATCACATTCATCCTGCAGGGAGAGCCACATAACTGCCGCGTGGAGACTCGGGGTCCAGTTCTCGACTGGTCTCCACCCCGCAGTCCAAGACAGGTTGGAACAGCTGCGTTTTACCTGGAAAGAACACCTACTTTTCTGTGTTGTTTCCCATCTTCATCCAGAAAGTGGCGAGTTTTACTGACGGTTCTGCCACCTCCGTGATGCATAACAGAGATGCTCTTTGGAAAGGCAGGGCCCGGAGAGAACGCCAAATGGCCGGTGGGTCCTGGGTTTCCCCTGCCCCGTGTGCAGCGAGGGAGAGCCTGACACCAGCGCTTGTTTGCACCAGTGGAACTGAGTGCCTGTCAGTGACAGGCGAGTTCTACTACCAGGAAGATGTCCTCCTCGCCAGCGTCTCCTTGCTGCGCAGTGAAACATCCAAAGGGAAAACTCCTCTGTTGAAATAGTGCATGAACAAGCTGAAGACGCGAGCCGGTAGACAGGAAAGCAACGATGCAAGTCGGGGTCAGGGTCACGTGAGCTTCTCAGGCACCCGTTCCCTCGCTGCCAAATCACCTTGGCGTTCCTTAACAGTGCTCTGCGTGCTCTCCTGGGAATTCCTTCTGGGGCCCCTCCGCGGGCAGCTGGGAGTCCAGGCCAGAATGCATGAGGGGTAAGATGAGGTCATCCATATTTGGCATCACTAGGATTTTCTAGGGAGAGGAGGGAAAGGAAAGCAGATTTTAGAAGTGGCATTCCAAAAAATGCGTGAGGGTGAAAAGCAGGGGCGAGGGTGGGGCAGCTCACTCTAGGAGTGCCCCCCATCCCCGCACGTCCCGGGCCACACCCCAGGGTGCTCTGCCCTCTGATCAAGGGGGGGATCGGGCTGCCCCCATCCTTGCAAGCCGCGGAACGGGGCCGGGCCCTGCCTTGACCGCGCCACTGGGGAAGGGGCCTGGTGAGATCACGAGCGGGGCCGGTTCCAGGCAGGCAAGGCCGGCCACGTGCTGCAGCCAGATCCAGCGGCCAGAGGCCTTGGCGGCGCCCCCCCGTCTTCACCTCTGCAGTCTGCTGGCCCGGCGGCCTCCTGCTTGGGACCAAAACCTGAGGCGGTGAGAAGCAGAGCGGCCGATGCTGCTGCTGGCCCGCTCTCCCTGCCCGCCAAGCAAGCGAGTGGTGGCAAGGAGGACCGCAGCGTGAATGTCAGCAGCTCCCCTGTGCACACCCCTTCTCACACACTCGGACATACACTCATGTTGCCCCCAGCCCACGTGTCCCACTGCCACAGGTGGGTGCACGTACTTCTCTGCCACCACAGACCAGACTTCCTGTGGGGGGGGCAGATTTCTCCAGTCTCACACATTCGGACTGATTGCAGAGGAGCAAAGCTCCAGGTTTTCCTGAGCAGCACAGATGCCAGTAAGAGAAACTCTGGGCAGGGTCTTTGCAGGTCTGCAGGGGGCACTGGAAGTGCTGTGGGCTGTGCAGCCCTCCCTGCCGATCCTTCAGAAGCTGCGGAAGCGAGCGGGGCGCTGCCTCCGGGAGCAGTGCACAATCGTATCAGGAAAGTGCCATTTCCGCTCTGAGCCCCTGACCTGCTTTGGGTCCCTTCTCTGTCCCTTCATACCCCATAATCCAGCTACCGGCAGAGGGTACCTGGAATTCATGCTGCAGCTTCTTCTCGATCCATTCGGTGATGTGAATGAAGGTTACCTCTCGTTCTCCTAGCTTTGGCCGGACCTTCAGATCCAGCTGTGGTGGGACCCGGAAGCTGTACCTAACCCCAGGGAAGCGAGAGAAAGCATCATTTCTGGCTCCTCTTTCCTAAGGAACCACTGCGATACGCCCCACCTCTAGGGATTCGCTTCCTACAGGGTATGGGAAGCGCCGGTCGGCTGGGGAATATCCAGCTTTCCCCCATTTCTGATCTCATGAGGGCATCTGGAAGGGCTTCCCCAGCACAACAGACTGCAGCAGCATCGGAGTCTGCGGGATCTTGCGCTCTGGCTCCTTTTACTCTCCCCCCCCCCCCCCCCCCACGCAACATGTGAAGACAACGGCAGAGAGCAGTGCGGCAGCCTCCTGTGGGGGTTTCACACACTTGCTGCAAAGCCTCCAGCAGCCTGCAGGGAAAGGAAGGGTTGTTGCTCTCAGCTGCCCCGCGGGGTCACGCTGCCTCACACGGTGCCCTGCTGCGGCCAGATCCTGCTCCCCCAGAGGACGCTGAAGCGCAGGCCCAAGATAACTCTCGGGCCGGGAACACTGCGGGGCGGGGGAAAGGACGCGTCCCAGAGCACGCAGGCGAGGGCACCGTCGGTGGCAGGCGGAGCGTCCGCCGGAGCCCCTTGCGCCGCAGGCCAGTCAGCACCGAAGGGCCTTCAGAAGGACCAGCAGCAGGCTTGCGAGGCGCAAGCGCAGGGAGGGAGGGATCCTAGCACAGGTGCTCAGAAGACACGGCGCCGCAACAGTCTTTTCTCCTTCATGAGTTTTCCACAGTAAGGAAAAAAAGAAGTGGTGGGAAAGCACGGGGGATGATGAGCAGAAGATCCCATGGAGGATGCCTGAGCACTCCATAAAATCCTAGAGTGAGGGTGAGACTTAAAAAGCCTCATCTGGATATTCACACAGGAGGGCGCGGCTGGACCCCGGTCTGCCTGGGGACTGCCCTGGGGCGTGCGGGGGGGGGGGGGCGGGCAAGAGCACCCCAGTGGCTGAGCAGCGGCCTGGCTGAATTTCGCCCTTGCCCGGCGCCCGCCAGCCATCCTGCGAACGCCCCGAACAGGCCCACCCGTTTGGCGCCGCCTCCTCACCAGACGCGGTCCGTCGGGGGCGGGGGGATGTTCACAGCCAACGTTCCTGTCAGCTCCTGGACCTCCACGGTCAGCAGCAACGGCGTGTTGGACACTTCCTCTATTTTCTTCTTGATGAACTCGTTCTCGGTGGCCTTCTGGAAGTACTTGGACTTGGCAATCTTGTCCACGAAGCGCAGGATCTTCCGGCCGGTGCTGTTGCCACTGATGTGGCTAAGAGAAGGGGGGAGGATGGGTCAGCCCGCGCCCCCTCAGCAGCGTGTGCGGGGGGGCGAGCTGCCCAGGCAGAGCCATGCCGGAGCGAGGCGGCCTCCGCCCGGCTCGGCCGAGGCGTGTGTTGTGAGCCAGCCCCTGCCCTGGAGCAGAGCCGTCTCCTGGCGCTCGGCCTGCCTGAGGTGGGTGGGCAGGGCTCACGGGCGGCTGAGCCACCTGCCGGCCATCCTGGAGCAGGCGCGTGGTGGCGAGGAGTCCGCGTCGGCAAAGCATTCCCTGCTCGGGGCACCTGCAGGCCCAGCTCCAACCCCCCACTCGCGGGCTGCGTCCCTGGCGAGCCTCCGCCTTCACGTGGCCGCCCAAGAGCTCAGCTTGGACTGTTTTAGGCTAACTTTGTGCTGCCCCTGGGGATGCCCGGGGACCCCGAATATGGTAGCGAGGCTAGTCTGCAGCCGGCTTCCCAGATCAATTGACTTCCACCTCCGTCGGCTTCCCCGTCCTTGCCCTGCGAGCTGTCAGTGCCCAGCCCAGCTGGACTAAGACACCAGACTGCCTCCTGCACTGCTCTTGGACCCTGCGCTGATCATTCTGCTGCTAATGCAAAGGACTTGGCGAGTGAACTGGAAATTGGCAGGGACACTCATTACAGGGAACACCATCCCACAGATCCTGCTGTCCCTCCGCCGGACCAACTGCACCCCGGCCAGCACTGCTGGCTTGGAGAACCGCCACGCTGCCTCCCGTTGGCTTCACCCTTCAGCCCCAGGAGGCGTGCTCCTCTCTCCTGCGCTCCTGGAGGGCTCCATGGTGGGAACGTCTTCCTCATCCGAGGAACCGGCACTGGAGGACTCGGCATCGCTGTCGGCCAGTAAGACCCAGTGGGGCTTCATGCTGCAAGGGGAGAGAGGGAGAGGTGGGTGGGGACCCCAGGCAAGGACGGCGGAGGAGCTGCGCTTGCACTGGGCCGTGTGTGCCAAGAACTTTCCATGCTGTTCAGGTCTCTTCCCCAAGATTAGGAAGGCGCATCCTGGTGGCTGTGGCCTATGTCTCCAACAAAATCAAGGTGGATTTCCAGCAGTGGGGAGGAAAGAGCTAGCAAGGCCTCCACAGGGCATAGGCTGAGGCCACGAGGCTCCAGGATGAAGACTTAGGCATCCCTGCCCCCAAAACATCCTGTGCTGCAGCATCTGACTGAGAGAGCACCCATCTTTCTACCACTTTCTACATTAGACAATCCAGGGATTGCCATTATGCACAAACCGGGTCATTGAAATAAAACATGGGTCCTCAAACTACGGCCCATGGGCAGGATACGGCCCGCCATGGTCATTTGCCCAGCCCGCCTCAGAGTTTTCGTACTCATTCAGAGAAAACGATTGCCAAACGAGTCTGAAAGCTCTGAGCCAGCACCAGTGTTCTCTGAAACTCCTTCAGTTTTGGAGACTAGCAGAGAGCCAGCGCACGTGCCAAATTGTAACAGTTCCCTTCAACTGCGCGTGTGCTGGCTCTTCCCCCTATTGCACGCATGCGTTGGCTCTGAATACAGAGTGGGAATATGGAGTGGGAATACAGAAGAGAGGAGGGCGGTGGGGAGAGAGAGAGAGAGAGAGGAAGACACTAAAAAAAGATAGAAGGTAAGAAAAATATAACTTTTAAGATCTATTTTTAACTATGTGAGTCATGTCCCCAGGCTGCGGGCCAAGCCATGGCCACCTTGCTGAGCCCAGGGTGGACGGGCCGAGGCGAAGCAGGAGCGGGGCCACGGCTCCCACGCCTCTGCCACTACCTCCTCTGGGCAAGCTGCTGCCGCCATCGAACAGCCGCCATGCTTCTTCCCCCTGCGGCGGGGAGATGTGGGAGGCACACTGCTTGGCCAGCCATGGCCCCATCCTACAACACTGGGAGGCACTCCTGGTTTTACGCCTCATGTGCAGATAGATGGAGCCATGCGTCAGGGAAGCACCTGGGGCAGGAACGCTCCCAGCGGCCTTTGCCTGCTTGGCGTCCATCAGGGGCCTCCGCAGCTGCTCTCCTGTTTCAGCCACCAGAGACAATGCCATGGCTGCCTTGCCACAGGATGGGCCCAGCGGCTGTGGAGTGGGGTGGAGGCTCACGGAGGGGCCCGGTCATCTGGGTGGGAAGCATGTCCTCCCACAGCCTCTGGGAGACCACCCCCATGGGGTCTCCTTCCCCACTCTCACCACCGCTCTCACTTCCTTCCTGCTGCCGCGAGGAAGACCCTGTCCTGCTCCCTGTCCGACCTCCTGGTGTGTCTCGTCCCTTCAGATTGCCGGCCTGAGGCAAGCGCTTGCCTTGTGTTGCGCCTGATGATCGGTGGCACTCTGCTCTGCTGCCATCTTGGGCTGAGGCGCAGCATGCAAATGCCCGGAAGCAGCAAATGAGCAAATCCAGGAGAAGCAAGTCCGTCCATCCGTCTGTCTGAGTCCCGCCAGTGCTGAGGAGCCTCCCACCACTGACAACAACAGCTGCACAGCTGCGCCTCTGATAGCCGCCCTCGTAAGCCCTCGGGTGCTTCCCGCATTGCTTTGTCTAGTTGTAACCCCTTAAGAGAAAGCCACCCATATTGAAGCTGGGGAAACTGAGGCTGAGAGAAAGCTGCTTGTCTGTGACCATCAGTATGTTTACAGCAGGAGTGAGATTTTAATCAGGAACGTCCAGACCGATACCCCAGTTTTTTCGCCATATACACCAGCTCACATAGCATCGGGTCAGCCTTATGCAGCCTAGCGCAAAGAATGGCCCAAAGGCAGGAAAGGCATCTGCCCTGTTGAAGCTAAGCGGGCCTGGGGTGGCCTGAGCTTGGAGGGGAGACCACCCGGGAACCACATGGGGCCGCCTCGCATCCCACAATGGGAATAAAATATAATAAATAAGCAACTTATTTATTATAATATATTTATATATCATCTCATTCATGGATCACTGCCTTGTCATGGCAAAGGGGCTTGCGTAGCTCAATGAAGCTATGAGCTCTGCCGTGCAGGGCCACCCAAGGCGGACAGGCCATAGCAGAGAGCTCTGACAAAACGTGATCCACTGGAGAAGAAAATGGCAACCCACTCCAGTATCCTTGCTATGAAAACCCCATGGACAGCACCAAAAGGCAGAAAGATATGACGCTGGAAGATGAGTCCCTCAGGTCGGAAGGTGTCCAATATGCTACTGGGGAAGGGGAAGAGCGGAGGGCTAGTACTAGTAGCGCCAGAAAGAATGAAGCGACTGGGTCAAAGCCGAAAGGACACTCAGTTGCAGATGTATCTGGTGGTGAAAGGAAAGTCCAATGCTGGAAAGATCTGTACTCCATAGGAACCTGGAATGTAATGGGCCTTAGGAAGTCTGAGCAACAACAAAGCTAGTGGAGGTGACAGTATTCCAGCTGAGCTATTCAAAATCCTAAAAGACGATGCAGTAAAAGTGCTACACTCAATATGCCAGCAAATTTGGAAAACTCAACAGCGGCCACAGGATTGGAAAAGGTCAGTCTACATTCCAATTCCAAAGAAGGGCAATTCCAAAGAATGTTCAAACTACCGCACCATTGCACTCACTTCACATGCTAGCAAAGTGATGCTCAAAATCCTACAAGCTAGGCTCCAGCAGTATGTGGACTGAGAACTACCAGAAGTACAGGCAGGATTTCAAAGAGGCAGAGGAACTAGAGATCAAATTGCCAACATACACTGGGTCCTGGAGAAAGCTAGGGAGTTCCAGAAAACATCTACTTCTTCTTCATTGACTATGCTAAAGCCTTTGATTGTGTGGATCACAACAAATTGTTGCAAGTTCTTAAAGAGATGGGAGTACCTGACCATCTTATTTGTCTCTTGAGAAAGCTATATGCGAGTCAAGAAGCAATAGTGAGAACTGGACACAGAACCACTGATTGGTTCAAAACAGAGAAAGGAGTTCAGCAAGGCTATACTGTTGCCCTGCCTATTTAACTTATATGCAGAGCACATCATGAGAAAGGTGGGCCTAGATGAATCTCCAGTTGGAATTAAGATTGCTGGGAGAAATATCGACAACCTCAGATATGCAGATGATACCACTCTCATGGCAGAAAGTGAAGAGGAACTAAAGAGCCTCTTGATGCAGGTGAAGGAGGAGAGTGCAAAAGTTGGCCTGAAACTCAACATTAAGAAAACTAAGATCATGGCATCCAGTCCTCTCACTTCCTGGCAAATAGACGGGGAAGAAATGGAGGTAGTGACAGATTTTATTTTCCTGGGCTCCAAGATCACCGCAGACAGGGACTGCAGCCAAGAAATTAAAAGACACTTGCTCCTTGGGTGGAAAGCTATGGCAAATCTAGACAGCATACTAAAAAGCAGAGACATCACCCTGCCAACAAAAGTGTGTGTAGTCAAGGCTATGGTTTTCCCAGTGGCATTGTCTGGCTGTGGAAGCTGGACCATAAGGAAGGCTGAGCGCCGAAGAACTGAGGCCTTTGAATTGCAGTGCTGGAGGAGACTCCTGCGAGTCCCTTGGACTGCAAGGCGATCCAACCAGTCAGTCCTAGAGGAGATCAACCCTGACTGCTCTTTAGAAGGCCAGATACTGAAGATGAAGCTCAAATACTTTGGCCACCTAATGAGAAGGAAGGACTTCCTGGAGAAGAGCCTGATGCTGGGAACAATGGAAGGCAAAAGAAGAAGGGGACGGCAGAGGATGAGGTGGCTGGATGGAGTCACTGAAGCAGTCGGCGCGAGCTTGAGTGGACTCCAGTGGATGGTGGAGGACAGGAAGGCCTGGAGGAATTTGTCCATGGGGTCGCGATGGGTCGGACGCGACTTCGCGACTAACAACAACAACATGTATATCATATATTTATGTAAACCACCCAATATAGATTTCTAGTTATGTTACAAGTAGGGAGTGGGAATGACTAAAAGTGTGTTTTGAGCAGACAACTCTTAGCTGTAGAACTCTGCCAGAGCCTGCAGGTCAAGTCACAATACACTGGTAAGGAATTAAACAGTTGGAAGGTGATCTAGGAAACATGCATTCCATTTCCAGATGGCGAGTCCCAGGGCTGAGGGACTCTCCCGGGGTGGGCTGAACTGCCACCGTGGCAACGTTCGTAAAGAGGAGCAGGTCAGCCAGGAGTGCCTGTGCTGAGCGGTGCTCCTGGCTGCTGCTCTACGGGGTCCCGCCGGTGTTACCCGTCCGTGCTGCTGCCCGCTTTCGTAGTCTCCTCTCCCAGGGTTTCTTTGCCCAGTTTGTACAAGTTCAGTTTTGTCTCCAGGCTCATCTGTAGGGATCCACTGTAGGTCATGTCCATGTCCAGCCAGAGCCCTGTGAAGTGGGAGCAAGATCAGGAGGTGGCTCCTGGCAGACGGGGGCACGACCAGTGAGGCCCCGAGAGCCTCTGCCCGGGAGACGGTGCTGGGGAGATCGGGAGGAGGGAGGCAGGGGTGAGATCCGCTCTAGCGGCGAGCCCAGTCGGCCATGGGCAGTGCTAGGCCTCTCCGGGCAAAACTTCTCCGGATGCATGACAGGCACAACCCGACACAAGTTTACAGGGCCAAGCAAGCAAGGACTGGAAGCCGCAAGGTCCTGGGATTGCGCCTTTATACTCTTCAGCAGCAGAGTGGGAATGGGGCAGGGGATGGTCTCATCAGCCTCATCCTCTACCAACGTCTTGGGACGGCTTACAATAAATGGGACGTGTTAGTCCCACGAATGCCACAGACATGGGTGCGGAAGCTCACACTTCCAGGGAGCCAGAAGTGGTCGCGAGTCCCTGTAGGGTGTACACTCAGGGCCAACCAAGGCTCATTCTTAGACCATGTGTGAAAGTCCCGTGTTTTGCCTCCACACATGCAGGGCATGCCCACTCCCAGTCCCTCTCCTGACTCCAAGCTCAGCAGAGCAGTGGAAGCTGCCCCTCCGGTCCAGGGACTGAAAAGCGATCAAACAAGCTCCCGGAGAGCGAACAAACAGGCAGAGCTGACCGGAGCTTGGCAGCAGAGTTGCAGTGGGCAGGGAAGAGCAGATTCCACTCCATCGGTACGGCAGAACCCTCGCAGGGAGGGACTGTGGCCCCAAAGGCCACTCCAGCAGCAGGGCAAGAGCTGCAACCACCCTGGGCTGCAGCACACACGAGGCTGAAGGTCAGCCGGGCAGAGGCAGGGAAACCGCGGCCTGAAGCACGGAGAGGAGAGTGGTCCTTGCGGGAGACCCCCAGCCTCGTGGGGTGGGCACGGACTCGCCAGGTGCGCTCTGTCTCCCTGGAGGATGGGTTCAAGATGTGACTGAAGGGTTGCCTTTGCAAGAGGAATTGACCACGGAAGAAAAATATTCAAAGTGAAGGTGAGAAATAAGTATTCTGGGGCCACGGGCTGTACATCCTGGGCAGTGGGCGGGGGCCGCTGGCAAGGAAGGGGCTGCATCAAGAAATCCATCAGGAGGGCCTAAATTTAATCCTGCAGGGGAGGGAGAAGTAAACTTGTGGGTGTGGGGGAACAAGGGACAAAGGTTTATGCACTGCAGCAGAAAGAGCAGCTCTAACAGCGCCCAATAATATTCTTCCAAAAAATCTAGGAAGAAAGCCAGCCTTTTAAAGCTACTGTCTGGACCATGGGAAGCAAACCTGACCTCTGAATACAGGAACAGAAACCTGGTGGGGCGGCTTCCATGACTGGAATGCAGCAGTTGGAGGGATCCCTCGTTCAAGAAGAACAGAAGGAATAGGAAGGGGGGTGGATTCAGAGTCTATGTTGAGGATGCACCCTCTGCACAGGAACACAGGAGTGCGAGCTCAGTGAGGGATATGAAGATAATCTGCTCTGCAGAGACCGTCCATCGGATTCCCAGAATTCAGTCCGCGGCGCAAGAGCCCTGGACCGGCGTTCCCGGTGGGTGCCCCGGGGTCTGCAGATGTGCTCCAGGAACCGAGCCCCGTGCACCGCACAAGAGGCGCCCCGCTTCCCTGCCACCCATGGTGTGGAAAGAGGGTGCTGGGGCGGGTCACGTGGGGTGCTGTTCCTGAAGAGAGCCGCACGGCTGTGAGCGGCGGCCCTCTTCCGTGCCTTTGCACCGCTGCACCCGCAGCGGAAGACGGCTGCCGCCCGTGCAGCGCTTCCCTTTGAGCGTGGGGGGCTCCCTCTTGGCTTGGAGGGCCACTGGGACCGCTCGGCACAGGGCAGGCCTGCAGGCCCTCCCTGCGCGTCGCCTTAGCTTACCTCGGCTGTCGAGGGTCGGGCTGGAAGCACTGAGGACGCGTGGGATGGAGGAGCCCATGTCTAGCTCCGTCAGCGTGAGCTCGTTCATGAAGTACGGCAACTGGCAGAGCGAGGAGGGGAAAGGGAAGCAGCTCGGTCAGGACGGGCAAAGCACGTCAGCACCGCCGGCTGGTCCTCAGGACAGCGCTACGGGCGGCACGGGCACCATTCCGTGGGGCTGGCGTGCCAGACCCGGCGGGCGCCCCCCGCCCAGCCTCCCTCGCCGCTCCTGTGCACGCCCTCCAGGGGAAGCTGGAGCGAGCCCTGCCCCAGGCCCACGAGCTGCAGCTGCCGCTCAGAGCAGGCGACACAGACTGGCGGCAGAAGGGCTCGGGGTCGGGCGAGCGGCGTTTCGCCGTTTCTCTCCCTGTACAAATCTACAGCGGTACCTCGGCTCGTGAGCAAATTGGGCCACGAACAAACATTGCTGACAACGTTGACTTGGGTCGCGAACACCGCTCCGGGTGCCGACCAAGATCGCAGCCCTCTCCCTCTGCCCCCGGGTGGGGAGAGGGCCACGATCCCGGTTCCATTTGTGCGGGGCAGGCGTGCCTGGTCAGAGGCGTGCTGCTGCAGGAGAGACGGGGGCAGCAACGCAGAGCCGCGGGGCAGGCGAGGCGGCGAGATCCTGCCTGTCTTTCCTGCAGGAGCCGCCTCTGACCAGGCACGCCTGCCCCGCACGACTGGAATGGCGATCGCGGCCATCCCCCCACCCCCAGCGCAGCGTCTGCGCCCATCTCTCCCTCCCCCAGTGCGCCCGCGATCACGCCCGTCTCTCCCTGCCACCCCCAGCGCACTGGGGTGACAGGCACATGCAGGGATGACAGGCGCGGTCTCGGTCGTGCTGGGGGGGGGGGGGGGAGACGGCCACGCTTGTTTTTGGGGGGGGGATGGTCGCGATCTCTGTTGTTGTCACTCTGCTTCACATTTTTCTGATTTAAAAAATGGTTACAGAACAAATTAACCTTATTTCCGTTGACCCTTATGGGGAAATTTAACTTGGCTCACGACTAATTTGGGTCACAACCAGAGTCCTGGACCGGATTAAGTTTGTGAGCCAAGGTACCACTGTAATATGAATATTTCTATTTTCTTCATCATTCTTGCCTATGTTGATTTTAAGCATGCTTAAGATGTTAATTTCAACAGATGTTTAATATATGTGTTAACCTTAAGGGTTTTCAAAGCAATATTAGCAATATGTTATATAAATATAGATAATTTTCCTTCTTTCAAGTTGCTTCCATATGCTTTGCAGTAATGCAAAATAATCAGAGCGTCACCCACTCATGCTTCCATTTAGATATGTTAAGGTATTTTGAAGTTATATCAAGTAACCAGGACGTTGTACGCTTACATTTTTTCTGCAGCCGCCAGGAAGGGATTCAGCCCTCCTGGAACCTGCAGGCCTGTAATAAAACGTTTTTGTGGGCACTCCAGATGCCTTTCACATGTTCTCTCCCACTGCTAATCAAGGGCCTCACTATCCTGGGAGTGCCTCAATGGCCACCCAGGGAGCAGCAAGCCATGCGGGGGCGAGGGGGGCAGATGGCTATCAAAGGGCACATTACGTGCTGGTCCGCTCTGATACAGTGAGCTGAAAAGGTGAAACGGCAGTCTTTCTTTTACCGTATTTCCCCAAAAATAAGACTGGGTTTTATATTAAATTTTGCTCCAAAAGATGCACTGGGGCTTATTTTCAGGTGATGTCTTATTTTTTCATGTACAACAATCTACATTTATCCATTTATTCATGTACAATGGTCTACATTTATTCAAATACAGTCATGTCATCTTTTTCAGGAACATCGTCATAACAATCCAAACCCCAAATTGTGTTGCAACGGATGTACTAAATGTGTCCATCTGGCTGACGATCTTAACTGGGGCTTATTTTGGGGTAGGGCTTATATTACGAGCATCCTGAAAAACCAAGCTAGGGCTTATTTTCTGGTTAGGTCTTATTTTCGGGGAAATGGTATCAGGGCCGGAAAGCACTTTCGGTGCTTTTGTTGCTGTGTCCCAGAAATGCAGTTGCAAAGCATGGGGAGGGGGAAGAAATATTACTTGCTTGCGTCACAACTGGAGTGACATACATTGCTACCCACATCCATACAATAATTCAGTCCAGGGTCGAGCGTCACAGAGATGTTCCACTGCTTGCTCCAGGGTCTTTTCTCCCAGGGAGAGTTTGGTGTGGACTGTGCAGTGCACCCGTTTTTCTCGCTTTGTTTCGGAAGCCGGGTGCCAGTGATGCCTGGGCAAATGAGGGTCTTTTTGGGGCCAAAGGGCAAGACCGGCTTCTGGCACCTGAGGGCAGCTGGTGCTGCTGCAGCCAATAAAAAGCAAAGCTACAGAGGAAAATGGTTGGACCCATTTCTCACCTTAATTCGGCCCAATTTCTTCTGAATCTTGTTTGAAACGTGGTCTGCCCAATATTTTTCCCTCAAGAAGTCCCAAAACATTCGGCCGAGCACTGCGTTGACCCAGGCCATGTGGATTTCACGGCTGTTCATTGCTTCCTCAAGGAACTGAGAGGAAAAGACAAGAAGGGTCACTCACACATCCAGCGCTCCTCAGGCGTGGCCAGGGTGCTGCCTCCAGGCGTGCCTGGCCCCCGTGCTCCCCGCCAGCCCCACCAGAGCGCCACGGTGGGCTCAGGGGGGTCTCACCTTCCTTGGTGTGGGGCTTCCTGCCGTGCTGGCGCATGGGCTCTCCGACGGGCTGGCACTATTGCCCGGAGGGACTATTTGGGACATGTATGTGTGGTAATCCAGCAGGACCTTCTCTCTGAGGTTGACAGCAAGTTCCTTGGGCTTGATGGCAGAGCGGAGCTCTTCCGTGCTTTCTCGGCTGCTATTGCCACTGCTGCACGGCCCCTTCCCAGGGGGGCTGAGCTGGTTTAAACCTGGCCAAGAGAAAAAGGTAGCTGCTGCCTGAGGAATCTTCCCTGGTACAAAGAAGCAGGAAGGGCAGAAAGCAGTGGGGCGGGCGGGCGATGCCTTGGGAAGCATGGCCCTTTGAAACGCCAAGCGCCCAGCCACCTGACTCTGGACAGAGCTCTGAGGGGCAAATGCCCAGGGCGTCTCCGGAGGACCGAAGCAGCTTGGGGGTGTGCATAGCATCTCGCCCCTTCCCAGTATGACCTAAAAGGAAGCAATCGCAGAGGACAGAGAATTTCTGGGCCACAGGAGCATTGGGACGGGTCAGAGGAGACTCTTAATCAGTTCGCGCAATGTCTTTTTCTTTCAGGCAGTGTAGTGCAGTGGTCAGGGCATGGTTGCTCCTCGGGTTGTGGGGGTGGTGTGAAGTGGGGAGGATGCACCCCTTTTCTTCCCTGAATTAAATTGTGCTGTCAGTTCAAGCGTCTGTCAGCCGTGAGTGGAGGAGTGATGCCCACTCCTTGTTGTACAGGCCTTTCCACACCCTTCTGGGGCTCACAGCAGCTCTGAGGGGCGTGTGAACTGGGGAATCAGCTGTACCATAACACCCCCACCCCGCAGGCAAGACTGAGACCAGAAAGGGCATCAGTGAAATAGAAAAGAAAAGTTAGCTGAGTGGAAGGGCATTCACTGGAAACCAAGGCCAAGACCATCCTGGTCACTAAGAAGCTGGGCAGTGAAGAGTGCTGATGGGCGGAAATTGGTGCACTCAAAACACGGTGCTGGAGGAATGCTTTGCACATGCCCTGGATGACAGAAAGATGAACAAGAGGCTTCTCCTAGATCAGGGGTCAGCAACCTGCGGCTCCGGAGCCGCATGTGGCTCTTTCATCCCTCTGCTGTGGCTCCCCGTCACTCAAAATATGTGTCACAACCGCCAATGTGCGACACCCACCGGCATGCAATTTATTGAGCTTTTCGACCCCCAGTAGGCCAACCATGGATAAACCCAAGAAAAGAAAAGTTTCAGAACCTTTAATAGTACGTGGGCAGATTCATCTTACTGCTTTCACTGCTGACGAGACTGGTTTACCAGTATGCTTAATACGTGGTGAGAAACTGGCAAACAACAAAAGGTTGAATGTTGCAAGACATTTCTAGAATTCACACACAGCCTTTGCTGATGATGAGAGAAAAAAAGCCATTTCAGAACTGATGTGGAAGGTTGATGTGAGCAAAAATCATTTCAAGAAGTGGATTAAGCCTGTAAATTCAACTGCATATGTTAGTCTTGTGGCTGCTCAGGAAATAGTCAGGCATGGGAAGCCATTCACAGATGGAGCTTATATAAAATAATCTTTCATTGATTTCATAAATGCAACACATTATAGTTTTTTAATACATGGCATAAAGATAAAAAATGATATATGCAGTGTTATCTTCATTTTAGATGTCAAAAGGGTTTTGTGGCTCCCGGTGTTTTCTTTTCTGTGGGAAATGGGTCCAAATGGCTCTTTGAGTGTTTAAGGTTGCCGACCCCTGGCCTAGGACAAATCAAGCCAGATCTTTCCCTGGGGGCAAACATGACAAAACTTTGGGCACATTATGAGAAGGCAAGACTGACTGGAGAAGGCAATACCAGGGAAACTTGCAGGCAGAAGAGGAGGAAGGCCAGCGATGACAGGGAGGGACTCCATACAGGAAGCCGCAGCTTTGGACTGGGAAGAGCTGAGCAGGGCTGTCGTGGCAGGACTTTTTGGGGGGCTCTCACCTGTAGGGTCACAATAATTGGAGACAACTTGCCAGCGTGCGACAGTAACAATCTCCCCACTGCCATTGGGTTCAAAAGAGGAAAAAAACTGAGCAGGTTTCTGTTCTCTCTTACTGATAGCAGCTGCTCTGTCAAATTTTCAAGTGAGAACTAAGAAGGTAAAAAGGCCAATCTCTACAGAGGTTTGGACGGAACTTCTATCTGAACTGGAAAGAAGGCGTCATGGATGCAAAAACCTGGTCGTACTGGTGCAGAATATTTATTTTAACACAAGGATCCCAGGAATGAGCTGCAGAACAGATTCAGACTAACCTCCTGCACCGCGGCTGAGCTCCCAGGACTGGGCATTTCGAAAACAGAAACAGGACCACTAGAGGCGGCGGTGCTTGCTCACTTGGCAATTATATAAATGGCGTGCCGGAGACCCAGCACGAACTGAGGGCCCAGTGGGGCGATGACAAAGGCTTCAGCCCTTTGCCTCCTGCTTTGCATCTGCTTCAGTTAGGGGCCCCAGCTTTTAGCAATTGAAGAGCATCTCCCATTCACGCCAATGGAAGCTCTCCTTCCAATGCAAGCACCAGGTGTGGCCCCCAGTGTGGGCAGGGACCGCCGAGAGGGCAAAGGGCCCTGCCATCCGGGTGCCGGTTGAGACAGGGCTCCCACCCATCCTCTACCGTTTCAGAGCTGGTCCATGATGGGCGGGGATGCGAGAGGCCTGAAGCCGTGCAAGGTGAAACGCTCCCAGGGGAAACGGCCTCATGCTCCGGGGAGCTCACCTGCGATAGTACTGGGTGCTGTGCAACGTCCCGCCCGGGAAGCCATCGCGAGATGCTGGAACCATTCCTCCTTATCCCTCCCCGTTCTGCCAAAGAGGTAAAGCGTTCTTTCCTGGGGCTCGGAGGGATGCGCAGGGGGGCTCTCCGGGCTTGGGTCCTGCCGCTTCTCTCCTGGAGAGGCCAAGGGCCCTTTGCCACTCGGGTCCACTTGGTTGGGGAAGAGAATGCAGACGGGGTACTTCTTGTTCCACATCCTCTTCCGGGCCAGCCCAGGAGGGAAGAGGAAGACCTGGAACAGCGGGAGATGATGGAAGTCACCAGGGAGCGAGTGACAGAAGAGCGGGAGGGAGTGGAGGCAGAAGGGGCGGGCATGGCGACTTCGATCGCGCCCTCCGCTGCCTGTGTCGTGTGAGTCAGAGCTGTTCTCCCCGTTCAAAGAAGAATTTGCACCGGCTCCCCGCTCTGAACTTGCTGGGCTGGAGGATTCCAGCTGGGCTTCCCTCCTTTCCAGCAACCGAGGGGCTGCAGCAGGAGGGCCCCCAGGGCTGGAAAACGAAAGGGGTGGCAGGCAGGCAGTGGATGGTTTTCTTGTGTTAACTGGCCCTGGGCTGAACCCCAGCGGGACCCTGGCCAGAGGGGGGCCCAGCTCGGCTCCCGTATTGAAAAACGTTGGTTGGGCTATTTTGCTTGGGGTATCATATCAAGAATTAACGAGGGTTAGGGCGAAAATGGCACAATGGTCTGGAAAAGCCATATCATTTTGCAATGGCAAAAATGGTAAGGAATTTGAACAAAACACATACAGCAATTATAAACAGGCACAGTTACAATTCTAAACAAGCAAAGCAAAATAGTTTGGCTAGAATGCCTTTTACATCTATGCATCAAGGTTTTCTCAAGCGCTTCGTATTTGCAGGTAGAATTCAGATTTGTGGCTGACTCTCTGCTTCTTCGTGGGGGTCCCATGCACATGGCCTGCAACCCCTCGCCCGTCCTTTCCCCCCGCGGGTGTGGCTGCAACTCGCTAGCTGGCCCGAACGAACCAACCCTACCTTCGCGCCACTCATGTCGTAATGACGGTGATTCACAAAAGCCACGTCGAAGACCTCCTCCTCAAAGGTGGCCCGCCGGGGAATGTTGCTCTTGGGATAGGAGAGCGTCACGTTGGAGCCTTCCAGGGTCACGAACACCGAATGGGTGAGCGACGGGTGGTAGAGCTCAGGGTCGTAGAAGTACATCTCATTCATCCACCCCTGGGAGGAAACAACTCCGTTCTCTTGTGCCTGTGTGGTATGAAAGCGCAGCCAAGGGCCACGCCAGCCCAACCCAAATCTTCTTTCTTCCCAGAACCTGCTCTGCGCAGGCTTCACAGGGGACGCAAGCCTACGTATTTTTCCTGCAGCTGCCATTTTTTGCTTGCCGCTGCTCGCATCTGCGGAGCACTAAGGTCAGAATGTCGGAGAGAAGGCGGTATTTTCCGGTGGTGCACAGGAAATGAACCTGCTCCAGCGATAAACCCTGCTTCACACGGAGAGGGTGGTGTACTCGGGCCTGTGGGACCAATAGCCTGACATCTCCCAAGGGTTTCTCAAAAAACTGAATGGGCTGAACGGGGTGCCACTTCCGATCTACTTAAAGATAAAAGCCCTTTTTCAGAGGGGTACTTTTTGTAATCCTTCAGTGGGATTAGGGTTTAGGACCCACACCACCGGGAAGGGTCTTTCTGATCCCTTTTCGGGTAGGGAGGCGGGCTCTGTGACACTTTGTGTGCACCATCAAATGCTGGACATCCAAGAAAATGCACGTGGTAGCCCCCAGTGGGATCAGGTCCCTGCATTCTTCTTACTGCTCTAGATGCTGTTTCAGAGCTTCTGAGCACCAAAAGCAGGCGCTTTTTGGCATCCTTGTGCTTATGCAAAGTGCACGCACACTGTGCTTACTGATTTGTAGGTTACACATATGGCAGGTGTGTGTCTGGCTCTGAGAACAACAAGGCTTCCACTCACCCACCGTGTCCCGACGTTCACTGCACCTTCAAGGGATGAGGCCCAGCTCTGAAAAGGCTCTGCAAAGGACAAGCTACACCCCTGCCCCAGCCAACCTCACCAGCGACCCGAGGTTGCCAATTGATCAGAACGGGTTTACCAGTCGCCTTTTTGGGTGCTGGGTCAGTGACTGGAATTGTATTTGTGAAAGCCAGAAATGTTTCTGGCTGCCAGCATGTTCCAAGCAAAGCCAGATGCGCGGCCCTCTCCCAACATGTCGGCACCAGCAGTTTCGCTTTGTGTGCCAAACTGAGCCCTCAACATACAACAGCGTGTGAAATGGCACCATGTGCTCACGGAGGCCCTGCACAGCTGGAGAAGGCAGAAAAGGGAGACGCGGCGACAGAGCCTTCCTTGCCGCAGCTCCTGTGCAGGCGGGACACGCACACACGGGCGCGGGCAGCTCCTCCGAGTCGCACTCCTCCTCCAACCCAAGCACGGCTTCACTGCCCAGTGTGTGGCAGCGCTAGGCAGCTGTGGCCGCTGGTGCTGCTTCCGCAGGATCTGCCGCCAGCTGTCCTCCCCTCTTGCCCCACCAATATCGGGTTTGTTTTAAAGCAGCGACCCTAATCTTGTTTCCTGTTTGGTTTTTTTCTGCTTGCAGATCGCTAGAGGGTCCTGACAGTTAAATATATGTAGAAGCCCCCTCTTCTCTTCAGAGGCAGAGACCCACACCCTGGGCATGCAGAGACAGCTCTGTGCCCCACAAGGGAGCCAGTGCTCTCAGTCTCTTCCTCGCTGGCACGGCAGACCTGGCAGAGAGAAAGACGCTGGTCCAGATGCGCCCGCCTCCTGCCTGCCAGCACTCGGTGCCTCCACCTGGAAACAGCTCCTGCTTCTCTGCTCTACCTAAATCTGGCCACACGTATAATTAGAACTACCACAGCTCGATTTCATCTGGGATAGTTTAAATGCAGGTATTTGCAAAGCATTTAGGACTCCGGAACCTTTATTTCAGCACTTCGCTAAAGAGGGCTCCCGTGGGAAACCCGTCGCACCTCCTACCTTAAGCACGTGGAGCTCTTGCAGCTGCCCCGACGGCAGCTTGCCCCGAGGGGGCCGCATCCTCCGTGGAGACAGCGGGTGCTTGGGCACCAGGAGCAGAATACCCAGGAAGCCCAGCATGAACCCGCATAGCGCGCCGAGGAAAAGGCCCGAGACGTAAGGAGGCAAAGGCAGCACGAAGTAGTTGTAGGCCAGGATGGCGATGCAGGCGAGGGCTTTGCAGGGCACTCTGCCGCAAGGCTTGGTGGGGCGGGGGACACCCAGGGGCCCAAGGGCCCTTCCTCCGCCCGTGCCGCCGGCCTTGTCCTGAGCCACCTCCACCACCCGGATGACGTCGCCCTCGGAGCAAATCTCATACCGGCAGCTCATGCAGGGCGCCCACTTCTGCTCCGCGGAAAAGCACAGCTCCCCAGGCTCCCTCCCGGATGGCGGGCCGGGCCGGTCAGTCCCCCGACCGGGGCATCCATCCCTGGCCTCCAGGAGGGTGGACTCCCCGCTGTGGCCGGCAAGGACATCGCAGGCGTGGCTGCCAGGCAGCGGGGCTTTGGGCTTTGGTGCGGCGCTGTTCTCGTCCCCCATGATTTTGCTGAGCCTGCTCAGGGGTTCCTGCATGGCTTCGGAAAACCGCCTCTTGGTGTCCTCAAACTTGGCTTCTTGCGCCTTGAAGAAGCTGCCCTTGCTCTCGGAAGGAGAAATGTTGGGAGAGGAGGGAGCGGTCCTGGAGTCCCCATTTTTGCATTTCGGGTGGGTGATCTGCCGCCACCGGTGGACATTGAGTTTCGAATCGGATTTCGACTGCGTCACCTCAGGTTCCAGGCGGGAGATCTCGGTGGAAATGGATTTGACCAAGCTTAACAAAGGCTGGGGCGTGAGGGGAGAGGCTTCACGCAACTCAATTTCGGTTGAGAGGGACTTCACTAGGTTGATCAGCGGTTTGGCACCTTGAGTGTTTACAAGGCCAGCAGATTTTTGAGGTGAGAAGTTGGGTGAGCTAGAAACGGGAAGAGGAGGCAAGAAATCCGTTTCAGGTGATACTGGGAAAGGAGGTGGCACGTGGAAGATGGGCTCTGCTTGGGGGACTTCATGTTTCCCAGTATCTCCACACAGAGAAAATGGATTTTCTGCATCAGGAGTTGCCGCTTCTTCATCATCTAAGGCAAAGATCAGTTCATTCCCATGGACACCTTCCCAGTCCTCTTCTTTTCCAGAATCAGCTAAGTAACTGGCTAATGTCTGGGAACAAGAAGATGAGTTTCCCTGACGAGAGTAAAGTTGTGGAGAAGACCTTGGCAGAGAAGGACCTGAAGCAATTCGAGAGTGATCCGCCATCTTTCACATCCTGTGTTGCTGAGTCTATGGAAGAAAGAGAAAGATGGTGACTCGGAATGGCACGGACCTCCACACCGAAGATGCCTCTGCCCTGAACAAACCTCACAGAAGAACTCACAGGACTCCAAAAGCCCTGAAAATCTCACCTACACACACAGCTCCGTTTTTATCCTCACAACAACAGCCTTGCGAGGTTGGCTAGGCTGAGAATGAGTGATGCAGAGTCACCCAGGGAGTCTCATGGCTGAGTGGCGGCTCGACCCTGCTCTCCCAGGTCCCCCGTTCCCCACTCTAACCACGGAACCACACGGGGCCTCCTTTGCCAGCAAAGAGACCCGCTTGGGCTGCAGGGAAGGAGCCTGATTAGCCTAACAAACGCCATTTGCTTCTTGTAAAACTTCTTGCTTTGGAGAGGAAAAAGGGAAGGCACAAGAATGTTGATAAGGTGAGACAAAGAGGCGGTGGGTGAGAGAAGACCCCCACGCAAGGTCTGGCACCCAGTGATCACGCTCCCCCTGTGAGGGGATGGGACCTAGATAAGCGCCGGCACGAGGCCAGGCATGCAGTGGGCATGCAGACCCCGCAAGGGGGTTGGGTGGAGGGTCAGGCAGACCCTGAGAGGGGGTTGGGTGAAGGAGCAATGGGGCGGGATTGAGTGAAAGACGGTAAAAAGTGTTAGAAGAGTCAGTTGGAGGAATGTGTGTGTGTGTGTCGCTTCCTGCCTGCATGTGGGGAGCGGACACTCGGTTGCTTTGCTCAGCTGAATAAAGAAAACTGAACGAATCTCCGCCTGACTGAACCTCATTGGCACTTGGTTTAGTGGGTCTGTAAGTCACCTGGCTAGCAGGGACCTCAACAGCAGGACCTTCGAGATTCCAGCTCCACAATTCTACACACTTATACCTGTTTTATACCATTTATGGTCACTCTCGTCCCAGCCCAGAAACAGGAATCGCAGTATGGGAAGGATGCTGAGGACTTCCCTTGCTTCATCACCCAGCACCTGTATCCAGGGCTCCATGCCGAAACCAGTGGCCAGACCAGTTTAAAGCGCTGGTGCAGACAGTCCCATGATACTCTTCGCTCTTTGAAATGCTGAACCCAAACACTGCATTCTAGAAATCAATAACATTCGCTGTGAGTGCTTTGGGACCCAGTTTTTGGTGTGCTGTCATAAAATTTTGCAAAGGGATGGGAGGGGGGAATAAGACTGTGTTCAATCTGTAGCCCTCCCACATTTTCTGAATGCTTATATCTTTTTTCTATCTTTGCAGCTGAAATGATGGGCTCATCACACATTGCTTTTTGATTATTTGTAGTGCCTCTGTCTGGAAGCACCCAGCTCAACCACCCCTCCATTTTTTCCTTCCTGTTTACATCTGCATCAACACTGTACTTAATCCCACCACCTCCAAATCATCAATGCTAAAAATAAAACACGGAATATTTCATTAATCTTCACAACAACATTTTAGATCACAAACTTCTAGGTTTCTTGAATACAAATTCATTTCTAGAGCTCAGCTTTTTGAGTTCCCGTTCATTGCACCTTTTGTTTGCTTGGCAGACTTGTGTTTTTAATGGCCTTCCGCTTTAAGCAAGCATGACGCGGGTATTGGCACATTAATTTTAGATCCCTGGAGGTGTTTAGAAATGCAACGAGCTAAAAATGGTCGTGGCGCAGGCCGGAGGCACGCTCTGCCATGCGTCTGCTGCTAATTTTAAAACGCTGCATCGCGCGTTCCTGCGGGCGCGTGGCTCCCGAACACGGCACGGAAGGAGGCTCCGGTTGGAGCAGGCAGCCCCCCTGGAAGCGCCGCCTCCTGCGACTTCAAGCAAGCGGGCCGCTCCGGCCCGGGGGGCTCCGGGGCCCCGCACAGCCCGACCCCGTTCCCGGGACCGGAGCAACAAACGCCAAAGCCGCCGGCCCGCGCGCGCCAAGGCCTTTTGCAGCGAGGCTGGCAGCGCCAGTGGGAACGCTCCCCCGCGAGCAGCACTGCCGGGGTGGGCAGGCCGCCGGCCCGAGGCTCAGTGCTCCGCCTGCCCCGCCGCAGGCCAGGGCCCCAGTCCGGCCCTAGCAAGCGGCGGGAGACTCCTCGGCGCCCGGGTGCAGCCGCGGCTTTGGGCAGCTGTGGGAACGGGGACACCGCGCCCCCCTTTTCCCGGCTCCCTCGGCCAGGCACCTCACGGGCAGGCCTGCATCGGGGCTGTGGCGCTGCTGGGCCTGCGTGCTTCATGGCAGCCACATTCCTCACGTCTTCCTGAGCAAAATGGTCCCCGAGGAAACCCGCGACCCCGGCCTGTTTGGGGCTTCAGGGTGAGGCCCCCGATGAAGTGCACTTTGCTTTTGGCTTCCTTTGAAGTCGCTTTGTTAAGTCTTCTATTGCTTTCAGAAGAAATATACTAGAATAAGGGGCAAGAATAAGCAATCACTGCACAAGTAAGAAGATGCCACCAGCTGGTGGGTACTGGGGACGGAGGTGTGGTGACTGCTGTTGCCCAGGGGGTGTTCCCCCAGCTCCCGGATTCCTACCCCCCCCCCCCCGCATAATTGGAAGGTTCTCTGCATGCCCTTCTCCAGAACCTCCTTCTAAGCCTTTCCACAGCACATCAGTTTTCAAAGAACAATGAGAACAAGCCATTTAAAGAGCATCACACCAGAAAAAACTACAGGATTGCCATATATTTTTGCAGCTCTACTATATTGACAGACCACCTTATGGTCATGTAATGGAACATCTGATAAGGCAGAGAAAGAAAACCCTGGGGAAAAAACATACAGGCACCCATCTTAATCCCGCAAAGTATCTGAAAGCAAAAGCCTCAGTAAACTGCCAGGTTAATACAGGTTTAAAACCCTAATGGAGAGAAGCCCTGTGTCCATATTTCTTTTTCATGATCATGTGCCTGCCCTATTAAGCCTTTTAAGTCCTTCTAAAAATACTGAAGATGGAACTCAAATACTTTGGCCACCTAATGAGAAGGAAGGACTCCCTGGAGAAGAGCCTGATGCTGGGAACAATTGAGGGCGAAAGAGGAAGGGGACGGCAGAGAATGAGGTGGCTGGATGGGGTCACTGAAGCAGGAAGCAGTCGGCGTGAGCGTAGGTGGACTCCAGGAGATGGTGGAGGACAGGAAGGCCTGGAGGAATGTTGTCCATGCCTTCGCAATGGGTCGGACACGACTTCGCGACTAGCAACAATAACAAAAATATTCCAGTGGTGCAGTCCTATTCACAATGTGAACCCCACCAAGTTCAATCAGATACAGTACTCACCCATGATGTGGACCATGCAGATAGGTCTGAGATGAGAGCAAGGATTGGCTCCCTGCGGCCTGAAGGACACTGCTATCAGCCACTCCCCACCTGGGGTCCACCTCTTTGAAGTATATGCCCTCCTGCCCCTTGAGATGGGTGGCAGAGGCCCTTCTCCGGGAACCCCCCGTGAAAGATATTAGGAGGGCGAGTACCCGGAGGAGGGCCTTCTCTGCGGTGGCGCCCCACCTATGGAATGTGCTCCCCAGAGAGGTCCGCCTGGCGCTGCCGTCATTTGTTTTTCGGTGCCAGGCCAAGACCTTTTTATTTAAACGTTATTTTAATTGTTAATTGTATTTATTGATTTTATATCTGTGCCTAGATGTCTCTGGATTTTTTAGGTAATTGTATGAGTGTTTCTTCTGTAAGCCGCCCCGAGGCTTTTTGCAAATGGGGCGGCATAAAAATGTTCTAAATAAATAAATAAGTATTGAATGCCAGCTCCCATAATTACCGCTGGTATGGTCCTGAGGCTGGAAATGATGGGAGCAATGTTCTAATGTGCCTCAGAGGCACCAGCTTGAAGATGGATGCTCTATAAAATTCCTTGGGGAGGAATATTTGGAAAGGCTTTCTCTTTCCCCCAGATCAAAGATGGCAGGGGTTCTGAACATGGTCTGGTAAGGTCTCCTATCTCTCAGTTTTCAGACAGCTACCCTATCACCTCTCAGCTCTCTTCAAAAAGAAAAGAAAAGAAGCACAAGACTCTCTCCAGACTACACTGTTTCTGCACACAGCACTTCTTTCGCCTGTCAATCACTGTTGAACTGCATGGTGTGGTTTCCAAGTACGCAAAGAGCCGCCTCCACCTCCTGAGCGGTGATTAGCTCACCGAAAGTCCAGTCAATCCAAAAAGATGGTCCAGAGTCTGAACACTCCTCCTGCCCAGGTGCTTGCATAGCAATTTGCAGGAACCGCTGAGAAACACTCCAGCAGAGCAATGTCAATAACCATCTGGTATTATGGTGACAGGAGAGAGAAACCAGTAAGTGGAGGTCACCTGACCCACCCACCAATCTTCTGGAGGCCTTCAGAGGCTTTTGGACCACAACTCCCAGAATTCCCACCCAGCAGGGCCATTGGCTGGGAATTCTGGGTGTTGCAGTCCAAATGTGTCCAGAAGGCACAAAGTTGGGGAAGGCTGCTGTAGGTTGCTCATACTGATGGTTTTGTAGATCTCAGGCCATGATTTTGCTGTTCAAAGTTTCCTTAGTTTAACCTGGTTGGTAGCACATTAAGTCCTGAAAATCTTGAGCCTTTCTCCATTCCATATCCATCCTACTCTGGTTGGAGCTTCTTGTACTTCAAGTACACAAAATTTACAATATACCTAATTAATGCAGGATGCAGTTTGATCCAAGAATTACCAATTCTCAGTTCCTGAATTTATTCTGAATGCTCAAAATACCCAAGCAGCACAAATAAAAAAGCACTGTAATTGCTGAAGTTCAGCAGTTAGGATCATTAGCAAACACACTTCACAGCTGCAAATGCCCAGCGAGCCAGCAGGCTTGGGGTGCATGCAATAGCTGAGCGCCTGTTCAACAACAGATTTTTCCTGCCTTCCTGTCCTCTCTTTTCATTACTTCTGGCCCATCGCCACCATAAATGGGCAGGAAGCTCTCTGCCCATCCAGCATCACAGCTCGCGGTCATGCCCGCAGTGCACCAGAGCAAGGGCTACT